GTTATATAAAATGAAACAGGTTCTACTGTTACACAAAGTTTGAATGTATTCAAAGGTTGTCAAATAAATTAGATCTAATATTTACATGATTTTCCTGAATGAACGTGTTATTATTAAGCGAAATATTAATCTCTTATTTGTTTATTTCTGTAACGTAGTTTGGTCACTAAGATTCAAAACATACGATGATTTTCAAACGCGTAAGTCTTTTTAGATTTTCATCACTGGTTATCATTGAACAATGGATGAATGTTGCTTAAATATATGACAATATATTATAATGTTGGCATAATAATCACCAACAGTCATATATTGTATACAATCTCATATATAATGAGATGATGTGATCACATTTAGTCTTCAAATATAAACTATAATTCATAATATTATCAAGCATATGGACCACAATTGAATCATGATTGATATGATGGATAAAGCGATGAAAATATATTTGTAGTTATCAGAGCATTATCATAACAATAATGATAATAATAATAGTAGTGAATCAAAATTATATTGAAATAAGGAAAAAGGACGTAAAGATGTAAGTAGGTTGATTGATGGGGAAGGGCTTAATTGTTCATGGAATAATGAAATAAAATATAATAATCAAAAGCTAAGAATGACAATGTGACCGTTGATATCAATAAGTGAGTTTTGTAATTGGAAGAAACATAGAAAGATTGATGCAGATTTTCATGAATGTAGGAAACTCAAAAAATGTATCAATGAAAAAAAGGTAGGCGTTACATCCCTGGAAAAATAAATAACGTTAACATTAAGATAAACTTTTTACATCAAAAAATGCTAAACCTACTTCCTTTTGTGCATTAGTAGACAAATTTAACTTGCATATCCTGCATCAAAATATAAGAGTAATTGAACATTGTGGTATAAACAAGTGAAGTTTATTTTCAAAAACCATATTTCGTGATATGAACTTTGAATCAATGATTTTAAGAGATTGGATCAACTGGCTAACAAAAAATTATTCCATTTTCAGTAGAATAACAAGTTTAGTTATTTAAGAAAACAATAAAGACACCAATAAATAAGGATTAAGGTAATCTTAAAAATGTGTGTTTTTGTAAGACATCATTTTATAGATTATTTACTAACCAATAAAACACGCAACTTATTATCAGTTTTGTACATATCACTCATTATCATCATATAATAACTGTCTAATCAACTAGATATACAAACACAACCTAAGCTAAAAATTGTGCTTTTCATGAAATAAATAACACACTAAAATCATGAACCAATCTAAGTTAGGACACCATTGAAAACTTGAAAGCACTGGATGGTCATTTCAACCTAACATAGGACTCCTCATCGGTGCGCATCATTGCTCGAACACAGAACCTTAGATATTGTGCATGACAGCTTAACCATTAAACCACTGAACCGGCATCCGACGGTGTTACTACCATCCTGTGATTTCAGGTTCTTAGTGATGGTTTAATTTAGATCGGTTCATGGTTTAAATTAAATTCGATAATCTCTGTAACGCAAAACTAAAACTAAAAATCAATTGATACTACCAAACTATAGTGAGGAATATCTAATCCAGAGTATCACTTATTAATAATTGTTATTGACTCTCAAATAGCAATGAAACATCTGTCCATTGTTTTACGATTTCCAACGTTTGCTTTAATTTACATGAATCCATGACAAATTTTAGATTAAAGCTAAGCCAATCGCCACATATCTACCAAAACAGGATATATCAAATATATCTTTTTTCCGTAAATTTAAAATCAAGTTAAAAATAGACAACGTTTAGAGAAAACAAAAATAATAGAAAACATTTTGCTGAAGTCGTTTTGTGATTACTAATGGAATACAATGAACGCCTATTGTCTTATTCGAGAGTCATAAAACGTGTTAATGTCCATACTAACACCAGTACTAGGTTCCTATCGCTTCAATCTCCGTGATATACTTATCTTTTAGATCCATAAGGCTACCATCATTCTCAGTAGATTTAAAATATTAGTAAGCATTGTCAACAAGCTACTGTCAAAATGAATGTATATCAAGCTGAAAAATCACACGTGTTATTAGATGTCTGAAGTAGACCGACTGTTGGAAATTATCTAACTGTATGAAAAATTAAAACTAACAATGTCACTTAGTTAATGTGCTCAAAATGAGTGCATGATATTAGAAACCTTTTGAATTTACTCTTTGATTAAAAAACCAAACAAACAGGAAACTTTGAAGACTTAGATACATGAGAAACTTCTGTCAACTTATCATAGTTGTAACTATTCCTAAACTTTACATTAATACCTAACAGATTATTAATACAAAACAGCATATAGAACAGATAGTAAAGTAAATTACCATTTTCTATTTATCTAACAAAAAACTGCAATAAATTACATGATGACATAATTGATGTTAATCAATTAGTGCATACTTCAATTGAGTTGATTCATTTCAGACCAAATTCAGTTCATTGAATGTTCAAATTATTTATTAAATCATCTATACATAATCATTTTAACATCTTGAATTTATTTATACATTTAAATCACTTTCTTGTTTAAAAACAAAACAAAAAACAGGTAGGAAATGCTAAAATAACATGAACCAAACAACTAACATTTGATGGTGGTTGAAAGGTAGTCAACAGGAAACCCTGAAACCGGGTTTCGTGCTACTTGGCACTCGTCAGAGAGGTGTGCCTGTAATCTTGAGGGAACTGGTGCTTCCTGACGGATTTGATCTCGTGTCACCAAGTTCACAGTCAGAGACGTTACCACTAGGCTGTATGAGCCGCGACCGATCTCCTGTTGGACTGAGATGTAATCACAATTGATTGATCACTGGGTGGTGACCAATGTCATGTGTGTCAAGTCCTTCATAGTGCAGATCGAATGCTATCGACCGAGCTGCAATGCGGCCACTGGTCCAGGTGACTCCACATTGCGTGACACGGGATCGAATCCGTCAGGGAGCATCGTTCCCTCAAGATTACAAGTACACCTTACTGATGAGTGCCACGTAGCACGAAACCTGGGCCCAGGTTTTCGTGTTGACTACCTCTAACCATCATCCAATCTCAACATAGTGCACGCAATATCGAATCACTTAGACTAGTGGCCACATTGCAACTCGGTCGATAGCATTCGATCTGCACTAAGAAGGACTTGACACAAATGACATTGATCACCACTCAGTGATCAATCAATTGCAAACAAATAATATACATATAAGTTTATACAAATACATCATTGTTTGCTTTATATTCACATGTAAAGACTTGTTATTTAGAATTTATTCATTCATCTTCCTTGAAATATATTCTTATAGGTATTTCTTTGCATACATTATAATATTTGAGAAAGAACCTGAAGTATTCAAGTAGTTTCTAATATCAGTTGATTGATTTAAACTAAACAATAGTCGAAAATTTAGGAAGTTCTGATGAATTATTTACTTTGTTTTACCAAAGAGTATTTGTAAATTCTTTTAGAATGGAACCTAAGATCATCAAGCAATTTAGAAAAGATGAAGTAAATTAATAATTTTGCATTGGATTCCAATGGTTTATTTTAGTCAATTCATGATAATCGTTTGACATAATTACTACAGCTAAAATTTGTTTTCATTATTTAAAATCGATATTGTGAGGCGCTCTATGCATTATTCTTACAGTTCTTTATCACTATACAATTAAGAGCTTTGTAACCATTTTTCAATTTTATGAAAACTGGTAAATATCTGTGTTATTGGTTATTTTCATTATTTACATCAAGATTACAGTTAAAGCATCGTAATTAGTAGATTCTTCATTTTTTGTATTGATTGCTTGAATCTTACCAGTGATATTCAGGACTGTAATTGATCAGTATCTTGACTATCTGGATTCAGAAGCTAAATAGAACATCAACTTTGGAATGGAGGGACGTCCAACAGATGAGCCCCAAACGGGACGAAACGTGCGTCCTGGATTCCACTGCTAGCCATCATCTATCTCTGCCTATAAATAATAGATAGTTTTAATGAACAAAATGATTGATAAAATGTTTATTCTAATCGTCTCATGTTAATCTGAATAGCATTGTGACACACTACAATGTAATTACAAGTTATTGATTGTTAATAAAATATTTGACTAAGACACATAATTCAATATCATTTTCGTACACATCTTAATTTTATTTTTTTATAAGTTATCAACTAGTACTTGTAACCACAGTTTTCCACTGTTTACTAACAAACAAAATTAAAATGAACATAATAATTTGCTTCTATGATTACCTCTTGAAAGACAAATGAATAATGATGAATAGAATAACGTTTTGAGAATAAAGCAGGATATTTTGCATATCTTATAAAACATATAAAGACTTATAAGCAAAGATGGATAGCGGCTAGCAGTGGAATCCAGAACGCGTTTTTTTGTTCTATTTGGGACTCGTCAGCTGGATGTACCTGCATCTTAGAGTTGATGTTCACACTGGGACTCAAACCCACAGACTGATCAATTGCAGTCCTAAACATCAATGGTAAGATTCATGTAAATAATACTAAATGAATCCATATATAGACTGTTTAGACAAAGAGCGAGGACATCAATCGTTTAGTATGTTAACAAATACTTTGAAAATAATAATCTTAGTAAAATATGCTGAATAGATGATAATGTATTAAAAAACTCGAGTATGTTTTCAAAACTAATTGATTAATTACTATGAAACTTGGATATTTTCGTTAACTTTTGTGATAGAGTAGTATTTGTTGAAAACATGTAAAATCAAACAATAATAAATAACATTTTCAACAGTGGATACGTAGATCAACATCCTTGGCTGAATAACAGAACTTACAAACTTCATCTACCGAAAATCATTATATGGTTACTTATTCAGAATACAATAATCAGAATTTCTAACTTTACTCAATTAAGTGTATTGATTATTATTTTACTTTTATGTAAAATGTTTATTTATAACTTCATTAATAGATTTCTTACAATGTTCATGACAAGTGGAAGTGGAGTGAATTTACGAACACTTCGAGCTGTACGTGTACTACGTCCTCTCAAACTAGTATCAGGTGTACCAAGTAAGTCACTGTTAATTTTATTACTATGATAAAGATTTACTAACTGAACTAGACTTTTTGTACTGCAAGAAAAGTTTCCAGTATAATGTATATGACAGTAAATAGTTTAAACAAAAAAATCTTTTATGTAGTTGGAAATTTATTTGATTATTCGTTATAACTGATTTTCGATTCATTGAAATCAAAAGAGCTTGATAATGTGTAGGACGGAAGATTCCATTATACAGTTGGAACCATTCAATAATATGCTCAGATAACAAGCAAACAAAATTGTAATGTAGTATAATAACAATGAATGATTCTCTTGAAAGTCAACAAATATGTCAAGAATATAAATTAAGATAAGCAATAAAATTGTCTTTTTCAATCATAGAAATAAATATGATCGGTAATGTCGATATCTCTTCTTTGAACTGATACACATTAATAAAAATAAAGTCTGATTTATGATTAATTTAAATTTAGATTTTTTTCTACAGTCCTCTTGATTATTTGAGATTTTTTGTTGACCTTCTTCATTAAATAATCGTGACTGTAATTAACAGAATTCAGTGAAATTATAATCACTGAACAAACAACATACTACTTAAAAGTTTCCATTATGTATGGCAATATCAACAGTACTTCAAACGAACATCACTCTAGCAGAGTTACTCTTATAAACAGAATTTACCGAAGATAAAACGAAAGTTACTTGAAATAGCTAATTTTAGTTCTTTTTTTACATAAAGTCACTGTCAACTCTTATAAAGTTATATTGGTTTGTACAGTGGATGAGATTTAGTGACACTTATTTCGTTGATAAATAAAAAAACCAGCTTGAGCATTATTACAGACAAAGTATTAAATAAAAGTAATTTTCTAACTCTTTTTATTTTAGAGTATATTCATGATGAACATTTTTATGATTTCAGTGTAAGCTTCATTAAAATTAAACTGAAATCACAGTTGACAAATCAGTTTAATTTTTTACTACATGGTTTTCTGATCACTTTCATTGTGAATTCACTTTTGATTAATTTTCAACGAATATGTTACCAGTTTGATAGTCTTCATATATGATAAAAACAAATGAAGTACACTATCTTCCAGTACCTTATAACTGAATGTAAAACTGAATGTTAAGTGAATTACATTGGTTGAAGTTAAACTTTAACACCGTTGGATGCCAACGGGTTCACTAGTCTAGAGGTTAAGCGTTCACGAGCGAGACCAACAGGTCCTGAGTTCAGATCCTGCAAGTGGCATCGTGGATGCGCACTACTTTTATGAATAGTTTAATATCTAATTTAGTTATATTCCACAATGGATATGACTGATTAACACTGTTGTATAGAATAATTTAATTGATCTTAAGTTTTCATTAGAAAAATAATGTGAAAATATACTTTTAGTCTTTCATGAAACATTTATGATTGCTAAACGTGAATTATAAATCTGACAAACTTCTACTTATTTGAATTTTACTTTTTATTCAATTAAATATTTTTATTCATAAAAGTATTATCATTTTATTTCTTCCATAGGTCTTCAAGTAGTTTTAACGTCGATTATCAAAGCAATGGCACCATTATTACAAATTGGAATATTAGTATTATTTGCTATATTAATATTTGCAATTGTTGGATTAGAATTTTACTCTGGTGTCTTTCATGTAACATGCTTTGAACAAAGTAAATTTTTATTCAAATTTTCTATGTATGCGTTATATTTTCTAGGAATTTTCGGAATGTTTACTTATGTAATTATGAACTGTTTTTTCTTTTAATTTAATGATTGATAAAATGATGAGAATAACGACAGTTTTACGAACCGACATCGATTGGGAGACCAATAGTTAGTTATTTTATCTTAATATCGGACTCCTCAGACATTCATGTTTACAACCCTAAACAGCAGTGTACCAAAGTTCTGTGAGTTGAATGACAAGAATGACACCATTCATTCTTTGAGTCGATATTGAATGCGTACTATTCTCGACGGAAATAAATTACCTTAACCATTTGACTGAATCTATTTAACTAAAATATACAGAAAGATTATCAGTTGTACTGAATTATTGAATAAATTTGTTTCACTTAAGTATGGAGGATGTTATAACTCATTACCAAATAACTTCATTAGATAGTTTGATTATAAACAAAATCGGAACAGTATGAAATGAAGTTAGATATTCAGCATAATAACATAACTAAGTATGACGACGCATAGACATTACCTGAAAAAGTAGATGTAACCTGTAATGGATAGCTATCTCTTCATAATTCCGACTTCTCATTTCGAAGACTTTTTAACTTTACTCACAGTCAAGTCCAAAATATTCGAATTTCTTTATAGTGTGTGATCTTATTGATTTATTTCTTTGATATTTAAATATCAATATCTTCATGTTTGATTAGTTTATAATATAAAAATCAATCGATTGGTAATCGCGTTGTTCTGGGTTTGACTAAATTCACTGAACAAAATTTCTAATATTAAAATATAGGCTAACTTGTCATAGGGTTTGCGAAGATTGGCCAATTTGATAGCTAATATCCGTTGTGACATCATTTATTCAAAAAATAGTTTAAGTTCAAAAGTTAATGAACCCTTAAATAGTGGATGAACAATGGACATTCAGATGTAATTATTGAAGCCATCGCATTATTGGAAGCACAATTCAAAGCCGTAAACAACGTATGTCCTAAAAGAACAGTTAATGTTTACAAGGACGATAAAAATTTTATAATAAAGTGTTTATCTCAAATAAATACAACTTTGCTAGAAAAACGTGTATCTTATATTGAAGAACATAACTCAATACAGTCGAGTGTAAATATTCACACATAGTCCTCATCAAACTATTACACTCAAACAAACACCATTTTTGTTACCAAAATAGAAAATCAATAAGATATTTAGGTAAAATAAACTAATCTAAACATCATATATCATAGAGTTTGTGCATTTGGTAAATCATTTCACAGAACCAAATAAAATAATGGACATTAATTTCATACCAGATCAGAATCAATAATCGAATAATTGGCATTATGAAACTAAAAAATTGTATAATCTTTACAAATATCTTACAGTAAAAAAATTGAAAAATGAACTGAACATACATGGTTTGAATACATTTCATGAAAGAAAACATTTTCGACAGTAACAATACTATAGAGAAAGACAAATTTGCAAAGATTTGCAGAGGTTGTTTCCTAAAATAAATTAACTAAAAATGTATAGAAATAAATTAATGTGTATACGAATTGACTTGCTAGTTACTGTAATATCCACACGCACAAAAAAATTCAGGAAATATCAGTATGGGGGTTTGTGGAGATTATTAAGTTTTTGAATGAGATCATGAACCGATTGATTTTAGACTACTGTTGGAAACCTGGAAGCACTGGGCGGCCGTTTCGTCGTATTGTAGAACTCCTCAGCATTGCGCATCCACGATCTCGCTCGTGGGATTCAAACCCAGGGCCTTTAGTCTCGCTCGCGAACGCTTAACCTACTGGACTACTGAGCCGGCATCCAATGGTGTTAATGTCTAACAACATTCAGGAAATATGTAGTTTTATTTGTATATGACGGTAAAAAAGAAATTCAGTTGTATATCTAGGCGTTTGTATCGGTGTCATATTTTTTATTATCAACAACAACAACAACTACAGACCAGTTTTTATTACAGAACAATCATAGTTATTTTCTTCTTTTTAATTCATCGATATCAACAAATCTACAAATTATACAGAATGTTTTCAAAAGAAATTTCCAGAATAAAGAATAAAACAGGACTTATAATTATAATCATATCAATATATTGTTTATTGTTACAATTATAATATTTGAATAATCAAAGAAATAAACATTCACTTGACTGTAAACTAATCTAAATACTGAGTTTTTATTATTTAATCATTAAAATATACTTTAACAATTATCATAGACGAATATACATTTATTGTTTGTTAAATTAGCTACAAAAAGTAATATTTCATTATAACTAAACATTAAAGGTATAACTTGAGTTCATGGTATTTAGGGAGAGGAAGAATTGTGGAAGGGAGGTATATATATATATATATATATATATATATATATATATATATATATATATATATATATACGTTGTCTGGACAAGACTCAATTTTTCTATTTTGTCCGCCTTCTACATTGATTTCAATAAATCCATTGACATAAATAATTTGAGTCAAAAAAATAATGTAACAATGATTTATCAAATATATAATTAATAGTTATGTGTCTTTTAAATGTATTGGCGGAGAAAGTTTTAACAGTCTAGAATGAGTTTTTCTATACTTAATATATATGAAAATTGACAATACTTAAAAACTATTATTAGCGATTTTCCCATAAGTGTATTTTAAAATAGGGATTTTTTAAGTACATTAGTGAAAACTAATACTTGAGTTGCTTCCCTCATAAACAATTTTTAACTGGAAAGCTATTGAAAAGCAGAAAATATTGAAGAACTATATTTTTTATATTTAAGATTATTGAATAGTTTATCTCACATAGGATTATATCTACATCTTGTTCGCTATATTCTTTTTATGACCACCGAGACTAAACATGGTGGCTTACGTTTTAAATTCCAGTTAATTCTCTGTGTCGAATTTCACATATGAGGTCATGTCCTTACTGATGTCTACCTTCTAAATGAGTTCCCATTGTTTTAATGAGAAACCTTGACCACTGATGCTTAAAAAATCCGAGTAAAACAACCGATGATATTAAATTATTATCATACAATATTACGAGCTTCATAAATTTTGATAAATTGTTTTACTGTATTCATTGTTCTAAATTTGCAAAATCAATCGAGTCATTCGCAAACCCTACAACAGATTATTTGTTCACAATGGCAAGAGGTTTCCGACTAAAGCAGAACAAATGATTAATTGTTTTCCGATTTTCAGCGCTTCTATAAACAGTGAAGATTTATGAAAAATTGACTTCATAGTGTACAAGTTTAACAAAATTATTTAAAAAGCCCATTCGACATCTGCCTTTTAGCCTGATATTTTGACAGCGTAAACAAACACAGAAAATTATGTAGATTAAACTTGAGAAAAGTTACCGAGTAGATGAACCAGAAAATATGATAATTTCCTGAACACAAAAATTAAAAACTATAGGATATTTTTCACTTATTTCTTCATGTGCATTCAAGTGTCGATCCGATAAGATTCACGTGCTTACAACACTACAAACAGCAAAGTATCAAACACATTCACAATATAGGTCGACCACTCAGATATTGTAGTGAACGAGAACACAGGCGGGAACAACCAAATGTAATTGAAGTTAATATTCCAGAATATTTTGGTAAAATCTGAGAACCATACAGTAAATATTTCATTTTCAGAATATCCATCAATTGTCTCAGACTTTCTCGTTCTCTTGTTTCCATTTCAATCACTCTGCTATCGTTCTCTTCTCTCAGAATTTCTCAACCTTGTGCCACCAGGCATTCCACTTTCGACTGATAATACATACTACTTATATCTGTCGACATCAGTGGCACATACCACAATAGTATTTATGGGCTTACGTTTTTCCAGATAGTTCTAGAGCTATCTATTAATAGTTATTAGATGAAAACATGAACGAGCATGTGTTAAAATAAGATACAGAACAAAGATGTGAAAGATGATTTTCTACTTGAAGAGTATAAAGAATAAAGAAGAGAAACCAAGCAGTTGTCAAGAAATAACTAAAAATATATGAAGGAATGTTAGGATCCTAGGAAACTATGGGATTGGATATACCGCCTTTGAGAAAAATGTTCAGCCTTGAATTGATGAATTATCAAAGCCTCCATTGTATACGAAATAGTTATTTGTTGACACGTTTGTTTTCATTTCCATACACTATTTAAGTGGACATTTATCTTCCACACATCTGCTCCATTTCTTACTTCGACGAGTGTTCTTTTAGATTTCTATCTTTTTATAATCGTCCAATAAACAACTCTCATAATCTCATGTTTCTATACGGTATTTCATTCTTACTACTCAATGACTACAGGGTAACTTGAAATTCTAATTAAACTATGGTTATCTATTGATTCTTTGCTACAAACGCTTCGGAAATTGTATACGCTTTTGATTGATGACAATCTTGATACACATATACCAATCGGAAACTGATCCGTTGTAGTCCTAAAGAATCAAACAAACAATACAAAATGAATTAAAGTATTACCTCATTGCACAAGCTAGTGGCTATCAGGACTCAGTAGCTAAGTGGGTAACGTGATGGGGTTTGAGGCGGACGGTGCTTGGTTAAAGTTCACGAGTGAACATCAACTTTGAGATGCAAGTACATCCAGCAGACGATTCCCAAGAGGGACGAGATGCACGTCATGAATTCCACTGCTAGACACTATCCATCTTTGCTTATAATAGTTATATATGTCCAATAATTTATAGGAGTACAATGTTCGTCTTTAGTTATTTTGAAAACACTGATAAATAGATATAGTTCGAAAACTCTTGTCAATACACAAAGTGTGTACCTCTTAAGTTTATTTCTATTTGTTCATTTATCGATTAAACACTATACCGTGTAATCCATAGATCAGTCAGTAATCGATGGTATGGTATCCATTTGAAGAGAAATTATGCATAAATTCTCATTAGTGCCATTTTTTCTAAGATTAATTTATTTGACAAATATTTTTTACTAACCAACAATAACGGAATATTATAGGGTATGGTGAGTTCATTGTGTTTTGTCTACTTTTCATCTGCACGCACAACCATTCGCCGAAATTCTAAGCCATCTTGAAATAATAATACTCCCACAATTATTATAATTACGATTGTTTTTGGAAATAACATTAATTTTCACAGTTTTATTCACCCTGTTACTAGTAATTTATGATCAAGCTCAGCGGCCATCTAATGTGGTATACTGGAAATTGATTAGAGGTGTAAATGTTGACCGTTCAGTGCATTTTCATTGATTTAATGATTGGATGCTTTCCGGGTAGCCAGAGAGTCCTGCGTTTGACCCCAGATTGATCGTGGATGTTTGCTGCCGACCTATTCAATACCAGGAAGAGACAGTTATCGTGATTTCCAGTAGTACATTAAAGAAAGTCAAGCTCTGAAGAATACTCCCTTATAAGCTTTGGAAATTACTTCGTTCAACATTAGTCAACTGATTTACGTAATCCATAAACGTCAACAGTCTACATTTCTCAAATATTTGATGTATCAGTAACATATGTTGAAGCATTAACATTTGCTTTTTTTAAAAGAAAACGCTTTTATATTTTTTTGAAGATAATCCAACGGAATTGCCAAGTTTCATACCAGATGCACCTGGTTTAGTACCATGTCAACCGGTGGATACGCATACACGACCACCAGGAGCATTTGTTTGTCCAAGTGGTTATATATGTAAAGGTTATTGGGAGGGACCAAATTATGGCATAACAAGTTTCGATAATATTGGCTATGCAATGTTAACAGTATTCCAGTGTATTACAATGGAAGGATGGACAGATGTACTATATATGGTAAAGTGATTTTGTCAAGCAATAATTAGCACGATTGTTACTAATATACGTTTATTTGTATTTTTTTAACTTTCATGAAATAATGTTGTCATTCATTTGAATGAACCGAAAACGTATTTGAATAATACTAATGACTCAACGAATGAAAAATTTATTATTGATGATGAGATTTTTTAAAAAGTTGTTAATTAGGAAGATTGGTAACTTTCACTGAATACTAATGATGAAATATATTGCATAGAGAAAGAAGTATCACAGTACTATTACCTATATTCAAAGTGGTTTAAATAATGGGCAACATATCTTTCATGAGACAGAATCTATAGGTGTATGGGTACAAAACTGCTGGTAATAGCACTGGTCAGTTTTCTTTTTCCATTCCTTGTTCTCACTCTGTTCTATAAGTTTACTTTATTCTTGATATGGTTATTATTTTAAGACCTTTGTTCATCATCTTATTAATTGCATCTACTGCTGTGTTGACTTAATGTGTACAAGATACAGGATAGTTATTTATTTGTACTGGATCCTACACTTTAAATAACGAACTAATTTTTGTGATGTATTGTAAAAATAGTTTACGCAGTATCACGTAGGTCGGAAAAACTTATACTGTCTTACGAAAGAAAATATTTAGGTACAATTCAAATAACTTAATAACTGATAGTTAACGACTACTTATCCAGTTGATAGACAGACGTACCAATGATACAGACTGTGTCTCATATTCTGCTACATTACTCTGAGCAATCAACAGATACGCTTTGCAGCGGCAAATGTATTTGATAATAGCGTGTTTTCATGTAATAAAACTTTTTCTGCAATTTCAATAATTTATGTTATATTTTATTGTTTAACAGACAAATCGAACATATGGGTCACGTTTCAACTGGATTTATTTCATACCTTTAATTGTAATTGGAGCATTTCTATTGATCAATTTAGTACTTGGTGTTTTAAGTGGGTAAGTTGAATCATATCTCACTAGTGTGAGTATCTTCTACGTTCCAATATTCACTGAAGTAAATGGTGGTAGGTTAATAGGTGAACAGGGAATCGATTGTGATTTTATAACTTATGAATGTTACGGAACACTGACCCATGTGACTAGTTGGTTCAAAAATATTTTTCACCTAAAAAAACAGTGATTCGTTTTATGATCACTTGTAAATGACTGAAACGAAATTACGATTGAATGGTATCCAATATAAATAAACATTATTTTTATAAATGTTATGCAAAGTCACATAAGCGGTGTAACTTGGTGGAAAATGCATTGACGTTTCGAAGCGAAATCTACGGAGTTCGAGTTTTATTATACACACGAACACATAGACATAACAATATCTGGTGGATGAGCACAAAACAGAATGAAACGCTTTTCCTGGACCCTACTGCTGGCTAAAACCATAGAATACAACACAATGTTAAAACCTAATAACACCTATTAGTAGCTTATAATTTAGCTAGGTGGTCAGAATAGTAGATTGATGTAAACTAAAATAACGCTGAATATAAAAGAGTATTAGACATAAGGTTAGTGTACATTACCAATCTGGAGCGACTTTTGAAATAATCCTGACAATTTTTCATGTTTAGTTTAGTGGGAAAAAAATAATGGTACATTAGTTCAAATAAAGTGTGTATATTATTTTCATATAACCTATGGCTTTTTGATATAAATTTAACATTTCTGGTATGTAGAATTAAAGGAACCCATCAATATGGCTGAAAAGTTTACCACTCACCTATTCTCCACGACACTTTCTTTTTTATTCCATTTTCCTTTTCTGATAACTCTCGCGTCAACTCCTAAGATGCCGGGTATCCAATGTGTAGGCACTGATATATTTATTAAACCTTCTGAGCTTGGATAACTCTGCTATCGAACTCGTACCAATCTGTGACGTTACTTGCAAAAATAACTGAATCTGTACTGGTTGACAGTTTTATGTTACCCGATTCATTACTGAAAGCATCCGTTGTCTAAAGATGACTTCCAAACAAATAAAAAGATGTAAGCTTTTAAAGACTTTTATACCAGCGTATTTACAACCAGAATATAAAATTATCACATTTACCATGAATTCCTATGGGCCTTATTTCCTTGCCATGATTGAATAAAATGGCTTTCCGGAGCTATCTTTTCTCCTATAAGTATATTATTATTTCATTTTCGCCAAAATCAGAGAGGCATGCAATGGACAGTCAACATAATTTTTAAACTATTAGACGTGTCTTTGAAGCCATATTTTGAAACATGATTGTCTCATCTTTATACTTTAGTATTAACGTATTGGGTATCCAGCATGAGATTAAAATAAAAACTATATTTTCAAACCGCCGAATCTGAAATGTAATAAAGTGAACCTCAAACTTTATTCGGTATCTGAAAAAAATAATCGTCATTCAGTTTATCATTAATACGTAACTATTTAACTTGTGATATGATCTAATTTGAAAACATTTCTGACCTACGACATCACACTGAGGTCATGTTATGCTGTTTTTCAAACTAATTTTGAATATCTTCCATTAAAGAGGAAGAATGTATTTGTAAAATCACAGTGAAAGAATTTGAAGTAAATCCAACGTTTCGCCTGGAAATCTGGTCCAAGCTTTTTCAAGGAATCATCAAACCATTTCTTTCACAGCACCAAAGATATTATTCATAATTTATATGTGAGTAGTTGAAAATTTGATTTTTTTACGGATTGGCAGTTTCGTATCTGAAGTTTAAACTCGAACTTCTAACTCTCTGATTGTGAAACAAAACGGAAAACGTAATTACTTTATCCATTTTTTACCTTCTTTCCTAGTGAATTTGCTAAAGAACGTGAACGTGTGGAAAAAAGGCGTGCTTTTTGAAATTACGCAGGCAACAACAATCTGATCGTGAATTAAACGGTTATCTAGATTGGATACAACGAGCCGGTTAGTTACACTTTTATTATATATATAAAGTTACTAGTATAAGAGCTTTGGAATGATCGTTAAATACTGTGTGTTACAAAATGAAACTTAATGAAACAACCAGTAAAAACCTGGAAGCACTATTGTGGGACTTCTTAACAATAAACACATAGACTGCCCCACAGCAGATCAAACCTAGAATAATCAGTTACCATGATAGTCGATTAACCCTTAGACCATTGAGTTGATATGCACTGGCTTATCCTACTAACTTCAACCAACTACTTGGCCAACTCATTGGCCAGTCGCTGCTTTGCTGTCACATGATTAAACTCCGATGGTCACAGTTCATCTCTATTGATTACAAAACTTTCGAAAGTTTTCAATGATTTAAATAATATTTATCATTGATTTTCCTATCTAAAATATCTGATTCTCAAATCCATGCCCTATAAAATCCCAAATAAGAACGAAAGACATGTTCAGCTGCTTCAGTTTATTTTAGTCCATGTAGAAAGTTATCTCAATAAATCGTTTGATTTTCCGTTTACTTCTCATTAACTTCGAAAATGATTCTTGAAGATTTTACAAGATGTTATTTGAGAAATTCAGCTGTACTTAAAATAAGGCGTTAGTCAACGATAGTATTGGATAATAGTCGTTTTATGTTGCATGTCAGACGTGATACAAATTTCGTTATAAGGATGTATGAAAGTCGCTCAACATCGAGAATCGAATAAAGTTGAAAATGTAGGCCATTGGATAATAACTCAGTGGCCTGAAGGTTAGGTGCTCACTATGAGGTCCGAGATTCTTTGGTCCGTTCTCCGATAGAGTTTTGGATGTGCACTGCTGAGTAATCCCTTAGTAGAACACAACACCTATCAAGTTCTTCCAAGTTTATTAAAGCTTATCTATGATATAAACCAAAGCTTGCTTGGAACCGGGAACTCGGACCACTGATCTTAGATAAAAGAGTCACAAAGAATAACTTGCACAGAACTGACACCATATCATGAGGAATTGTCAATGAGCACTGCTGAATACTCCGTCATTAGGACGATGAAGCCATTTTATGATTCCTTGGTTTTAGTTTAAGAGAATACTTGTTGAATAAATCTGTACAAACTATCCCACTGGATAAAACTGCACATATTCTATTGACAGAGAAAAATTACGTTTATTAGTCTTAGTCAAATGGTCACTGTAATCTCTCTTTAAGAAAAAAACGCTAAATCATCAATCTAGAAGGCACTATTTTTTTTCCATATCTTAACATTTAATCATTTAATTAACTTACATCTAAAACGTGTTAATGTTTGCATAAAAAGAACGGAAGAGAGTGAATGAATGAGTGAGAAAGTAGAAGAGACATAGTTATCCAAAATTAGGATATAAATACCATCCGTTGTTCTGTGTTTAAATCAACAACAAACTGATTGTTTTTTGTTTATTTCTTTTTATCTCACATTATACCCATCATAATTCACAGGTTTCTTTTTATTATGTTTATAGGATTCTATCATTAGGCAATAATTAATTAACACTCAGTATATATACGTATAATGTACGTATGTAATGTTGTTTCTTTATTGAGCAGAAGTAATAAGGTTGAACATAATTAGTATATTCAGTTCATGTGAAAAATCTATATTAGCCAAATTCATACATTATTTGATATAATTTTTGTTCCCACCGTTTGAAATTTATATGTTATCTTATAAAAGATTTTGTTTCTTTTGAAAGATGGTTATCAACAAAAAGTGATATTGTTTGTTATAATTTGTAATTCTATAGTAGTGAGTTACAATAACACCAACCAGTAAATGTCATGAAATGTTCGAAAGTATTCATTGAAAATACAATTGACTAATGTTTACAATTTGAGTTGGTCTGTGAAAGTAATTTAATTGTCCTATATTTAAACAGGTGTCCAACTATCTAAATGAAACTTTGTTTAAGTAGAAAAGTTACATTTTTAAAGATACTTTTATTTCCCAAATAGTCACCAATGATAGAGGAGCACAAAGTGATGTTTAATTGTGATTGATTCTATCTTACTTGGGCTGGTAAGCACAAACTGTCAAGAAGTTGTAAATTAAAAAAGACAATTGTGCATCTTCGTCTAATTTTTGTTTTCTATGTATGTATAGTTTTATGTGATTATTAGCTTTATTTCTTGGTGTGAAAATCATCTTAGTGCTCAGGTTGTTGTACGTTACAGCATAAACTAACTAATTTTTCATTGACATTATGCACCGATCAATATTAGGCCATTATTTAGAAACTGGAAGCTCTGGACAGCCGTTTCGTTCTAATATAAAGCTCCTCAGCAGTGCACATCCAAGATTCCGTACATGAAACTAGAACCAATAACCTTCGGCCGCGTGTGCAAACGCTCAACCTCTAAACAATTAACTTTATTGCCATACGATCCTGATATAAATCATCGAACGTGAAATATAAAATTTTTATTGAAGGTTGCTGACACACAAAACACTGACTTCATAAACTGTTGTTCTAAAATTATGATTTTTATGATAGTGTTGTTATTATTGTGTATTAATAAATGTATGACTTATTTGTTCATACCAAAGACATTTCAGTCACTTTTACTTCCACTGAGAAAAGAATAATAATCGAATAAAATATTAGCTGCAGAATTGAATATATTTTATTATTGATAATCATGATTTAATTAATCAGTCTTTTTCAGTATATAGGCTAATTGAAAACAAGACATAATGTAATAGTTGTTTATATTTCATTTGCTTTTTGATAATAACTAGCAGTAAAATGAAAAACGCTTGCTTCAGCTTATTTAGAACCATTAAGATGAAAATTTCTCGAACTTCAATGTCTGTATTGAAAAACTCAAGTTCACTGTTTACATTAAATTTATTTAATGGGCACCTGAGTCAAGATAGAAACAATATGTTATAAGGGTAAAACGCGAGCGCATAAAAGAAATTTTTCGTCATTTCTAAAGTATCTCAACAATCAACCTCTGTAAAGTTTAGTATAAATGTAGGCTAAACACTCCCAGATATAGTATAGATTTCAAATTTTTGAAGAGCGTTCCAACTTTGTTTATTGATCCAAGTTGCAATAAAAGTGTAAATATCCAACTTGTACCAGTTTACGATATAATGTGACAGTCATTCAATTCCATTAATTGTCTAAAGTTATAGCACCCAACCCATTCAATCCATAGACTTTGGGGTCCATTCCCTAATAGGTTTGTTGGTAAATCTGTATATGTATATCAATTAAATATATTCAAAGTTTTAAGATTGTTGACTTTGTTTTTTCTCTAAAATAGTATTGTAAGACAACTTAGTATAAGAAGGTTAAATTAATTTAAACTTAAAAATGGTAATCCTTACTAATCACTGAAAGAAACTAACAATTGCAAAAAATAAGGTTGCCATGGTAACAGAAATAGGATAAACAAAGGGGATTTATAGGTCCGTTCCATAGTAGTTATCTTCGTTATTTGATTATTGATTTTGTTTTCTCAGCAAATTAATTTGTACTCAGTTAAATTATATGTTTTCGTATATATTAGCAAGTTTAAACCCAATATTTAAATGAAATTATTCGCAATTGAGATTTGATTTATCAGCCTGTGTCAGAACTTAGGCTACATGAAAATAAGACTCGATTTTATGTTAACTGATTTGATGACTAGATATTTTAATATTTGAATCTAAAAAGCATGTTTCATTCTATTCTAAAATACGTTATGTTTATGCTAATGATCTGAATGTGATTCAACCTTTGTACATAACGTCGTGTTACAAATCCTAATGTTAACCGTTTCTTGAGGGGGCACACCCCGAGACTTTGACCTAAAGGTCCAACCCATAAGGCAGTGGAGCGCCTTTAGAAGATGCAGTCCCATGGTAGCCGGTGACCAACAATAGGTTCATACGTCATTTGTTTCCTTAGGATTCTGGAGCCCATGTAAACCACCGTTTAAAATCAGGGTTTTCTAACTCTCCTAGGTGGATCCTCCGTATCCACCCAGTGTCGGACATTCGCTTTACGTCCTTTTAATTTTGTAAACAACACCTCTGCTACGAGAAGTTAGTAAATAGGACTTCCCTGGCAGCGGTTTTATGCACATCATCACTTGAGTGCATTTTGAGCGAGAGAGAGAGTTGACTCGCCTTACTCTTGGTCGTACCAGGGCATTTGTAGGCATGATAAATAATTTAATCCTTTGATATTTTCGACCAAAATCAATAAAAAAATGAATAGTGAACGGCAATTAGAAATAATACTGTTCTATCTAAAATCTCAACTTTTTTACACATTTTTTGTGCCTTTAATTTAGAGGAAGTTATTTTAGCTGAAGAGCAAACTTCATTTGCACAACGATTAAAAATTATCAAAGGTAGGTTCTGTCATCATTTTCATCATTTATACATTTTATTTAATTGTTCAATTTCTATTTTTATAAACTTACAAGTTAACCGTTTTAAACAAAATATAACAGGAATTATGAGATATTCATCAAGAAATTCTAAATGGTATTGAATATTCTATTCGGATTATTTTCAACCCAAAATAAAGTTATTCAGCGAAAAGTTATTAGAAACTAAAAGAAACTAAACGGTTATATTTATGAGCTTTTGGATTTCACAAATGTATTTACCAACGACTTAATGCTGAACCATACTATGGCTCATGCTCATATTCACTGTGTTTGTTAACATTTTCCATCCGAAAATGTCAGGTCTATACTCTTCGTGAAGAATATCTTCTTCATATTAACTGATCAATTAGTTATAATAAATATCATACTGTCCAGTCTTTAGTTATAATTTGACCATTAAACTACGTGGTACCATTACAGGTGCTTTTCTAATCTATGCATATAACCGAAGGATATCTTCAATGTCTTCATTTTCACATTGATCAAGAGACTGTAAAAATTTGAATCGACTATCAGAAGGATTTATTTATTATATAAACATTAAAAACTCAAAAAGCTAACCAATGCATTAGTTCAAATAATAACTTAGTGAGTGCATTTTAACGTCTTACAATTGAAACATAAAACCTTTGCTTTGACAATGCATGCAAAAAAACATAAAACAGATAATTTATTGTTCATGATTTAACTTGACAGCTAGAAAAAGAGCGGAAAAGGTACGAAGAAGATCAAACGATGCTGAGAAACGTGCTATAGCTGCTGAATTGGAAAGTTGTGAGGCTGGTAAGTTTTATTATATATTTATAATTAGATATGCTTCACATAATCCACTGTTAATTAATTTATACTGATGATAATGATTTCAACGATGAAATCTAACTGATCGAATAAGAGAACTTTCATAATTAAGCTGAATGTCGTCCGTCTTATATAAGATTTTTTCACAATCCGAACAAATGGTAGAAATATTTGAAAGTAGAATCTCACATGTACTTGAACGTTCTAATAAGTAGATGTGACTATAAAAGTTTTTAAAAATCATTAATAAAGCAGGCACAGTTTAAAGTAATATAAGGTAGCTTCATATTATTATAAAGTGACTGAGATTGTGGACAATTACTGATACTATTGTTTTCTGTAAAAATTTTAGTGTACTTTAAAAAATTAAGGTATGTATAATATTATTTAATGTTAAATTGCATACATGCAAATACTACAAACGATTGTTCAGTTTCATGCAGAAAATAAAATAAACTGGTTACAATAAGAAACTGGGTTATACAATAACTTACGGGTAATAAATACATACTTGGTCATTTTTTTAAAGTAGGTGCAAATTTTACCGACAACAATGATGCCACTGATTTTCTATCGAGTTACTAACTTAAATGAAGTTTCATTTTCACTTCTAAATTAAAGCTCACTGTTAGCATTTCGTCCTACTTTTACTGAAACGAGATGTAGTTTATTAAAACTGGGTAAACAGTATTTACTAAGATCGTTTATTCTTACATAATGATAAAAATGAACATAGCAATTTTGTATAATCCACTTCTTCAAATAATAAACGGTTATCTCTATCAAACAAAATGCTGGACAGCACTAGAAATTAAAGGATATTCAGTAAAACTGCATACGAGTTGGTAACTAGTGTATTATTTTCATGTTGTTGTGATCATTTTTGATGGTAAATAAAGTTATTTTATCAACTATCGATACTCTTCATAACTGATAGTGAAATATATTTTGTTCTTTATGAGGAATTTAAAGCATTCTTGAGTATAAAATATTTTACAATCAATGCTGTTTAATTTGTATGTACAAACCAAATCATTTAGATGTGTGTCTTGTTTTGTAATGTCTTAGAATTCATTAGAAATCTTCCGCTTCATCCTGGAAACGAAGTAACATCACAATATTCTTAAATAACCATACAGTTTTATAGTTTAGTTTTAAATTATTTAAATAATACTCATCAGAGAATTCAGAAATGTCATAATTCATTTCTACTCTAATGACATTTCTAATTTCCTTTACAAGCGAGTATCCTTAGCAACATAAAATTTTGTTGTGGATAGATCTATTTGAAGACTATCTCAAGACATTGGTTGTATGATAAACAATTCCACTTAACTATTCCGTGTAAATTTGTTTGACTAAATTTGAATACCTTAATTTATGTTGGTTTTTAAATGCGACTTTAATATGCAAACAATCAGTAATATTGGAATTCAGAAACATTCTTCTGCTTATGTTATAACACATACTTTTGATGTAAATATGTAAATCACCAAAAAAACACGAAGTAACATTGTAGATCCTATTTGAAGTGCATCGAACCGCTTGAATGACTTTCTTGTGACCAAGTTTAAATTTAAATAATAATACTTCCAATCGGAAGTTTCGCACCAACGACTGACTACGGTTAGGCAAACACTGAATGTGGAAAACTTTGAAAAGCTACTCAATCCTAGTATGAGATTACTGAGCAAATCCATCCACAATCCCTACATGGATTTGGTACCAAAATCTCAGACATATGGCTGGTGTTCAGCATTAAACCACTACGTTTCTATCCAATGACATATCTCTAACTTTATTCAAGTCAATTTATTCCACAACTAATGACATTGATTATATTTGTCTCACTGCCAACACTGCTGAGCTCGATTGGTCACTATTTCTCCAAAGAGCTCAGGGAATCGTTCGATAATAGGTATACAATAATTCTCATTAAAGATGTTATGTAAGTCGTAGAATTTGAATCTCCACATAAAGGATCGACTTAAAACTTTAAATTTTCCATAACAACACACAATAACAGTTTTCTCTATCCTAAATAGACATTACGTAGTATAAATGTCGATTCTTCAGTTCAATGAAATGGTCAGTTTTCATTCATTTTTGTTGTAAGATAAAAGGAAGTAAACTTGTCATTATGCAACAGCATGTAAATTAGTGTTTTAAATTACCGACCAGATAAAAGAATATTTATATATCTCTGACATCAATATAAACAACTTTTGAAGATCTCTTTCATTTACTTTATTTTTGTTTCCTTTTTTCTCATTTCATTTTAAACAAAGAATTAAAAGCTAAACGAAAATTTAAAATACCCGGAACTGAAACTTTATTTCAATATCATAAACGATTTCGGTAGGTTCTCTTGTTTACATTAGTTCCATTATTATTTCTAAAGTATAATAAATCTTAAGGAATATAATGAGTGTTAATACATGCTTTAGTTTTGAGCATAAGTATAATAATTCACAACAAAAATAAAACATAATCACTTTATATAAATGAGCTTTACCTTAAATGGAATACATATCATGACTATTGTTTAGTTTGCGTTTAAAGGTCAAGTTATCAAACACCTATTACTTAAAGGATATTAGCAAAGTAATTAATAAGTAATATCTTACTTATGAAAAAATGTAGCTTAGAAATAAATAGGAATAACTAATTTTTTTGGATACAATAATCGGGAGGCTTTGTCTACATACATATGCAAACATTTTTATTATTTTGTATATTTCTAATCCATCCTCAATGAATCTCTATTTGTAACGTTTATTTCAAAATATGTGTTGGATACTCAATACTATTACATTGATATTGAATATATAGTTGCAAAAAAAGAAGCAAATTTCGCCAATATTTTTAAGTTTACTTGTATTAGTTAACTCAGATAAAAGTGGATTGTTCTACTCTTTTCGGAAATATTTTTAATCATAGGAAAACTTTTTATCATTTCTGTAGTTACAGATATAAATGCTTGGTTTGTCTATGCAAAAAACCATAATCTTATTATTCCATTAATATGTATATATTGAAAGGGAAATTGTAACATTGTTGAATCCTACAAAAATGACTGTATAGACTGGACTATTTATAAAAAATAAAATATTGTTTGAATTTTAATGGTTAATATCATCGTTTATGTTGAGCTGTTATAAAATAATAATTTAAAAATAGAATTGAGATGGTTATCAGTTCATACTGATTATAATTAGGTGGTTTCCAATTTTAAGACACTTTTCACCATCCATTGAGAATAGTTTAAAGGAATGCCTTTACTGTACAGGACCTTACGTATATATGCTCACTAGTGACTGGCTTCAAATGTATATCTTGGAGTTCTAGTGAGAATCAATGACCAGTGGAGTTCAACTTGGTCACTTGTGAAATAGTAACTCACTGATGACAATGGTGAATGTGTCGCTCAACTTCGTGGATTAATTGAAATTAGACATTAACACCGTTGGATGCCGGCTCAGTAGTCTAGTATGTTGAGCATTTGCGCACGAAACTGATAGGTCCTGGGTTTGAACCCCGCAAGCAGGGTTGGGGATACGCACTGTTGAGGAATTCCACGATAAGACGGAATGACCATCCGGTGCTTTCAGGTTTTCCATGGTGGTCTAGCTTTAAATGACTCTTAATCTCGACTATATATCTCTGTATATACCTCTGAAGAGTCCATAGCCAAAATAAAAAAGGCTCCTCAATGTTTCATACTGGTATCATTTCGCGATGGACATTTGCATCGACCTATGATAACATTAGTGCAATCCTCTTCAACTTACATGAAGAAAGCAAAACTTAATTATCTTTTATATTAAGCATTAATAATAATACATTTATCAAACAACTACATACTTTACACATTTCTTTCTTTTATATTCTAGCGTCAAATGTAAATTATTCTTATAATATGATTAGACAGTCTAACATCATTTGTGTATTTCCTAGAATCACTTTCTTTGTTATTGTCTTCCATTTAATATACCAAAAACAATTGTAGATTTGCAGTTCGTCGTCTTATAAAATCACAAAACTTTTATATTATTGTGATTACTCTCGTACTGCTAAATGCATTATGCGTTTCTGTAGAATTCTATGGTCAACCAGGATGGCTTACAGATTTCTTATGTAAGTTCATGCAGTTATTTTATGAATATACATATTTTATATTTATAAAATTCATTATTTACACATTTCACTTTCATAAATTAATGTAAACACGATAAATCATCTCAGAAGATATGTAATGAAAATTATGATTATTATATTGTTAGACTGAAGCTAAACAAAAGGTATTTCATTTACACAAGCTAATAGCATCGAGATATATATTATAAGACTTGTAGTACGAATGGATTTCTTTGATTGTTTAACAGTAAACACTTTCATCTACCACTGTACTTACTAGATAGATAAAATGATTATATAAAGCCTATATTCAACAATTTGTATTCAAATTCAGATTAAAAATTCTATATTAGAAGGGTTGTATGTGGGAGTTTATTAGAACTCAAAGAAGCTGTATAATTGTTTGAAATCAGACAAGTAACTTTTGAAAATCAGATACCATTTCTTTTTCCCTGATTTTGGCCTCATTAGTAGTACAAAATCAAAGTTTTAAAATGACTGAATACCTAACTCGAGATACTCTATAGCCGCTGTAACATCCAGCCAATGGATATGATGATTTATATTATCATCAGTACTCAGTTCGTGGTCACTATTTAATGCTTTCGACAGTTAGCCCCCTCCTGTTTTATACTATTGATTCAAAGGTCAATTCACACCAGAATTCCAGAAAGTTGATCTCATAATTAATCTGCAGTAAGCTCATAATTAATATTTAGATAAGTGATTTGTGAATATTTTCTTAGTTTAATGATATGCTTCATTGTAGACTAATTTCATCGGCTAATCCAATGATCCAGAAAATAGAACACTAACAAAAAATAATTTATCAAAGGTATAATCACAAGTGATTCGAATATTATCGTGAGAACGGTACTTAAGAGCCATATTATATGATGAAACGTTTATCTAATGCCTCTTGATTATTTATGATTTATTAGCTAACACAATACTCCCTGATGAGAGTTTTCGTTAGATTGAAACGTAGATTTTATCAATAATTTCTTCTTCTTTTTCATTTAAGAATTTTTTTCATTATAATCAAATTGTTTTTCTTACAGATTTTTCAGAATTCATTTTTCTTGGTCTTTTTCTATTTGAAATGATCATAAAAATCTATGGATTGGGTTGTTTGATTTATTTTCACTCAACATTCAATATATTCGACTTTGCTGTAAGTTGATAATACAAATAAGTTGTTATTATTGTTCTGATTGCAAATTAAGTCATAATATTCTTTTTATTCATCATAAAATACACTGAAACCATCGTAAGTATCAGTGGATTTTAATCCTTTGACTAGAAGCGGTTGACATAATTTTTGAATAGTTGTCAAATCATCAGTTTATAAAAAGGTTTATTTTTCTGTTCCACGGTATTCTTTATTCCTTTAAATTTCATCAGAAGCATTTCGAAACACTTGTATCAAGAATACACTGAAAAGGAATGGTCTGTGTCATGCTAGTCTAGTCCATAGAGTTTTGTGAAACTAACGGAATAAGTTGTAGTTTGGATAATTTTATCTCATCAGTTTCTAATAATTAAGGTTTTTGGTCTATTCTGATATTAAGAGCTGTTCCAATGAGTAACGTGCAATTTAAACTGTTCTTTACAATTATGAATTTGAAATCAACTGAAGTTCGTTTAACAAAAATATGGGCGAGAAAAAATAAGTTACAGCCATTTGAGTATATTTGCATGAAATAAGTAATAGTCAATAACGCGATAGGTAGTTCTACAAACTTCTAATAAATTTAATTAATCATTACAACAGTTCAGAAAAAGTTCCCCACAAAATCCGAAAATTTTACCTCATGGTCTATATGGGACCGCGGATTAGCTCTGCTGAACCTATTTAAAACTAGAGAAGATTAGCTTCCACTTAGACACAGTAAATGATGGGAAGTTTCGTTAAATAGGATTTATCTTGCGAAATTACGTATAATTACGTATAGACATATCAATAAGTGATGATGAACACGCTGTTATATCTGAGGAATACTGATTTGATACTTTGTACTGAAAAAGCGTCAATCAGATGATGGACGTAAGAAGAAGACAGTAGATAAGAACTTATTCGACTGAATAAGCATAGATACACAATATCATAAAGTTAACCGTCTATAACCAATCGATATAATTAACATGATCACTTTGTTTTAAAATGAGACTTGATATCAAAGTAGTTAAAAGAAAAACCAGTATCACAGGTCACTGACGTTTCAGGCAATTAGTTTTTTGCTCACCACATCACACACGTGCATTTTCCACCGCGTCATATATATATATATATATATATATATATAATTCATTTGGAAAAGTATAGTCGTCTTTTAATTGTCTAGATTGTCCCGAAATAAAGTAAAATCGAAGATCAAAATCATAAATAAGAACATCTGACTCGTCTAATAAAGCTATGACAAATGTTCTCAATTTTTAATAACTTTTTATATTCACTGATTAAAAAATTGATGCCCAACCCCCGCTATCGTAACAAGATTTTTGTTCCGTTTGATGGTATATACTTATCTATTCTTTGTTCACCATCCATTCATCCAGTATTTTTCTATTTGACATTTCTTACTCTCCCTCTGTGTGTCACTTCATTTTCCAAACATTGTATCCTGTTTCTCCCACTCAGTTTCACTAACTCTCATTTTAATTGATTGGTTTAGTTTCCCTTATGTAAAAAGAGGAGGAGAAGAAAAGGAAGAGTCATATCTTCATTACTGTCTCAAAAGTAATTTTGTTACTGTTAATTTTGTTTTAAGTTACTACTTGAATCCTACCATAATTCTCTTGAATTGATGCAAATTATGTGTACAGTGATCAATTTATAACAAAGTGCTGTGGTAGATTACAACAACAACAATGACGGCAATGATAATAATTTTTCCGGTCATTGAAATGATGAAAATCACAAACTGGAAATTTATTTAGTTACTATGCTTAAGCTCTGGTAGATTACATTCAAGGTATTTTTGGTTGTTAGACTGTAGAGTAGTAAAACAAAGATGTTAAATCCTAATTATTTAGGAAGTTTAAATTGGAGATTTTGTGTAGCAAAATATTTTTCCTCAACATTCTCTTTACTTTGTAAGTACGAAGGAATCGTTCATTATTGATAAAACTCTATAGGCGTACATAAATTGATTAATTACTGATAAGTCAAATTAACGGACGTATTGTAACTTGATCGATTGAATTCAATCAGCATTTAAGGCTAATCAATGATGACATTGCTTACTACACATTAATAAATTAGTGCTAATAAATCAATCTAATAAGAAGTTAATTGCAATTTGAATAGCCCAGTGTATTTTTTCTCTGACAATAATGTCAGGCGACACAGGTTCTCATATTTTGGAACACTAGTTCATTCACAACTACAGATATCCTATACTGACGTAGATAACCAGCTAAGTATCTATTCCCAGGGATTCCTATCAATTGCATTCAACATCCTAACACTGTTACTACAGTTTAGTCCAGAAATGTGGTTTATTAGTCAACTGTGAAACTTCAGAAGAATGATCAAATTTATTTATAACACTAGTTTCAAAATACATATAACCATAACATGAAAATTTCTTATTAATTAGCTATAGTGCACACTAAATTAATACTTTTTCTATTAAAAGACTAGTATTCGAACGAAGAATATTCTTTTCGATAAATTCTCTTCAGGTTCTACAATTATATAATCAAATTAATAATCCGAAAAATGGTCAGGTTAAAGGCAAAGTACATCGTTTAAAGCATGTGAATTTAGGATTGTGACAAACAAAATACAATAAAATTGTTAATGGTAATATGACTCATATAGAATGTTAACTTGAATCTGTGTATATGTTAAGTGAAACTTTGAGATCCATGATCAGAATAAATATGGATCAGATAGAGTGAGAGAAATAATAGTGCAATTACAATTCGATCAAATAAGTAAGACGTAATAAGGAGGGATGAATGCGAAATGAATGAATCATGAATAGGGAAGATAAATGACGTTTAACCAATAATAATAATAAGAAGAATAAGAATAATAATACAAAGATTTATTATCAGCTGATGGTCGATTAAATATAAATTGTACGATAAACTACCAATCAATGAAGTAATTAAATGCAATCAATTTGATAAGAATTGTATACATTTTATAAATGACTGATGTGATAAAATTCATAGAAACCGGACAAATTCAATGAACGGAATATAAATATAAACAACAGAAACTTGACCAATTAAAGAGTTAAATTGATGAGTGTTAAACATGGATCCAACAGTAAAGTCCTAGTTAAGTTTATTATTTAAGAAAATGAAATTATTTAAAATCTTTATTGAGTATCATTAACATTTTAGCATAACTGGGTAATTCTGGCTTCCTATTTCGTCCTGTATCATTTATTAATCAATAAATATGACAACAAGCCAAAATGAACTTCAACAATCATAATTTCATATTGATTCTTATAAAATGTGTTTAAATCTTAAAACTATTACTGTTACCCAAATAAATATTATAATTAATTTGATTTTTAGGTTGTTTTTGCTAGTTTATTCGAAATTGTATGGCAGATTTTTTATCCATCTGATTCATTTGGATTTTCTGCTTTACGTAGTATACGTTTATTGAGAATATTCAAAATTACAAGGTAAGTTTATACCGATAAAATCAATTTGTTAAATAATAAAACATGTTTAATGTTTTTTTCCAGTAGTAATAATAAGGAAGAATTAGTGATATTGAGTGATATTTAAAGCATTTTATTCATTCGACAATTATTCTTTATGATAAACAGTGAATTATTGTTGAAAATAAGGACTATCCAGCTTCAACTTAGCTATTCTTAGGTAAGATACATAGCTATTAAATCTGAAAATTCTATATTCCATTCTTATCAGAATCGTTCGTGAGTTATCGGTAAGGAGTCCTAAACAAGGATCATTTAACTAGTATTCGATGATTTTTCAGAATTTGTCCAACTGGAGAACAAGAACAATAGAACAACAAATAATGATTGAAATCACGAACCTATCAGTGTTAGAACAACATTGAAAACCTGGAAGCACTGAACGGCCTTTTTATTGTAGTATGGGACTCCACAGCAGTGCGCATCCATGATACCATATAGGAGACTCGAACCAAGAATTTTTAGTCTCGTGTAGACGCTTAACATTTAGATCACTAAGCCGGGATTCAACGTGTTAATACTTAACTTCAACCAACAAACAATCTATCTTTTATCAATAATGATGCATTATTTCTCAAAAGTCTATGCTATTTACATGTACTGTAAATCAAGAAGCATTATTCTCTCTGTCAGATAGAATCGGTTAGCATGGTTCAGTAAATGAAAATGTAGAAAACTAACATTGTTATCTTAAGTAGATTTATAATCAATAGGTGAATGTAAAGTAAAATTTGATAGAGGGTTTTAGAACTAGGGTATATTTTAATACTCAATAAAAATCTAAGTAATATTTACAACTTCAAAAAAAGAGAATATTTTAATAGGAGGATAAAAAAGATTGCATCACAAAAATGGATTCGACCATAAATAACAAATGAGGTTACGTACTAATCAAAGAAAATTTTCTTTTCGATGAAATCATTTACTGAAGCTGTACATTCGTTTATATGTATATAATTATATGAAGCCTCATTTGTTATTTATTCTCGAATCCATTTTTGTGATGCAATCTTTTTCTATCCTCCTATAAACAATTATTTTAATAACTAATTTATTAAACTATACATTCATGCTAGATGTTCACTGTAACCAACACTTCAACAACCTTTTTCAATATCCATAATTAATTCCCTAGTAATAATGGTATTTCTATTTTCGTTTATGAATATACAATAAGCTTATTGACTAGAAAACTATAACTATTCATTTGAATTTCAAATAATTTTCTATCGTTTTAATTCTACAATTTAATATTTACATTCATTTACTTATATCAGGTCAATAAAGATAAATGTGTAGTTGGTTAAACTAAAGAATAATAATAATTTATCATTTATCTTTCCTCTATTAAATTACATCATGTAGTGTTGTTTAATTTCAAAAGACAAACATTAGATAACTAAAACTAAATCATTCGTCTATAAACAAAATTGAAAAAAAAACAGTAGCAAACTCTCAAAAATTATTTTATGATTTGATGGTTGGAAATCATTTTACCATACAATTTTTTTGTATTATGTATATATATGAAGTCAGTAGTGAATCTTACTTATGGAATGAAAATGGAATTTTCTCTAAGGTCATTGGGAAATTTTATTTTATACATAAATTTATACAATATCATTGAACTAAGCAACAACAACAACAACAAATAATCACTATAGGCATAAAGAAAGAAATAATTTTAACTTTTTTTAAAGAAAAAAAGAACGTTATAATTGAGTGATTTATTTATCTTCTTTATTTTTTCTTTAAAAAAATATTTTTTTTCACTCCCATACACACTTTGTCTAAAATACATTTATCACAATGAGTGAAAATGTAACACATGCGCGCACGTACACAAAAACACACACGCACACAAAGAGTACAGTTAAATGTTTGAGGACAATAAAAAAGAAACAAACGAATGAAATAGTTTATCGTATAATATTCTAATTCATGAATGAATAAATTGGTTCATTATCATTGATCAAATGTTTCTTATCTTATGACAGTTTTAATAACTAACCTGAATTTAAAGTAAATGAATGTAGGAGTTTTGAAATGTCATGATTAAACTTTTAATATTTTTATCTTTATAATTTAAAACCACATTACGTGTAATTGAATTTGATAATAAACCAAAAAGATGGTAAGGGAAAAAATAAGTCAATTTATTATACCTTCTCTTTTCATAGATGTGAATAGAATTTTATATATTTAACATAATCCAAGTAATAACTTTGATGTTAAAAAAGTGTTCAGGTCAAATATCAAGTTATTTCTTTTATTTTATGATCTGCTAATATATCAAGTTCATATTATATTCAAGTGGCTATCAAGACTCAGTAGCTGAGTGGATAACGTGATGGTGTTTCAAGTGAATGGTACTGGGTTCAAGTCCCAGAGTGAGCATTAACTCTGAGATGCAGGTACATCCAGCTGACGAGTCCAAAATAGGATGAAACGCGCGTCTAAACTGGATTCTACTGCTAGCCACTATCTATCCTTGCTTACAAAAAGCTTGTGAATTAAGGCAATATCGAGGCATACGCAAGGTATGCACATATGCCAATAATAGACTGATCAATTGCAGTCTTAAACCTCAATCGGAAGATACAAGCCAAACAATACCAAGTGAATATATTCAAATTTGTTTGGAATTTAAATATATTATACAGAACAGCGCTTTAAGAATAACATTCTATATTCCTTATACTGAAATATTCATTCTTATATTGTTATTATGAACTTTTCATGTTAGTCTTCTTAAAATTTATCGCAAAAGTTGTTGATATGACTTTTCGAAAGCACTAAAACATCGTATTGCAATAGAGATTGAGGAACACACATAATAAATACTTAGCTGCATTTTATATGATAAAATCGATAGTGTATATGTGGTAGATGAAATTACTCTATTTAACGTTACTAAAATTTTTTGTTATCTACTCCGCTGCTTTTCGTTGACGCATAGCAAAATATATAATCATTCAGATTATCAGCCTTTGAGTTTGTATGTGATAGAAGTTCAGTATATTCCAACTACATTTCACATTTTGTCTCTATCAATTAAACACACCTAAACTTTGTTTTGTAGCTCACTTTGTCCATCAGTGTTAATTAACACTTAAGAATTGTGTTCTCATGTTTTCCTCTACTTTTAATTACTGATCTGAATATTTACTTCGCTGTATTGTCTTCAGTATTCTTATGGCTGCTATATCTGTCCTAATTAACATAAAAAAATCTCTCAATATTTACAAACTGAATGCTTCAAAACCAAGAAATATTTGAGCAAAAAGATGGTTGTTTGTGCAGGAGGTTATGAGAATTACCGAATTTATAAACTTATGTCACTAACTTATTTGGGCTAAATAACCGTTGAAAACTGGGAACCACTTGTAAGCTACTTCATCGTATAATGAGATTCTGTAACAATTCTCATCTAGAACCCCTTCAGAGACGACATATTTTATAAGAAGCTATTGATTACCAGATTACTGAGTTGAGATCCATGAGTCAAACTTCCTAATGTCGTTTAATTCACAATATTTCACAACTATCATATATTCCCATTAGGAATACTTGTATTACTACCAACACGCTTGAGCTGCAACAGTTTTTAGCAGCTTAATCTTCCTGCTCTACTATCAACAATTCATAAATTTTAAATTATTTGTTCACATAAGAGTTATGATTATATAAATTTAATTTATTCAAATCCTTAGTCAATCACAAGGTTCTATGAGAAAATCCACTGTATGGTGGTGAGTTATAACCATAAAAAAGAACCATATTATTAAATTAAAAGGTGTTTGAAATATCAGTGTTATCGTGTTAATAATGATAATAATATGTGAATTAAGATAGGTGAACACTCAATGTGAAATGCTTCACAGTGCGAAAGAGGACAAACATAAATATGATATAATGTAAAGGGTAAGATATCATACTACACAACTAACGAAACCAATTTGATTAGAAACATCATGAAAGTATAGTGAAGCTGGATGGACAAAAATTCCTAAATGTATTTTAGAAAGATAGATTTCTATGAATTGATTCCTGTATCGTTTCCTGTGCAAAGCTATTTTGAAAATGTTGGGGACGTTAGATTCCCAGAACTCACATGGGAAAGGACCCAATTTTGTAATTTTATTTGGAAAATTTGAATTTCTTTATTTTCGCGACAAAAGCGCTCTTGTCACCTTCATGTCGAGTTTCCCACTGGGAAATATCTCTCGAAGGATAATGGTTTGTTGCGTCTTTTAGTATGCTATTTGGTAACTCTCTCCAAGGACGATTTTGTACTGTATATGTACATTTTGAATTGTGTTTGTTGTTATCGCTCGTTTCTGGCTGTTTGCAGAATATACTTCCCCATTCCAAGCTTGGACTTCTCCCTCTAGTTAGCGGAGCTGGGACGCATCAAATAGCTAGCTTACTGGTTTTTGGTCACTGAGTCTTTGTTCTCGTTCGGAGATTAAGTGGACTCGTGATATCTTCATCCCTAGCAGAACATGATACAAAGTTGATCCTCAAACTGTCTATCAGACGGAAACAGATTACATTAGGTACATACTTGATAGCTCCTCTCCCTAGTTATACAGGTGTGTTCATTTGCACAAGTGATTTTCACTATCTTGATAGGGCTCATCAAAGATAAGAATTAAGTTTCACAATCATCGATATTTATCTGGTTAGAAGAACAATCTGTATAATATCAAATAATTTTCTTGATGATTATTCAAAACTTATGAAGTTATTTAACAACATCTATCAGCACTTTCAGTAATTATCGAAAAATAACTAAATATTTGTAATAAAATCTCATATAATTCGACTAAAGTGCCCGAAATTGGATAAAACTATGTAACAGATAGATATAAGATGTTTCATTTACATATATTTTGCTGGTTTAGACTCCACATTAGAATTAGAATTAGTTACCTTGATGATAAATTGGCACTATTTCTTTTAGCATGTATAAACACAAAAATTAATATTGATTAATATCAAACTAAAATAAATTTACTATTTTTGTTATATTGATTTTTATGAGTTTGGATAAAAGTTAACCTACATCAACTATTAATTGGATAGTGATCAAAAAGCTACTGATAAGCTGTACTGAATAGTGAATGTTTTAAATACACCCAATCACAGAAACTAAGGAATAATATGTGTATAAATAGAATAGCTATAATGATTAACCACGAGTTCATGGAATCCACAATATAACAGTTAATTTAAAACGAATTTTATCTGAATGGAATTTTACATTCCTTTAAAAGAAAACAAACTGTTTATAAATTATTGACACCTATAATGTTTCTTTTCCTTCGTTTTTTTCTCTATCTTGATAATTTAGATATTGGGCATCATTACGTAATTTGGTATTATCTTTATTAAATGCTATGAGAAGTATACTCAGTCTTCTGTTTCTACTTTTCTTATTTATGTTAATATTTGCTTTACTTGGAATGCAATTATTTGGTGGAGAGTAAGTTTTTATCAATTAGTCACTGAATATTTTATTTCAATTTATTTTTATATAGAGCTATTTTTACAAGTCATTCCTGAATAGTGGTGTAGTGGACGACAACACATGTGAGAACAATCAAATGTATTTGAATACACAACTACAGAACATCTTAGTAAAATCTGAAAACCATATAATAAATACTTAATTTGCGAAAATGTCAATCAATCGTCTCAGACTTTATTGTTCTTTCGTTTCCACAGCAATTATTCTTTGTTTTCATTCTCTTTTCTTCTGCCTCCAGGCATATGACTTACGACTGACGATACGTACTACTTATATCTATCGATATCAGTAGCACACGCCACTGTAGTATTGGCTTAAAATATCAAATGTTTGAAACTAATAAATAGGAAATTCTAAATTACCATTAACAAATGAATGACATAAAATTTAAAGTTATATGAATATTGTTTTTTTTCCTATTATAAAACCGGTATTCATTATAATGTCAAATCACTTGAATGATTAGATGCTAATTTTATAAATGGTATTCGATTGATATTAAAATAAAAAAATTGGTTATTGGATTGTACCCCATAACGAATCAATGATAAATCAATTTACTGAAGTCATTACTCTGTAACTGAACAGAATTAAAGATTATTAAATTAAATAGATAAAATGTATGTGAATGAATAATAACATGCCATGATGGTGATATAAAGTTAAAGAGAACACAACCAAATAATCTGATAACCATAAAACATCTAAGCACCTTGCATAGTTCTTATTATCGTTCACATTTTTGAAACATTTAATTAAGTTTTGATAAATGTGATCTAAATGAAGGATAATTATCTCATTGACACTTTAAAACAATTCTTTGTTGAATATTAATCTTTTTTGATATTTTTTCATGCAAACTGATCAGATAAATAATATGGTGATGGAAACGCCTAAAATATCGTTCTATATTCAAGCGAATGCATATTAGTCATCACAGATACTAAATAAAGAAAATGCTTATAACTATGTTTGCCAATGAAAGAACATTTTTTAAGATTGAATATGTTCGTAGGTGTACCGTTTACCTACTCCTATTTGAATTTCGTTACTTTGGTACTAGGAAAACTGAGCACAATTCACATTAGAGCGGTATATTCATGAGTTTATTCAGGGTTATTTGTTTTATTGCCATTAGCATAATGTAAATTGTTAAATTGAAGTTATTACTACTCGTTCAATTTGATATTGGGTTTTCCTATTACATGGACGATGGCTCAAGATGCAGCAGAGCATTCTAGTTTTTGACTTCATTATGAAATTTACAGTGATGAATTTTAGTTGACAGCCCAACATAAATCATATCACACCAAAACCCATCAAGACAATGCTTTTGTTCAAGTATGACAATGCTCTAGAACTCCGATAGTCAGGAAAGAAACATGAATGACAGAAAAATGATGCTTTACGACTACGTTTCTCAAACTGAAATAAATCAACTACAAATCATATTGTTTGAAACTACTTTTGAATTTTGATATCCACACCGTAAACTCTGACAGAAATCTATTTAAAAAATGTAATTTCATCTCAACTGAACAAAGTTAACATATATAAAGTCAATTTTTAAGTGAGGAAACTAAGAAAAAGAATATTTGGAAATAAATCAGTCTTGTCTTGCAGATGTCACTGACAAAATAAAAAAAGTTGACTAGAAGGCAACTATCCATTAATTTTATCTAAACTGACCAAACAATAACTAATACCCTAAGTTATCTTGGTTTATCTTAATTTAGTTAATTTGCAGTGATACCCTGGTGATCCTGAACTAAAATCTTCATGCTGCTTGTCAATCAAATACATCGGCTATTTAGAAAGTAATGATATTAATCATAAATTCAAACCTGGCCCGATTAGTATCATTGATAGAGATATTGCCGACTGAGTTATTTGATCATAGATGACCTCGTGTGTTGAAATGTTTACGCCAGCTAGCTACTGATTCGATTTAATCTGTTAAAAAACTTTACTGATATACTCAAAACATAAATAGTTACAAAAACGAAACTAAAACCACTGAGAGACAAGTGCCTGTTTTCTCAAGTATGCTTTCTTATATCGAACCAAAAAACTATTAAACCATATGATTTGTCTATACAGTTTCATTGAATTCATTTAAATCTGCATCTACGTAGTAATGTGATTCAACTCAAAAAAGTCTAAAGTAACTGTTTTTCTTCAATTTTTAACAGGTTTAATTTTGATGATGGTAAACCAGGCCAAAATTTTGATACATTTGTAAAAGCCTTATTAACTGTATTTCAAGTAAGTGAAGTGTTATCAGTAATATGTACATCTCTACCTAGAAATACATTCATAAATGGTAATTGTTAAACTGATAACATAGAAATGGTAAATTCATTTTGTTATTATCGAACGTTGAAAAGTTTATTCAACATCTTATTAGGTAATCCAATAAGCTTGGTCATCCATAATGATCAAAACTTCAAGCATTTACTTATAAACCGATTAAAGCTCTTTGCCAACAGATAAATTGGCCATTTTTATCTATCTGACACATGCTTTTCACTAGAATTATTGATAAATGACTACTCGCGTTACTTACTGACTAATATTACATCCCTAAAGTCGTTAGGCTATGAACAGGAGCAAAGAGAATAAAATACAGATATTCAAATTCTTGATTGATATGAGAAACTCCAATGAAATTAATCAATTACGTATCATATTTGTCATGAACTAACATTAGTCGAATAAGCATTTTAAAATTCAGAAAAGTGGTATCTAGCTGGTTATCTTTATTTCGGATTATATCATACATTAATTAGTTTCATCTATATGTATGATTTTACGCTTTGTATTTTACTTCACTTCAACAGAAAGTTGAATATGATTTTTTCTTACGTCAACCCAATTTGATGAATTATTGATGTGAGGTATAATAAATTAATGACTCTACTACCGCTACTAACTGATAAGAATTCCTAATTAGGACATGAATTTGGTTTACCATGAATGATTTATGAACACTGAATATACTCTTTGACTAAAGTTTTATCTCAGAATATTTGAGTGTTCAACAAAATTTATAGCATTAGAATGTGAAACATAGTCATCTGTTTCCATATTCTATAGATTGATTTAAATAGATTATTATATAACTTCGTTTTAATTACTAAAACGGTCGTGGCTAGCCAACTGTGAAAAGTAATTAGGACAAAACAAAACTTGTTATGAACGTTACACTCATGATTTGTGACGATGCACTTTTTAGATTAGTAAAACAAATGAATAGAAAGCGGATCAATAGCTGAAACATGTTTATACAATATAGCGGAAATCAAATGACTGATATAGATCATTAAACGTAGGTAATATTGACCATAGATTGACCTCGGTTATGGTAACTTTATTAAAAATTGGTCACTGGATGGTTGTTTAATCTTAGGATTTGGATTCCTAACGGTAAGTACCTACCACCCTATCAGGGTTCAAACGCATAACTTTCAGATCTCTCAGTAAGCAATAAACCACTAGAGTAGTGGGATAGAATATAAGAATTTACATTTACATCTTCGGTCAATTCTTCATATAATGTGACGTTGAAACAAAGTCGTTAGTGGCGACGGCTTCCCAATCCACATGTCTGAAATTTATTGATAACAAACCAAATAGTTTAGTGGTTGAGCGATTATTGAGAGGACTGAAGGTTCTGAGCTCTAATCACAGATGTGTACTGGAGATTAGTTCCCATTGAATTTTTGTGTTACTATCAACTAATGTCGATCTGTAATGAATACCGCCTACAGATTAAATTCTGCAAACCTTTTCAATAATAGTAGAAGAATGTAATTTATTCCTAAAGTATGAAGCTAACCAATATTTTTTATGAATCTATATATTTATTTCCGATTTAGATTTTAACTGGTGAAGATTGGAATATGATTATGTACGATGGTATACGTTCTCAAGGTGGTGTAAATAATGGAGGATTTGTATATTGTATTTATTTTGTATTATTAGTATTGTTTGGCAACTGTATCCTTTCATTTTTTTGTTCACGTTTATTTGATTTATTTGTTTGCTAAATTTTTATTCCTTTGTTACTTGTTACATTAGATTAATGATGAGATATTATATTTGTTGGTTGTATCGCTTATGACACGCGTAACAATAAACCAACTAACTCTGTTGTTATATTCATTATCTGACTGTTAGTTCGAGTAAATTATCACTTTCTCCAAGTCTACAGTTAGTACATGAGAAAACTAGATGGATAGTGAGAACTAACTTTTGTTAACCAAACTCATATCTCATATAACTATAAATAGGAATACAAGATTGAAACGTACCATGTATCATTGAATACACAGGTTGAATATTTTCGACATTAATGTTAAGTAACAGTTTTATCGTTGATCAACTAAATGATATAATAAATAACTTGGAATTAGGACCATATAAAATCCTTTAAAAAACAACTGTTTAAATAAAGTACTTATTAAAAATATACAGACTAATTCATTAAAGAACAGCTATACAGTATTCATTATTATCATTCATTCAATATTATACAATGAGTGAATAGAAGGAAATAAGTTGATTTCACTGACTATTCGTTATTTAATACTAATAGCTTTGTCTGGATAAAATTAAACTACAGTTTACCAAATCTCAAAGTTCTTCTATATGAAGTAATTTTATACTGCCGAGTGAATGAAGGGTCAAATAAAACAGACATATATAAGTTGTTATTTCTGTAAAATTTAAATCTCTTTTCTCATTGAAGTAGGAGATCTTAAAAAGATAATTCACAAATTCCCAACACATTTAATGAATGCCCAACTATTTCTAAATCCATAAATCTAAACTTATTTTGTAAACTTACATAATAACCATTCATCTTTTCATATTATTTCATCATTTCATCCAATCTAAATAGTTTTCAATAGATTTCATCAACTTAACAATTCATATTCATAATAAAATAATAAAGCAAAATACTAATTACTTGTATCCAACACAAAACACCTTCTTCATCAATTCAAAATTATGAATAAGACATACTTTTAAATCTATCAAAAGATTGTTACTAAGCTATTAGATAAATGGAATCTATTCAACTGTAATTTACAAATGAAAGAGAGAAAGAGAAAAAAAGAATTAATCTTTAAAATATATTTACTTCACAAATTTAATTTCAGACAGAAAATTTTTTTTGAAAATTGTAGTGTATATCGTAGTTGTTTCAAACTGAGTTGAATTTTTTTTCTTTTATAGAATAATATATCTATAGTCTCATATGCAAGATCAAGTATAATACCATGGGAATGTTTACAGATTTAATAATTTAGAAAATTTTATGATCTCAGTCAAAAACTTAATAATCTTCACAGTCCTATACTGATAATGACCATGTGCTCACTAGTGACTAGCTTCTTTAGGGAATTCTCGGAGTTCTAGTGAGAAGCCATGATCAGTGGGGCAAATCTGTGTCGGGTAAAAACAGATATCTACATCAGTACAATAGAAGATGGTCGCCCAATTTCGTGGATTAGTTGAGATTAGACATTAACATCACCGGATATCAGCTCAGTGGTCTAGTGGTTAAACGTTTGTGCGCGAAACCGATAGGTCCTGGTTTCGTATCCCGCGAGTGGGATCGTGGATACATACTACTGAGGAGTCCCACAATAGAACGAAACGGTCGTCCAGTGCTTCCTAGTTTTCAATGGTGGTCTAACAACAATCAGTTAGTGATCTCAATCAAAAACATAATAATCTCCAGAACCCTATACTGATAAAATTTTATAGTTGAATGGATGAGTCAATTAAAGCCAGACCACCATGGAAAACCGGTTAGTGCTTCCAGGTTTTCCTTGGTGGTCTAGCTTCAATTGACTCATGAATTCACCCATATAATTACTAAAATCTCTACAAAACCCCTTCTGATAATTTATAAAATGTTAAAATTTCAGAGAATTCAGGGAAGAAATTTTTCATTTCGATAAAATCATTTACTTAAGCTGTACATTTGTATTTATAGTTGAGTGGTAAACATATGTCTATAGAAGGATAGAAAGATTGCACAACAAAATGATTTGATGCAGTTATCTTACAAAATTATGACTCCTACATTATTTCCATCCTATTATTTCTTCCCTGACTCCCTGATTATCACGTAACCTCACTTGATATTTGGAGTCACCAAACACTTTATGATATAATTTATTCTATCCTTTTATTGTCATATATTTACCCTATAACTATAAATACGAATGTATAGCTTAAATGAATAAATAAACAACATATTTGTAATGCGTAGAAAAATGACGTTTGGTGACTCAGGGTAAGCCAATTCTTCAGAGAATAAATAACCAAATCAAAATTAATCCAAGTTTAAATAGTACGACGGAACAACAAGAGTTTTATGTGAATACAAGTGAATGTATTCGTTGAAAAGAAAATTTTCTTCGTTGAATTCTATTTTTATTCAATAGTATAATGGGTTATTATAGTTATAAAATGTAATGAATTTCGTTCTACTGGTAGAAATGTATTGATTTGGCCACAGTTTTTTTTTGCTATTGCAATTAGAACATCAGTCATTTTAATGGTTCTGGATGAACGACATTTTGTCAATTTAAAGGAGATTTACAAATAATCACACTCTAAAAATATTATGATACACAAATTTTAGGGAATCATAATAAGTTAAATAAATGAATAGTGTTGAATCGTAATTACCAAGCTATCAAAACCATGCATAAATGTTTCACGTATATCATGTTGTAAACTTTATATTTCAACTAACTTGGACAATATTCAATGCAGTCTTCAAATCTTCTTGTTTATACAACCTTAACATCTATTTTTCTGTGAATAGATACTTTGTTAAATGTGTTTTTAGCTATTGCTGTAGATAATTTAGCTAATGCACAAGAATTGACGGCAGCTGAAGAAGAGGAACAACGTTTAGCGGATGAGGTAAATCATTTTTTACTCATTATAGATAATGAATTATTCAGTTTAAGAATGGAAAAATTGTTAGGTAAATTTTCGGCGAGCTATATTTAAAACAATATGTATATATTAGTGAACAATATCATTTTCATTTAGATTTTCATAAAGCTTTACTCTAAAATACAGTAATATTTATGTAAAAATATGAAAATCTTAAATTATCCAAGGTAGTTTGTGAGTCAGTGACAACGATGAAATAGATTACATAATAACAAATGATACGTAAAATGTACAAACTGTTGGTGTGTTGACAAGCATACTAGTTATGATACAAAAAATAAAGGCTTGGATCAATACTTCCTAATAGGAAGTAGGACAAAGACTTGGAAAAAATAAGCACTGAAGTATCATTCAGTTGAAACTACAAAAAATTATCTAATAAGAAGTATTCAGATATTTAGACGGTGAAGAGTATAATCGAAAAAGTAGTGAAGTGAACGCATGAAATGTATCTAAAATAGCAATAAAAATGATTATTTGTTAACAAATAAGGATGTTACAAATTTCTTACCAATACAAAGACATTTATTAATCAAGACACTGCTAATCTATCTCTCATTAGAAAGTGTAAAATCAAGAGTGGGTTATGAAGGTTTATGGAATAGCATATTTCATTCGACTACGGATCAAAGCAACACACGTGTGATTCGAACCCATAATTAAACCAATTATATTTCAACCCTCAGGTAAACAAACAAAGTACATTCATTGGTAGTCAAGCTATACGTTAAAAAGTATATTCAGTAAAGAAACTACAAATCACGAGGCTTGTTACTCAAATGTTTCCTTATTAAAGAATTATTCTTTTGAAAAATGGCTGCGAACAATATATCTGTAATTCTACCAAGACTGATGATATCCTTATTACTGATACTAACGCAAGCTAGTTTCGTGGTTATAAACACACTATCGGTAAGTTGTCCAAACAACAAATGACTTTATTTAAAACTAAAGTTTTCAAACCGTTCAGCTAGAGATCAGTGGTTACTAATGTGGTGTATGTTACTTGTGTGGACAGATATAAGTAATATATAGCAAGAATAGGACGTAGTATTTTTATTGATAGAATAGGGAAATTGGAAAAGAAAAGAAAGCAGTTTGAGTAGCAACAAGAATGAATAGACTATTGAGTTTGTAAGAGACAATTCAAAGAAGATGTGCAAATGGTGTATTTAATATATTATTCTAATGTTTTACCAATATAGTCTGTGATTTTGCTCGACACAATAGATTGGCTCACCCTAATCAAGGCTTTATTCATTACATTAATACTATGTCGTCTAGTAATTTTAAGGTTGACTTAATTTTACCGACTAGTTATGCGAAATGGTCATCAATTCAAAACAGTTCATATTCCGTTGACTTTCACTGTAAATTTTTACAAATCAGTTAACTCAAATATATATATATATATATATATATATATATATATATATTCAGAGAGTGGTTTTGTGGATATCATAGTGATTTTTAATAGTTGAATTCATGAGTCATCAGTCTGAAGGTTAGGCATTCGCGCGCAAAACCGGTAGGTCCTGGGTTCGAATCTCGTGGTGAGGGATCGTGGTGTGCCCTGCTGAGGAGTCCCATACTAGGACGAAACGGCCGTGCAGTACTTCCAGGTTTTCTATACTGGTCTATCTTCAACTGACCTATAAATTTTAACTATTAAATATATATATATATATATATATATTACACTCGCAATGTACATAATTGTTTTTTTCAACTATTCAATTGAGTAACGCATATAGAGAATATATCATATATTATGGATAAAACTGATTCAAGCAAATGTACAATATAAAAGGTAAAATGTCAATCAACAAATAGATGAACTGAATTAATAAATTTACAAACATTAAACGGGAAATAAAATAACCACATGCACATGCGTATATATATATATATATATATATATATATATATATATATATATATATATATATATATATATATATATATATATATATATATATATATATAGGTAGTAAAAAAAGATCATGAAATGGTCAGTAGAGATTCGAATTTTGTAAACAACTATTCAAGTGACTAGATGAACAAGCATCGATTTAATTAATTATAATTTACTGACTTCTAATTGCTGAATTTTTATATTCCCATAAAACTTAATTATTTTAAGTGATTTTTTTTCTTCTCTCATTTATTAACTACTTAAAATCAAATCAACAAATTATCAGAAAGGTGTTTTGTGAATGTTATAGTAATTTAATAATTGAGTTCGTGAGTCATTTGAAGCTAGACCACGATGGAAAACCTGGAAGTACTGGACGGCTGTTTTGTCTCAGTATGGGACTCCTCAGTAGTGCGCATCCACGACCCCACCCACGGGATTCGAACGCAGGATCTATCAGTCTCGCGTGAACGCTTGATGTTTAGACCACTGAGCCGACATCCAGCGGCGATAATATCTAACTCCAACCAATCCACAAAGTTGCACCACAATCCATCATCGTCTTCAGTGAGTTACTATCTCACAACAGATCCGGTTCCATACTAGAACTAAATGGCTGTCTAATACTTCCAGGTTTTCCAAAATTATCTAGCTTAAATCGACTCATAAATTCTAATACCGAATTACTGCAATTTCCACAAACCCTCAATCTGATAATAAAATTTTTAATTTAGTTTTTGAATAAAAATCAGCTCATCTTCCGTAGACATGACAGTTATGATTTTTCATCTGCATTTCTGTTTTGTTTTCAATTTTTGCATAATTTTTATTTTCAAGTACAATTTTTATATAAAATTGAATAAGTGTCTGATTAGATATCCTCTCTTAAACTAGAAATTAATCAGTAGATAAAATATATTTTGGTGAGACGATAATTTATGGATGACCTTTGAGCGACGCTACAGTGACCTTAAGAGTTTCCACCTAATAACTAGGACCAAAAGAGGGTTATAAACCAATGTGGAGGGAATTAGAATTATGATTTACATATGATGATTAAACTTAGGAATTAGATTTAGGATTTACATCACAAACTGACATGAGACATAATGCCAGTTATGAATAGTTTGACTAACTTTTTAAAATAAATAAAGTGGTGATTACTGGAGATTTTTGTACATTTTGAAATATACATTTTCTTCATAAACCAATTTTAGTTGATAAGTTAATAAAAACGAAGAAGGATAGAATAGCTATTTATTTAAGAAAGACACAAACACTAAACAGTATGCATCCAACATGAAATTCATCCTACCTCCGACTAGTTACTGTTAAATAGCTATTTCATAATACAATAAAACAAATCTTTAATCAATCTACTATATAAGTATGATGTTGTGAAGACTGTTGTGTTATTGATTGGGATCATGAATCGATCAATGTTAGACGAAACGATTGTACAGTGCTTCTAGATTTTCAATGGTGGTCTAACATTGATCGATTCATGATCTCAATCAAAATCTATTATATCTTGCAACCACCGTGTAGTGTCATCAATAATGTCTGTTTTACTGAGAACATGAAAGAGCTTCGATAATTATATCTGACTGATATCGACTTACACGATAGTTAACAGGGAATAATAAGTCTTAAGGACCTAGAAAAAATGGATATGTTGAATTATAGTTATTATCCGCCACAATCATCAGATATAACAAACAGACGAAATCAAAAACAATTCTACGATGGTCAGTGAGACTACGAACTTCAGTAAGCTTACTAAAGTTAGTGATGAACTCATAACCTAATGATAAATAATAAACCACTTTTCTAGTTCCATCATATTACTATGGTATATACTACTATATCGACAGACGTAAGTAATAAGTACCACCAATCAGAAGTGAAATGTCCAGCAGCAAAAGGTTGGGAAGATCGAATCGAAGAGAAAGCTAATAGAGAGAGTAATCGTAATATCAATGAAGGCATGATGAAGATTGAGACAATTGATAGACGATTTACGAATGAATTTTTTAATGTACGGTTTTCACACTTTATGAAAGAACTCTGCATTTTTTTGTTAAACGATAAATTGGTTGTTCCCATCTGACATCTCATTCATTACACTGCTACTGGTAATAAACAAAATTAGTTCGATCTTATTTCTGGTTATCAGTAATCACAAAAATGCAAACCATACACATAACTTTGAACGCCTCAGAAAACTTGTCATCTATTCGAATTCAGTAACTTAATAGATAATGGATTACCCTTTTTAATTCATAAGTACAAAGTATCAATCTCACTATGAACATCAAAACTAGGATGTAGGTATACCAAGCTGATGAATTTTAAATAAGTAAATCAGATCTCCTGAAATCAACTTTCGACAACAATCAAAATATTTTAAAAACTTATATTCACCCACTATACACATATACCAACAATGATCATGCTACTACAGTCATATTTATTAACAGTAAGAAAATGTACGTCGATAAAAACAGGTTAGTAAATATGTTTACGTCTGAATATTTTAAACTAGTTACTTGGAAACAGTTTAAAAAGTGAATTAATTAATAACATTTTATTAACACTTGTATATCTGAGATAATGAAGAATATTTTTTTGTTATTCAGAATGAGTAGTAGATGAATTCACTTTTATCTATTCCTTAATACTAAATAATTTTTTTTTCTAATAGCAGTACACAATTTCATATTTTTTATTCCAATCTCATTTATTCAGTTAGCGGAACAACAAGAAGATAAGGAAAATCTAAAAATCAATTTAAATCAACCACAAACTATTGAAATAAATCAAATCAATGAAAGAAAATAGTAAGTTAATATTTTGTTGATATTATTCATAAAAATAAAGTCTTATTACATGTTATTTCAACTTTACATGTTATTGGCCATAATATAAAATAATCATGAATGGATTCACTTGGTGTTGTTTTGCTTGAACCTTTTCATTGAGGTTCAAGACTGTAGTTGAACAGTCTGTTATTGGTATATGTGCTTTAATTCACAAGCTTTATAAGTAAAGATGGATAATGACTAGCAGTGAACAAGCAAGTGGCTATCAGGACTCAGAAGCTGAGTGGATAACGTGATGGCGTTTGAAGTGAATTGTACTGGGTTCGATTGACGGAGTGAACATCAACTCTGAGATGCAGGTACATCCAGCTGACGAGTCCCAAATAAGATGAAACGCGCGTCCTGAATTCCACTGCTAGCCACTATCCAATGATGAATGGAGTTTGAAAAAAAGAATTCGAATTCCTGTAGCCATTCGAATAAGAAATTGTTATATTGTTCTGATGGCACAGTACTCTTTGAACTTGGTTTTATTGATGACATTTTTTTATTAGAATTTCGACTACAGGTAAGCATTGTTGATTTCTTACACTAGTCTTATCATCATTCTGCCTTAGTTATTCAGTTGCCGACTGTTCATTTTCAAAGGCTTCATTATTTTCATGTGTACTTCGATTCTTGTTGGTTATAGTGTCAATTAAACCCTTGGCTGCGGGGTTGGTTTAAATCTCTCCTCATTGTCTGGTAGTGCGAATCTATGTTATAATGTTGAGTAATTACATATTAGCCGGAATATAAGGTCTTGCAGATTTCATTAAATTTCACTGATTTCTTGGTTACATTTTCTCATCCTACTTACATATACTGTAGTAAGTTTATGGTTTTTACTCATACATGATTTGGTCAGAACATCTATGCAGTTAGAGAACGGTTAACAGTCGCTTGTTTTCACTAAGTAAACGCGTTCATTACAACCCAGGTTGCTTCTTGACTTATGAATACCAATGAGCAAACGAAGATTATTACAAACAATCTATATAATACAGATGGCAGGAAATGATATAAAATAGTAATTAATTTAAAAATTCAAGTTGATTTATCAGTCATTTACTTACATACTTACGCCTGTTACTCCCAATGGAGCATAGGCCGCCGACCAGCATTCTCCAACCCACTCTGTCCTGGGCCTTCTTTTCTAGTTCCATCCAATTATCGTTCATTTTTCTCATGTCTATCTCCATTTCCCGGCGTAATGTGTTCTTTAGTCTTCCTTTTTTCCTTTGGCCTTGAAGATTCCATATGGGGGCTTGTCTTGTGACGCAGTTGGGTGCTTTCCTCAATGCGTGTCCTATCCACTTCCACCGCTTCTTCCTAATTTCTTCCTCCGCTGTGATCTGGTTTGTTCTCTCCCACAGTTGGTTGTTGCTAATAGTGTCTGGCCAACGGACCCGAAGTATTTTACTAGACAACTGTTAATAAACACCTGTATTTTCTGGATGATGGCTTTCGTAGTTCTCCAGGTTTCCGCCCCATACAGTAGAACTGTCTTGACATTTGTATTGAAAATCCTGACCTTGGTGTTGGTTGACAGTTGTTTTGAGTTCCCGATGTTCCTCAGTTGTAAATATGCTGCTCCTGCTTTGCCAATCCGCGCCTTCACATGTGCATCAGATTCACCCTGTCCATCAATGATGCTGCCCAAATATGTAAAAGTTTTTACATCTTTCAAATCTTCTCCGTCAATTGTGATTGGGTTGGTGCATGCTGTGTTGTACTGGAGAATCTTGCTTTTCCGTTTGTGTATTTTGAGACCTACTGCTGCTGAGGCTGCCTCTACACTGGTCGTTTTCTCCTGCATTTGTTGTTGCGTTTGGGATAGAAGGGCCAGATCACCTGCGAATTTTAGATCGTCCAACTGCATCCTAGATGTCCATTGTATCCGCCTGAAGTCCCTCCGGGGGATACTGCCGGCCCCAAGCCCGGATAAAGGAGGAGGGTTGGGCGTAGGCTTAGTATCCCCATCCCGTAGAAAACTAACTCGCTAAAAAAACGCTAACCAGAAAAAGTTATTCAAACCTTTTCAGTCATTTAGTTACATTAAATCTCAATTAGCATAAAGTCAGATAAGTTAAACATTGCATTATTAATCATTAACCCCAAATAATGAAAATTCATATAAAGGATAATGACCCTAAAATCAATCTTTTAGAATGTCTCGCACGTGCACTAATAAATAGCACTGATCTACTCATCACTAATAAATCATTTCCTTCTCCAGGTAAGCATTTTAAAATATGTACTCTGGTCTACTTGGGTTCTCTATAAACTATTTACAATAACATCAGTTGTTTATTAATTGATTTATGGAGACTAGGTGATTTTGTTGAAAGTTGAAAAGAAATTCATCTTCATAAATGTGTAATAAAACTTTTATAATCGACACAGATTAGCTCCACTGGTCACGGCTTCTTACCAGAACTCCGAGAATTCCCATACGAAGCTGGTCACTAGTGAGCACATGGTAATTATCAGTTTAGGGGTTGTGAAGATTGATGTTTTTGATTGAAATCATGAGTCAGTTGAAGCTAAACCACCATTGCTCACTAGTGACTAGCTTCGTTAGAAAATTCTCGGAGTTCTGGTGAGAAGCCGTGACCAGTGGAGCTAGTCCGTGTTGGGTAGAAACAGGTATCTACCTCAAAATTTTATGCTTGGTACTGAAAAATTTATAAAATAAACAAATATATCTTGTAAAAAACTTTTTAGTTTTACAGATTAGTTAGCTATAATAAGAGAAAAATTTAGAGAACCATCTATAAAGGCATAATAAAAAATATCTAAACTATATATTGTTAATTTTATATTCCTTGTACACTTTAATTAAGTTGAATTTATCATAAAACTATTAGTCACAGTGATATATTTTATTTAAGATAGACAACAATGGGTGATTACTAGTTCGTTTGTAACCTTCATTTGAATCCTTGATTATGTGTTTGTTATCTGATGTGTTGTATTTAACTACTTAACTGCTTTAATTACAGCCCAATGGTTCTGTCATTTGATGTCTATTTAGTTGGTACCTAAGGCTTAGGTGTTATGAGTAAATCATTAATTCACTTAACATTTTTATGCCAGTTATGTCTAGTAAACCAAATGTTAGTGATAACAAAACATCCTATAAATATCTATACAATATATTCTATTAAATAGTTTCACAAAAATAACATTAAAAAAAGATTAGTGTTTGTTTTGTGACACATTATGGAGTTAAGAATTAAATATACGACTGATATTAATCGACATTTCTTTTCAAAAAAAATTATATTCTGTAGTAAAATTGAATGAAAAGTAGGAGTTGATAGAGAAATGTCTTTCTTAATCAGTTTACCATATCTGGTTATTTAATAGACTTGAATAACAGCTAATGGAGTTTACTGTACGAACGAAAGGTTATGGATTCTACCAAAAGTTATTAAGGCTTGGACGTTGTCGAATAATTTCATTATGATCAGTAGTTCTCCGGTTGGTGTCATTGCTTGATAGATACAAACTACAAACCATTCAAATGTCTACAAAAGGCCTTCGACTGAACTATTATTGTATGGTGGGGACTGGTGCATTCAAACAGTTAGTAGAAATTTATCTTTATAGAGTTAATAAGCAAAGCACTTGAAGTAGAGAGCCATCAACAATGGTATCATATAGTCTGGAGCTTTAGCCGGGTTGGTGGATATGGAGGATCCACCTAGGGGAGTTGTAACACCCCGACTCCAAGTCAATAGTGCACATGGACTCCAGGATCCTAAGGAAACAAGTGGAGTATGAACCAAATACTGGTCACCAGCTACCATGGGGCTTCATCTCTTGACGTTGCTCCACTGCCATGTGGACCAGACCTTTAGGTTGAAGGCTCCGGGCATGGTCTCCTAAAAAAAACACCTGCTTTGGTATGGGCACCCGTGGAGTATCACAGCCCACACACAAATCAAGTATATGTATTCGGTACCCCCTTTGTACCAATATTTATGTGTTCAAATAAAGAAATAGTCATTTAAGTATATTTCGAATTGATAGGAATTAAAAATGTGTATTATTGACTTTCATCTTAATTATTTTAATGTAACTCTGTAGCTACGCAATCTGAAGTTCGTGGGTTTGATATCTGAATATGCACCAATAAAAACAAAATTCAAACTAGGTCAAACACAAATGTTTATTGGTCCCCTGGATCACAGCTATACTTTAACTGATGTCAATTTATGATTTTTTTAAAAATCACCTACAGAAAATTAAATAGTTAAATGTGACTTCCAAATAACAATGATTGTTTATTATTAACTGTATCTCTATTCTTTTCTGTTTCCCTTTTTATAAAGTTCCGGATTAGAAGAATTCGGAAAATCTGTTACAGCGCAAATGGGAAATAAATATTGTGATAACTGTAAGTTAATTTTTATTTGTTTTGTTTAAAATATTAAAAATCAATCGGATTAACTAGCTTTTTCCCATAAACTATTCACCCATAGAAGAAAAATGAATAATTATTACATTTTCTTAAATTTCTTAATTAAAATATGAATACTTTCTCACATCAAACAATTAAACAATTATGAGGCTGAAACCTGAAATGAAGGAATAGCATCTACTTGAATCAAGAAAAAGATCTAATCACGTCAACTTATGTAATGTTTACATTAGATTAAGGGATTAAACGAACATAACGATGGAAACTAATAAGTGATCAGTCGATATGCTAACAGCTCAATCTTACAGGAGTTGGTCACTTGTGGCTAGAAATAGTTCACCGATATTATTATTTTTGATTGCAACACTGTATTAAGCGTGTTATAATACCAACATAATCAATAACTTCATCAATATCGCTATTACTCCTTATCAACACGTATCAATAATATTATAAAACAACCATAGATATTAGGTCTGAATAACATGGCATTCAGTCATTGAAGTCTTACTTTATTTTTAGTCAACATCATCAAGCTTTGGATCAATAGTCAAAGGAAAATTAAACATTAAATATGTAAAATAAAACATTAAAAGCAATTCATTATTTATGAATATCTAAGAGACTGAAATTAAAGTTATCTCAACAAAATAACTTATATTTCTTAATAGTTAGAGATATCTATACACATTTATTTAAAGAGATGAGATTATCAACTTCTGATAGTGTCGTATACATCTGTAGATTACAGTAACTTTTTCCCATCATAATATTCATTCAATAGACATAAAATATGCGCAGAATATTTACTTTGATGATCTATCTATCCTTATATAACTTTTCTGTAGTAAAAACAGAATATTTTTTTAAAAAGAAAAACTGTCTGTTTACTGTTTTTTCGTTGAATAAAGAGAGAGACAATTCATCTTATATTGAATTTATTACAATAGAAAGGTAGTTTATTATTATAATCTTTTCTTTATCTCCAGTGTTTCCTCATTCTACTGTCATTTGTTGTTGTTATTCTTAGAGAATTCTTAATTGAAAAAAAAATATTGATCTGCCAACACACTAGTTTATAATGATTATCTAAGCTTGAAAGTAAATATTCTTGAAATGTTATCATATTAATTATTGAGGTTTGTTTAAGCATAAATAACTATAAAAATTCTGCTTTTTTTAAATATACAGCATATTCCCCGTATTATTCAATATTGGAAAGGTAAACTGAACAGAATTGTAACCACATAGCTTGGTTTGTGAGCATCAATGCTCGTCTTAAAGTGTTTGTTGTTATAGGGCGGAGTCATAGTGTATGGACTGGATACTTAATGACTACTGTGATATATATATATATATACACTCTGATTCGTTAGAGATATTAGATGTTTAGCCAAGTATCCATTCTGATCAGTCACTTCAGTATTTTACTGGTTGGATTGGGCATAACTCTAAAAGAAGACAAAAAGCCCGATAATTGTGTTTGTCATGTGAGCAAAATATATAAATTACAGTAAATTTCGGTACTTTTTATTAAGAACTAAAATTCAAGAATAAAATGACATGTAAAATAAATTTTATCAGAAATAAAAAGTACTGCAAATAGATAACAGATGGAGAACGAGTGATTGATAGTATTTATTGTGTAAGAATAGATCAAAATTGTATGGATTGTGATATTTACATTTAGTTTGTTTAATAAGCACAACTAATACAACTGAGGGACTGAAGCTCACAAAAATTGAAATCGTTGATGTGATATTCTCGTTAATGAATACAAAATGATCGAATAAATCACTACAAAAATATGAACCGTTCTGTAAAATTAAATACGAGTACGCAAACAAACTAACGCAAAATAAATATTATTAAAATCCACCAATGTAAAAAAAAAACCGGGACATTTTCATATATTAGGTCTTTCAATGCTCAATTAAATTAAGATCTGTTAACTAGGCTCATTTATTACTTCGCATTCGCCTACCAAATACCACAGCATCCTTACAAAATAAATAATTTGTCCACACCGTTTTCTTCACGATTGATTAATCACTGCTTAGTGATGAATGTCACGTGTATCAGGTCCTTATTAGCAAAGATCGAATCTCATCGATCAAGTTCCAATGTGACTACTGGTCTTGATAACTCGACATCGCAAGCCTTATTTCGAGATGTAAGGTGGTGGTTGGAGGCAGTTGACAGGACATTACAACTGAGCTATCTGGGTCGTAATTGACTTCCTGTAAGAATAAGATATGATGTTTTCTAATGTGAAGATCGATAACAGGGAGTCAAATCCGCCAGAAAGCATCAGTTCCCTCAAGAATACAGATACACCTTGCTGACGAATACCAAACAGCAAGAAATCATGGTTTCTTTTCAACCATCTTCAACCACGACTACAATCCAGTAAGTTTCTGCAAGAATAAACAATAAGCGACGAAATATTGTATTAGCTAAGATTCTTTGGACTACCTAATTATATTTATGAACCAGAGCATTATTCATCATATTTCTTTTCACTGTTTTTTATTTTGAGTACGCAATGCTTCATAAAGTAGTAGAGAGTGATTGTTCACTTCGGTTCTGTCGACATATCACTGATAGGTCTTGCGAGTTCATTAGATCACCCTTCCGTCGTAGATTCAGACATTAATTTACTTAAATAGTTTGTCCGTCATTCTCCTAACGGTGTAACGAAAGTCAATGTAATCCAGCACAGATTTTATCTCTCAACATCACTTACTGTTCTATTCATAAAAATAATCGATGAAAAAATATGCCCACTCAGTGGGACCAGAGGGTCCTGGTTTCTATCTCCTGTAAGATCGTAGATGCACACCGTTGAGAATTCCCATACAAAAGACGAACCAGCTCACTAGTGCTTCCTGGTTTTTAGTGGCTGTCTAATTTAGATCAACTCGTTATGTGAACTACGAAAAATACATCAACTTAGAAAATTTGTTAAAAGATGCACGAAACTTGGAAAAGATCAACAGAATATAAGAGGATGTTACAAAGTATAGATATGATATCTCTGCATAATATTAGTCAGTTAACCAAAACTAGTTATCCTTGTTAGTAATTTCTTCAGATTCATACTTATTCGATCCTAGAGTTGTTAGTAGGACACAAAATTCTAATAAATGTAAGAGAGATGAAAATGTAATATTGTCAAAGTAATTCTGAGTGAAAAATTAAACCAGTAATTATTTAATGTGAAATTCTGAAACGTCATAGCTACTAAATGAGAGATAGTTCTTATTATCTGATACTAAGTATGACGACGCTATGACATTAAACCTGTGAAGACAGATTCAACTTCTCTTGGAACATCTGAATCGGTACACATAAGTCGGACAACCTCGAAACAGATGGAAATTTATGCTGCAGACTCTCTCACTAGCTAACAGCAAATAAACAATTAACATTAAATACGTTATATGATTTTAAAACAGATGTTAATTTATGTTGTACCTTATAAGCATAATTATCTAATAGTGTTTTTTTAATTTTACACACAGTAACCATATTGATACAACTAGATATTTTGTTTTACAGATAGTACAATGCAAAAATTTCAAACAGATATTGAACTAGGTAGAGAGCAAGAAACACGAGCAAATCAAGAGTCTCAAACACAACATCAATTATATGGCAAGCCGATGCTTCCTTACAGTTCAATGTTTATATTTTCTTCAACAAATCCGTACGTTATTAAGTTCCTATTAAAAAATTCAGGCAATTTTGAAATACAATGTGGTTTAAATCATTTTTAATCAACTCTTTTACAATCATTACACTTGTTGAAATTAATGAATAACATTTTTACGCAACCTATAAAATGTATTTGATGAATTCGCTTGTTAGCTAAAATTTATACAATTCTCTTGAAGTTCTATGTAATATGATGAGCAGAGAGTTAATTGACAAGGAATGATCTATGATACTGATCTCTTTTACCAATTGTCTATTATATTTAATCATATTTTAGGACAACATATATAAGCGAACACTATTGTTTTCGATTAGATCCTCATCAAGCTTTACAGTAATATTTATATGCATATAGGAAATAATTAAACCAATCAAGGCAGTTTATGAATTAGTGATGACAGTGCAATAGATTACACAAATAAACATAATAAGTGAGAATTACAAATTGGTAGTGTGATGACAGATGTACTAGTTGCGATAAGACTAATAAAGGCTTGAATCAGTGTTACATAATGCGAAATAGGTCAGTGATTAGAAAAATATAGACACTGAAGTAACATTCATAAGGATTACAAGATTATGTAATAAGAAATGTTCAGACAATCATTTTTTTAATGAGCAATCATATTCGTATATCTGTTGGTCATAAATGATTAATGATTATTTAGTTCATTATTTATCAAATACTTAATGTTAGATACTACTCAATTCAAATTATACAAATTTGGCTGTGAATAATTCGTATAGAAATTAGTATTTTTAGAGATCATTTTGATTTATTTCGTGTTAGATAAACCTTCACCTGTCTTTGTCTTTTTACTTGAATATTCTGATTCAAGATTTCCAGTGCCAATTACTAAGTCAGTTAAATACTCGACAGATACAATACCTTGTATGAAAACGATGACTTGTTATGTACACCTTCAATTATTCTCATCTGAGTTTGTTTCAATTATTATTACTGATTTTATTGAAAGGTTTATAACTGCCCAATAGGGAAGACTCATCACTAGTTCACACTGATGTTAGTTGCCAAGTCCGAGCAAGATCACTAGTGTTAATTATTTTCTAATCTATTGTAAATCTTCCACTACTCCATGAGTTATATTCGCGAAGCACAAAGACTGTAATCTGCGCAGAACTTCACTTCAGGTTTAGTTACAGTATAAAAACCGTAAGTAATATGTCTTATTGGAATTCTATAGGTTTCTAAAACTTATGCCAAAATGAATATGAATTTATGAAATCAAGGAAGAAAGTAAAACACAGAAATACAAAGATATCTATTTCTAAATGTATTGGAACTTACCAGAAGCATATGATCAATTAACTGTATTTTGAGTATGATTGAGCCTACACACGGTTTTATGAAATAACTATTCGTACTTTACTATATAATATTTCCAAATATAGTGAGTGACTTCAGTACTTATTTTTCAATATTATTTTGAGAAATTCGAAATTCAGTCGATGTGTTATAAATGATGTTTTTATTGTTTTATTTCCCTATTAGTGTTCGTCGATTTTGTCATTTTGTAGTGAATCTACGCTATTTTGATTTATTCATAATGATTGTTATTGTATCAAGTAGTCTTGCATTAGCTGCTGAAGATCCAGTCAGTGAAAATAGTACACGAAATTGTTTATTAGAATATTTCGATCACGCTTTTACATGTGTATTCGCTATTGAAATGTTATTGAAGGTAAGTGAATCAACGCAGTAGTTGTTCATGAATAAAAATTAACGAAATGTTAATTTTAAGTATTTACGGTAGAATTATATAAAAAATATCTTTCATTGTCTTATTGTCTTATTTTTATTTCTTGAACGAATAATATATTTGACAGTCACCGAGTGCTATTCAAACCTGAATGATTTGTGTTTGATTTGACATAATGGTCGTGTTGATACATTAATGAAAAGTTTTGATTTAGAACAAAACTCTGTTTAATACTCCCTGATTTTTCATCGTACTTTAGTTCATAGAAGCTGTTGATAAAGTTACATGAAAACCAACTTTTAAACCAATTCACTTGATAATTCAAGTTAAAAAGTATGAATGTATTCATAAAGTTCTCTTAAAAGCTCGCCATTTGAAATGAAAAATCTAAGTAATTTGACCAGAACTATGATCACATTTATAATTGAGTAAAGTTGACCGAAGTTGGAATACAAACGATTATATGATATCTCTGTACTCTAATTTAAACGCTCTCATGATGCCTTAATATACTCAACCTTCTATGTGCACAAAACAATTGAACTTTAAGTATGTCTCAGAAAACCATCACAATGAAATGAATTAAATGAAATTAAAACAAAATTAACTCGACAAATATCAAAGAATCCCATAACATAAAAAGAACTATTATAATTTGTCGTTTGAATGCTTATTGTCTCGGCTCTTTTAATACTACTTTTAGTATCTGGTCGTCGTTGATTGTTATGTCGGAAACGCTTATCACTTATACTCCAAACGAGAGACCTCCGCAATTTCCACGACGCGAAAGTAAGCACACAAAGACTGGTATAAGTGAAGATTTATTAACCCCAAAACACAATGACGACGACCTTAGTTGAAAAACACTCATTTATATATTGATTGTGCACCCATTTCGATCAATAATTAGAATGAAATATATATAACAAATCACATAATGAGCATAGTTCATATCAATGGAATACAAGAATATCGCATATTATGCAGAATAAAATATCATACGAGACAATAAAACGAATACCACATTGAGTAATCATTACATTGAATCAAAACGGAAGTAATGTTGAACAAAACTCATCATGAGTAAATCAATCGAAAATTGACTTTTCTTTCCATCATATCAAGAACTAATTAGGTCCTCATTAAGCTTTACTCTAGTATACATGAACATTTATGTGAGTATAAAAAATAGTAAACCAGTCTAGGTAACTTATGAGTTAATTATCATAATGAGAGTAATTTCTATGTCGAGCCATCGATTAGAACTTTTTATCATTTCATTATTCTTATCATTGCTAGTATACACCTGTTCTAACTACCAACTTGTAATTTTTACATCGCGTTTGTAAGTATGCAATCCATATCATTGTGATTATTGTCAGAATATTTTTTTCTAGTTTCATTTCGTATTTATGTACTACTTTACAACCAGAAATGTAGGTCATCAAAAGTATAACAATTTTGTATAATCTGGGAGTATAGATACATGAGTCTGGTCAATTATTGTAGCATGAAAAGTGTCCTACAATCAACTTTGATGCATTGGTATTAAAATGACCCTTTAACTATTTATCACTTGGTGAAAATTTTTAATGATTCAGCATTTAAGCTTGTAAGGATCAGGTTTTATTGAAATTTGTTAAAAAATGAAATACGAAGGTTTAAAAAGCCTTTGATTAGGCAGCATTATTGCAATATCGTATACATAATTGACCTGGGTTTAGATATTCAAATTAAAAGTTTACACATCATTTACTTACCGCTTTTAAATCACAAATTAAGTGACTATCTACAGAAGACATACCCACAACTAACAGGTTGCTTATGATATTAACTACAGGATATTTTGTGAAATTTCTAAAATCTCCACAAAACTCATTCTGATATTTTGAAAAACTCAATATGTTTCTTGGAAATTTATCTGCGAATGGCCCTTCATTCTAGACGTATTCGGCATCAAAAATGCTTGTCATTTCGATGGCTATCTCAGAATATAAAATTCATCAAGATTTCATTCCCATAAGGTTCTGACTGATAAATGAACTGCTTTTTGCCAGAAACCCACACCAACAATCATCCTTCTGAAGGTATATTCAACCTCACTGTTTAGCATAGACATGTTATCACATGACTGGAATCGATTATCTCCACTAACAGAAAAAAAAGACTATTTTTGTTGCTTCAACTGTAGGTATTTCAATGACTTTTGAAACAGTAATCCTGTTGGTAAAAGAGGGATACAAACATAAGGCGATGGGCTAGGGGTAAATGTAAAAAAATTCACATTCATATCATCAATATTCGTTTTAACAGCCAGATATTATCACTTGTCTTCATATAGAAAAATTATGCTTCATGAACGAGGACATGGACTAATTCATTGTCACTGATTTGCACTAATTAATAATTAAATTTATAATAATGCTAAACAGGTCAAACTACCGTAAACATTTCATAATACTTTTTAGTTGAATTACTAAACCATGAAACTGGTATTGTTTATAATACTGATCGCATTTATTTTGACCGTGAATTAGATACCAGCATATTTCTCGTATTTTATAATTTGTAATTATATACAGTTAATTGATCTCGGTGTATTTCTACACCCATATTCTTATTGTCGTGATACGTGGAATTTATTGGATGCTGCTGTAGTTATCGGTGCGTTAATATCATTTTTCCGGTAAGTTGAACGAACATTTCAATAGAAAAGATGTCATGCTAATTAACTTTAATATAAGGTTTTCTTATAATAAGATAACATGTTTCTGGAGACTGAATAATTTAAAGTTTGTTTTCATAAGAGGGGAATCATTAAAAATCAATAACGTTACGGATGATTCGTGATAATGTACGAGACCTTAACTAACAAATTCACATTGAATCGAACCCAGAACTCTTAGCCTCAAAGTGAACACAAAATCTTACCTTTGATATGGTAGTCACTACTAGGTATGGCTTTACTCAATAACACTTAATAACTTGGAGGTATCATGCATTAGCAAGACTTGAAGATCTTATGCTCTATTCCACTTCAAATCGTGGATCTATGTACTCCCAAGGAAACCTTAAATGATGTAGAACAGCTGTACGTAACTATCTGACTTTTACTATTGCCACAGTTGACGTAAGCTTGAAATTAAACTGTATTTTTAAATTTGTGACTGCAGTTGAGATCCGGTCAGTCACGAACCAAGAAATTCAGTGCTAACATTTCTGACTGTGACCCAGTGAACTACAAACACGCCTTATCAATAAACTTTAAAAGGAACAAAATTTTAGTTTGCGGATTCCCGATTATCCCGCCAACTTCCTAAGATCAGTGAGGTTGATACCTGACTGAGGTTTTATTATTACTTAACATTTCAGTCATATAGAACGAATACATTATGATTACTTAAGGAAAATTTGTTCATCGATAATCAACATTAGTCTTAACATACTTGATGATGAACAAATCACGAAGCGTACTTGATTTCAGTTGTGTAAGACTTAAAATCAATGTTAAATCAAGTTAATGATCTTTTAACGTAATTAATCCAATTTTACAAACGGAAACCTGTAATTATATAAAAAGAGTTAGTGTAACTCTTCTAAACATAACATTATTTAAACATGAAACTCAAACTATATCTCGCTGTCATATATTATCAAGCACGATTAAAGTCATCATGCAATCACTTTCAATTAATATATAACCAGTGGAATCTCAACACATTGTAAACCTGATCCAAAAAAGTTAATCAACGCCTATCGATTGATATCACATATAGAATGCCATATATATGGAGAATAAAACAACATTACCCAAATTAAATTAGTTGATTGAAATCCAAATATAACTAACATTTCATAGAAAGAAATTTTCTATTCATTCTACGAATTTCATCAACTACATCATCAAGATCATAATCAGTATTTTAAAGTTTTGTTTCATGTTAATTTTTTTCGTTAATATCTCTCTCTTTCACTTTTGTTTTTGATTTCGATTTGAAACTTCATCAACTGTATAATACTTAATGAAGTGCTTATACTTTGAAAGGTAGAGCTGGACATGGAAGTAGGTAAGTATGATGTTAAGTTTATTCATATTTGTTCTCTATGTTACAATATTTTGAGGAAACATTGTATACTGACAATACAAAGTAGGATATTAAAGTGCTTTTATTGTTTTAATCAATTAACTAGTTGTATTTAAGTCGCTATCATATATTGAAGACTGACAATTATCCATCAGTGATTGAAATTCCTGATCTCTATCGATGAAAATATATGGGTATAATTATAAAAATCTAATAATCATTGGTTGGTCGAATATTGAGAAACGTTCCAAGCTTATTTCATTTATTAATTGTGCATTTTAATGTGTTTTTCGGAAGTTAACAAACTTAATATGATAACAACCGTCAACCATATTTTATGTTGGTATTATGGTCTCTTACGATTAATTAGTGATACCCGTAGGTTGATTTAAAATGTTTCCATTGTTAACGTTTGCAGACAAAAAAAAATTAATATGATACAACTCAACGAAATATTGTCTTGATAAATTAATGGATACTTTTACTGAATTATTTTTCAAACATAAAAAAACTTATGATCTATATTGCCTGTATAAACACGACAAAAGGGGAAAATGACAATATCGTAAAACATATTTTGTAGGTTTTCACAAGTTGGCCCATCTAAGTTACTTCAGTCTGGATAGTTAGACAGTATCAGGAGCAATCATAAACTGAACATATAGTTCATAGTTTGTTGTATAAACCTGCAATTGATGACTTATATCGATAGGTACGGTTTGTCGGCTGATGTTGGAAACGACTGAAATTAACACATGGATCTGGCTATCCCAAAAATACAAATTTACGACTGTGAAAGATATGCATCGTTTGCTCAACAATAAATAACACTAGATAATTTGAATAAGTCAAGGGATTCTGTATTCAAACTCTGTTGATAGTTTATAGTATTTACGAAAGATTTTAGAATAAGACACTTTTTTGAGATGATACTTAATTGATCCTTCTTTTAAATACATGTCTCACTATAAAAATATAATAGTATTCATCCAAACGCTTAATCTATAACTATGATCATTAAATAATCATAAAACCTCTTTACGAGCTACAGCTCTTGTAGAGATCATAAAATAAATAAATCGACTAAAAAAACAACCACACTGATTACTGTTTTAGTGTAACAATCCTCCTTCAACAAATAATAATGTAGTGAACGAGAACACAAGTGGGGACAATCGAATGTATTTCAACACAAAATTATAGAACATCTTAGTAAAATCTGAGAACCGTACAGTACAACATTCATTTGCAAAATGTCAATCGATCATCTCAGACTTCATTATTCCTTTGTTTTCACACCGATTGCTCTCTGTCTTCATCCTCTTTTCTTCGATCTTCTTAACCTTCCGCTTCCAAGCATTTGACTTTCGATTGATGATATAAACTACTCATATCTGTCGACATCAGTAACACACACCACATTAAGATTCATTTTTATTGAATAAATAATTGATTTATTATTGTTACTTATACATGTGAAAGTTATTTGGAAAAAAATCAATACGAATGATTAGCTTTGTCCTACAAGATTGCAACTAAAACAAAAGAATCTACAGGAATTGTTTAAACCAGATCTTAGATTTCATCATCATTTATGTTAAAAAGTGAAGTATATCAAAAATATTAATAAATGGTGGCTAAATGTTGTGGTGAATTGACTACATTGAAAATGTGTACAACTTGATTCAAATTCAATGGATTTATTATAACGCTAGTACTCCAAGTCTTGAGGAACTCGGTCACAAAGCCAGATGTCAACTAACAAAGATAGTTAATGTGAATCCAAGGGCACATAAATACGAAAATGCCTTAAAAGACAAACCTTCAGATGAACTAATATGAAACTTGTAGAATAACTAAAAAGCTCACTTATTCGTGAAGTGGTAGGTGAAGATGCTGTCCAGAACGTCAATTACATCCCTGCAATTAAGCCATCTAAACCTGAAATCTCAACAATACCGAACTGATTAAATTTCTCATCAATCCGCAATTACGATAGCACCAAAGAATGAAATCAGGCTCATCATGTACTGTACTGAGAACGTTTCACCCTTAATGAAATAACTTTTATCATAATTACCGGATAAAACGTCAATTTGTATTAACCCCAGTGGATTCACAGAACAAGTTATAACCATTAGAAATGAGTCCAATAACTCAACAACTTACTTCTTATATCCTTCGTCGAGAAATCTTATAACAAACAGTACTTAATTGAAGCTTTTAGGTAAGAGAATAGCGATATTCATAACGTCATAGTAACTATTTCTATATAAATTGAAACGAAAATTACATCCAATCAAGTGGTAGCCACATGATACATTTTTTATTAAATAAACTAGTTACTTAAATATTGATTCATTCCTTCATTGTGAGTTTTTAATCAGTGATTGACAGTAATTGATTAATTGATTATTTAGAAGAATGAATGTCAATAAAAGTTGATATTGTAATCAAATCACTAAAACGATAAGCTTTTATAAAACGGAAAACAAACGAACAAAAGCATGCAACATTATATTTAAATTAACTAGATGATTAATTAACTTCTATCTTATATTTGGGTGAATATCTGATGTTAATAACAGTCCACATTATTATTTGTTTAATCTCCTTTCTTGTGATGCCTTTTCATTTTTCATTTGTTGGTTCACTTTCCATTACCAAGTAAAAATTTGAGTACAATAAAGTCGTTACGTGTACTTCGAGTGTTAAGACCATTAAAAACCATTCGCAGAGTACCGAAATTAAAAGTAAGTTTGATTTAATTTTCACAGTAATATATATTAATAGTAACTGAATATTTATAAGTATTAAGAACTTGTGAATCTCAAGCATGTCAGATGTCAGTCAATTATTCACAAAATGAAATGGAAGATGGTTCAGCAGTATCTTGAATTAGTCAGATTAAGAAATCCAAGTTACTAGACTCAGATACAATGGTCTGGAGGTTAAGCACTAAGTCAAGGCTTTAGTATTTCGGGTTCGATTTCTAGTGAGACCTTAGTTGGGAACTGTGATGAAGTAGCATGTTAAAGTGAAACAGTTAGTCAATGTTTCTAGTCGAGGCCAGACCCCGAATGTTTATGATTTTTACAGTTGAGAAAGATAATTAAAGTAGTTTTTGATGGACTTAAACTAGCTAATAAGACAATGAACATTGTGCAGTCGTCTTGTCTTAGTTTGGAACTCTACAGTATTGTTTAATCGAAGTGACTGAGTGCAGACGATTCAATTTATTTTGTCCAGTACATTATCATATCACAAATGAGTTATTAGTTAAGTTTATTTCTATGCTTTAAAGGCAAAATATTAATAGACCTTATTATATATTATAAATTTAGAACAAAACCTCTTTAGATACTATTTTAGGTCATATGTATATTTTATTTATTCAAAAACAAATTAGTTTGTTCAAGGCATTGACCAATATCGATGTGTTTACTTTTTTTTAAGTATAAAATGGCACAATTTAGAAAATAGTCAATATCAATAAAATTGGCTCAATTCATGGAGAAAAAAACTCCCCAGAACGTTTTATTACCTGTTGAATAAAAGACATAAAGAAATTTATTTACCTTTAACAAAAACTATTCACAATCCAACTTAAAATCTAAATTTCAAATTAGATTAACTTCTTATTTCAGAATATATCTAGCGTTTGAATAGCCTAAATACAAACTAACATTTACTAAGTGTTTTCCATCATGTGTTATACTAACCTTAATTCATGTGTAATGATAAGCATCAGAGTTTCTAATCAATGACAAACAAACCTACATTAAATATCTTAATGTTGAATATTTCATTAGAAAAAAACGCCTCAGTCGTTATTTTTTCTAAATAAAAAAATAGGAGATGAGATTTTGCTCTACCGAATAGTTTGATTCTAAGTTTCGGTATATAAAAAAATAGTCGACTTAAAATTGATTTAGTTTACTAGGTCTCATAACAATGATAAATGCATTCAGCTATGAACAGTTTCTATTCTAGTAAATGCTTTTTTAAACTTTGAAAACGTTTAATGGTCGATTTCGAAAAGTGATACTTTGTATCCATCGGTAAAAAGATATTTTAATACATAGTATTAAAAACCATTAAAAAAACCGGATTTTTATACTATTTGGTGACTTGATCACAATGCATACCTATAATCAAAAGTTATTATTGAACTGGAAACATTTAGATTGATTTCATTGAGCCCATAGGTTCATGTCACAGTTTAACCACTAATGAATTACAATATGTCTGTTAATCATCAGACTCAAATTCTCTAGTTCAATAGTCATCAAAACATTGTAAAAACCACATAGTTCTCAATAAGATCACTTGGAATGTATTTAAACAATTTGAAAATCTATTATACATTATAAATAAAAATTATATATATAATTGTAATATCCCAATAAGTAGAAAAATTAAATTTTCTAACATTTTGTGACTTAGTGTAAGTCACTTCTTCAGATTATATTAATTTTTCGTTCGCTCAATAATCCTTCACTTAACTGATATCAACTTATAATGTAAAACTATTATAATAATATTCTTATGATCTATGAAGACGTTCCTGCTGAATAATAACAATAATAATATTATCAACTTGTTAGGCTAAAAGCCAATGATATAATGAATTAATAGAAATGAAAACTTGATGAATAAGTCGATCTATATAATAAATTTGTTAATTTAAAACCATGAATTGACCCCACTCTCGGCCATACCAGGGCATTTGGGGGTACGTTGTAGATTGTATTAAAAGATTCAAGTGATCTAATAATCACAATATAACTATCCAACGATTCATAATTTACCTCAAACTCGTCATTGGATACCAGTTTATGAAGAAGTTTATCACTAAAATGGATTAGTTCAAAATTCATAAATTATTTTAACTAAACTAGTAACAGTAATCTAGTCACCATAACATCATGAATTTTAATGAATCAATAAATCATTACATGATAAGCATAGGATATCAACGAAAATTATGATTCAGTTATTTCTGAATTTTATTCATGCTCTTTTGTTTTGCTTTTTTTCTCTTACAGGCGGTATTCGATTGTGTAGTTAGTTCATTGAAAAACGTTTGCATTATTCTTGTTGTATATATATTATTTCAATTTATATTCTCTATTGTGGCAGTTCAATTATTTCAGGGGAAATTTTTCTATTGTAATGATTTATCAAAACTACAAAAGAAGATGTCAGTAAGTTCATGAAATGAATTATTAAATATTTCAGTAGTATATACTTATTTGTCTCGAATGTTATCTCTTTTAATAATAATAATAATAATAATAATACTCTAGAGTTATTTGTATAATTTATTTGAATAGTACTTGAAAATTCTTTTTTCATTTACTCCCATCTTCAAATTACTGTCTTTATTTAACTCATTCAAATCGATTGATAAGTATCTCTTTTATTAAATTAAGTGACTTTCAATATCTAACTGATCAGTTAAACAAATTGTATGGTATCTTAATTGAATATAGTAAAACTTTCATTTTAAAAGTTATGCAATCACTTTAAACCAATATCAATATTAAAATTGTTTTATAAATATCTTTGAGTACTTAAATCACGTCTCCAGTATCTTTTTGGATGATCTTCACTTCAGATATTTGAAGGAAATAGACAGGTTGATATCAAGCACTCCCTCTCTTTATGATAAAAAGTTTGTGTTCATTAAAATCTCTTATTTTTTTGTCGTACATGGGTCATTTTTCTGGAAAAAAGTCAGGGTTTTATCGCTTTTATAATATCACACATTTTGCACTGGATGGTTCAACAAACTCGGCTTTTATTATTGTAATGAACAATATTATTAGAGTGTATTTCAAATGCCAAACAACCTTAAATAGTTACTTCATAATCATCAAAGTAATCCATTCTAAGGACATTCTAAATGATTTGCCGTCGTTGAACGTAATACTGTCTTCATATACATTTGCACTACTGTTGAATGTTTTGTTACATTATCTTATGACAACATGATTTATTGGTAATATCCACACACTTTGATGGATAAGATCGATTTCACCTTGCTCATTGATCTTAAAACGACCCGAATATCAAGCTATTATAACTTCTACATCATCCATTGAGTTTTTTCAATCTTTTTGATTGAATAACATATTCTGTTTCCCAGTTCTTGATTCTTGACAATTTCTTTAACCTCTCGATACCTACTGGAAACAACGTAGAATCAATCACAAAGTACCACCAGTCAGTTATGTAGCAATGTAGAGTTCAGCATACGTCTTTTTCGTTCCAAGTTGCCAAACTATATAACCACCGCAAAATGAAATTGTCAAGAGGAATACCAGAATAGTAGAAGCAGAAAAGATTAGGCATGGAATATGTAATCCGATAAGAAAAAAATGGATTTATACAATAAAATTTATAAGATACTTTTACAACTCAAGATACAAAAAAAGACAAATAGAGAAAAGGAGTAGATGAATTTACATTATTGTGAACGATTCTAAGCAACATCACCCAGTCTCCAACCATCGATTAAAATAGTCACATGTATCCCAGCCATATAGTTCACAACTACCTACATTGTTCAGTTAAATAGTATTTTGATCTTATAAATAAGCTAAATTGGATTTAATGATTACAGCAGATAGCAAATACTTATGAATTATTTTACACTATAGTACTGTCTAATTATTTGTCGGGGGCATTAGGTCCCCAGAACTCACTTGGGAAAGGACCTAATTTTGTAATTTTATTTGAAAAATTTGAATTTCTTTATTTTCGCACAGAAGGCGCTCTTGTCACCATATCGTATTTCTCACTGAGAAATGTCTTAAATGCTATTGGTCTGTTGCGTCTTTTAGTATGCTATTTGGTAACTCTCTCCAAGGACGATTTTGTACTGTATATGTACATTTTGAATTGTGTTTGTTGTTATCGCTCGTTTCTTGCTGTTTGCAGCTTGGACTTCTCCCTCTAGTTAGCGGGGCTGGGACGCATCAAATAGCTAGCTTACTGGTCTTTGGTCACCGAGTCTTGTTTCTCGTTCGCAGATTAAGTGACTCGTGATATCTTCAACCCTCAGCTATAAACAATTAATGTGAAAATACATAAACATTCTGTACAAACACAGTGATTACATTTTTATAACTTATATTGGTTGAATGTAATTATTAATTAGTTAGAACTTAATAATATGTTAATTAAAGAACCCATTAGAATTATAAATGATTACTTTTTACTCATTAGTTTATTCCATTGAATACTTTCATGCACTAATGTTAGCCAACTTAAAAGCCAAATGTCTAAGTAAATTAGATTTCATTAAAATTGATTATATTTAACTTACTGTCTTGAATAATATTATTTAAGATAATTACCATCTGAACTTGGTTATTTTATAATTTTATTTATTTGTCATAAATCATTTTTTTAATCTGAGGGTATTATCTAATTAAACAAAACATGCAAAAATAAACCACTTTCTGATAAATGCTCTCAAATGCTCAGTTACGACCGAGAGTGAGGAGATTCCGCTCTCCCTCTCGAAATGCTCTCACATGGCCACGCGTATATAGCCTCTGCCAAGGAAGTCCTACTCACTGCCTTCTCGTGGCGGGGGTGTTGTTTACGAAATTCAGAGGACGAAAAACGAATGTCCGGCGCTTTAACCGGATTGGTGGATAGGGAGAGTTCACCTAGGGAGTTGGAAAACCCTGATTCTAAACCAATGGTGCACAAGGGCTCCAGTATCCTGAAGGAACAAATGGCGTGTGAACCAATTTTCGGTCACCGGCTACCATGGGACTGCATCTCCTTACGATGCTCCACTGCCCTGTGGATCAGACCGTTATGTCAAAGGCTCGGAGCGTGGTCTCCTAAGGAAACCACATGCTTCTGTTTGGGCACACGGGCATTATCACAGCCCTCACACATATCGAATGAGATTTGTGTGGCGCATATATATTTGGCGCCTCTTTGTACCAATATTTATGTGTTAAAATAAATAAATAAAAATAATTGCTGATGAATAATTAAAGTCAAAAAGGGGTTTTATGGATAATATAGTCATTTGATAATTGAATTTACGAGTCAATTAAGGTCAGACCATCATGGAAAACTTGAAAGAACTGAAAGGCCGTTTTATCTCTTAACAGTGCGTATCCACGATGCCGTCTCAAATAGGTCTTTTGTGAGATAGTAAATCACTGATCACAATGGTGGATGTTTCGCTCACTTTCATGGATTAGTTGAAGTTAAACATTAACACCTTAGGATGTCGGCTCAGTGGTATAAACGCCACACGTTCGCTTGTGAAACCTATAGGTCCTGGGTTTGTGTCTTGTGAATCGGGGTCGTAGATGTACACTGCTAAGAAGTCCAATACTGGGACGAAATGGCCGTCCGGTGCTTTCAGGTTTTCCATGGTGCTCTACTTTCAATAGACTCGTGAATTCAACTATTAAATAATTAAAGGCTAAATATAACTTGATAGTTTAGTTGTGTGAATTTGTTTAAAATGTCAAAAGTGCATAAGTGGTTATTTCGGTGATGGCTAAATGTTTGACTACCAACCAGTTGTTCTGATATACATTTGAACCCCATTTTATTTATTTCATTATGAATTCTGAAATAGTAATAGTATAGTAATAGTATCATCGTATACACGTTCGAGTTCATAAATTTGTATTTGTTAATTGAGGTATGTAATAATTTTACACAGTAAACTATATCAAACTGGATGTAATTAGTTCCATATATATATAAACATGGTAAATAACATGAATTATAATTACAAAAGGGATCATAATTTCAATTTTTGCTTAATACTACTATAGACAATATCAATTCTTAAGATGATCGCGTAATGAGTAACCAAGTGTTTTGAAGTTAATCTACTTAGCTTTTTGGAGATCAAAAAGAATTGAATACATATAGACCAAAACAAATGATTGTTTGCCTCCAAAAATGTTACTTTTATAATAGACTAATTCATTTTTAAATTGTTTCTTGTTTTATTATGCAACTACCCCAAATAATTGATTTATGTTCACAAAAAATAACAACATAAACATTGTCTTTTATTTATTTATTTATTCCATAGAGGCTATTTCTTTTCATATGATGATGGTCTAGTACCTGTTGTGAAAGCTCGAGTATGGAGTTCACGTGATTTTCATTATGATAACGTGATCACAGCTATGCTAACATTATTCACAGTGACAACTGGTGAAGGATGGCCTGGGTAAGTACTTGAATGCCGTATAGTACTGAACAGTTGTGTTTGTTTCAATTCAAAACCGTGATATTATTTCATCAAAAATTCTGTGTGATTTAAAATTATGAAACATCACTTTTCCAAGAGCCCATTATTTATCATTATTCTTCCTTAGTTGCACTTATTTTATTCAGCTAATTATGCATGACAAAATTGTGTATTTACGTACTATCATATAGTGTTTACAACGTGTTGTCAATTTGATTACGATCAAACTCATGAATTATCGTTTAGTTGCTTCGTATACTTTCCTCTTTATTCTCTATTCATCGGAAAAATAAGCGGCGATTACTATCGAATTCATAGATCAAATTATATCTGGATATGAAGAAAGATATTATGAAATAAAAGCGATCATAAGCATTTACGAAGCAGATCACTGTTTATATATATATATATATATATATATATATATATATATATTATATTGACTATTACATTTTATATTGACGCTACATTTTATATTGACTATTAAACTAGTTATTTTGTTGTCATAGTAGCCGGATTTATTTCGTTACATAAATGGATGAGAAGCACAATTTAATTAGAAGTTATGATAGTTTATTCTTACAATTTAAAACGAATCATGTAATTATTATTTAAAATACAATAAGTCAAAAAAAACACAACTCAATCCATAATATTCATTTAAACAAAGAATTTCCTTTACTTTTTTTATTTTTACCCATGCATAATATTTGTTCCCTTCGTTTTGTGTCATTTCCCTTATGTGGTTTGCATTTTCTTTTTTCATAACACCTACAATATACTATCTCTGTTGCCACTAATGATATAAATACCATATATACTAATACTAGTAATAGTAATACGCTTAAAATGCGTCATATTAACAACAAGTTACATTATATACATTTGAGATTATCAATGCTGTGTGTGTATGTGTGCATGTATGTATGTATGTATGTATGTATGTAGTATACATATATAGGAAAGTTGAATTCAGTGAAAAAGTATTTATAAAAATAGAATGCATTGCGAATTCTTTCACTCTCATTTAAATTATACTGTGTGCGTTATTTTCAATAGTTGAAATCATGCGCCAATTGAAGCTAGACCACCATGGAAAACCTGGAAGCACTGGGCAGCCGTTTCGTCCTGTTGTGGGACTCCGCAGTAGTGTATATCCACGATCCCGCCCCCATAATAGGACGAAACGGCCTTCCAGTGCTTCCAGGTTTTCTATGTGGTCTAGCTTCAATTGACTCATGATTTCAACTATTGAAATTTCTAAAACTTCCCACAAAACTCATTCTGATTATTTTATTTTGTTTATCTGACTAATTAATTAAACGATTCCCTAATGGTTACTCTTCAATTTAACTAATTTCTAAGTAGAAAAAGTATATATATATATATATATATATATATATATATATATATATATATAATGGTTATATGAGGCGTTAATAATAATCGTTATTTTCAGCCCCTGAGGCGACTGATAACAATAACAAAAATCAAGTCTTTTAGATAACATTTTATTTGAAAGTGTCATTGATCAATTGTGGCCAATTCTAAATATTAACTCAATTCAGTACTTTCTTAATTAACGTAGTTGACCAACCATAAGAAAAAAAGGCTTTGCACTTATTTTTTTAGAAATTCTTATACCTGCTATGGTGAGAAACCTTTGATATCTGTGTCTGAACTAACAACAATAAACAAACCTCAAAGTATTACATGTTTACTAGTTCAAAGTTTAAGAACTGTAGGCCAATGAGAGACTAAAGGACAACTAGAAAATTAAGTACTTGGTATTCCATGACTGGTTATTTTATCTTTGAATTTAATAACTCATTATGTGTTTCTCAAGGTCATTGATATATGATGTACAGAGATCAGTTCTATTAACTCTATTACTTTAATGAAAACAGTGAGAGATCACTTCTCAATGACAATTAACTTTTGTTAATATTTATAGAGAAATGTAAGGTTATGCATTGAACAAACGATAACAATTGATTAACTATTGAAAAAAAAGGAAATGTGTTTCGTTGTAATACTGAACACTTCAAAAGTACACAATAATATTTAACTCAGGTTTCATAATACACTCAATATTATGCGACTTGCTCAAATACATGAACTATCATTTGTCCAAACATCCATTTGTTGATGGCAATCTTTCTTGTTTAGTGCTTATTTTAAATTCCACCTATCTACCAAGTATATTTACGCGCTTTCTATTATTTTTAAAACCTAATACGAGGCTAACTATTAAAAAGTACTACCACTGTAGAGTACATATCTACCATGAACATATAGTATTGAATAAAATGAATATTATTATTTTACTACAATAATTGGTGGAATAATAAGTGATTTTTGTTTTCCACCTCCAATGAATTCAGTTCTAAGCTACATTTTTCCATTCTATATTATCGTCAGTTAGCTGTCTTACTACAGTACAGAATAACTATACAGACGACAAAAAAGTTATGGTACATTGGTTAGTTATGATTTTGTGATTAAAATCATTCTAAACAAAGAGTATATATATGTCTCTTTGTTTCTTTCATTCAGTACTTTCTTGTTCTTATCATTCTCTTCATAACTTGTTTCCATAAATATTATTCATTGTAGAGTTTTAAAGAATTCAATGGATGCTACAGAGGTGAATCATGGCCCAGTTGAAGATCATAGTCAACAAATGGCAATTTTCTATATCATATTTTTCATTGTATTCCCATTCTTTTTTGTCAATATTTTTGTAGCTTTAATTATTATAACATTTCAAGAACAAGGTGAAAATGAATTAGTCGATCATGAATTGGATAAAAATCAAGTAAGTGATGTACACATGTGTCTTTTTTGTTTTTCAAGCCATAGTTTAACATATTGAGCTAATCAGTATACTCTAGTATTTGAGTAGAAATTATGAACAACAGTCGGTATGGAATAATATGAATACATTTTTTATTTTAAAAGTTCTCAACAACTGCTTACAACAGTCTATGTATTGAAATGTAACAGTCATGAATTGTAATTTCATAATTTTTATCGCAAACTGTTCTTGGCTAGTTAACTGTTGAACCCAGAAAGCCCTAGTTGAATGTTTTTCTTAGTATGAGGCTCTTCAGCACTATCGTGGGTTAAAAAATGTGTCCAGTGTGATCTGGTCTCTGATGGTTAACTATGATCAGTCAGTAGTGTAAACTATGAAATTCAGAAATCCTGGCCACTTATAATAGTTAATAATAGGCATTGGTTGCCGGAAAAGTAAAGTAATAAAAACTACATATATTAGACAGTTACTCAAAAACTGATAAGATGGATTATGTGGTGACTTTAGATTTGAAAAGCTTACATAAGTTTTAGGAATTATATGAATGAAATGACCGTTTTAAAGTGGATGGATATGAATGAATATGTATGAATAATATGCGAAGAGGAATTAATCTCAAAATATCAATTTACTATAATAGTGATAATTTACAACTACCTTTTGTGAGTAAATAAAATGGGTCTGAGTTTCTAATAGCTAATGCTTCAAGAAAGCTTAATGAAACAGATTTTATCAGTGTGCTTATTACTTTGATAGATTTAGGAATGTCGCAATATATCTAAGTCTGATTAAATCTAGTATGGATAAAGCATCTTTTGAAAAAAGAATCATAATTGCAGCTATGACAAATTCACAGTTTAGTATGACTGGTTAATTAATTTCTATCAGTTACGACACCTATTTCAATCATGAAAAACAATGACATTAAATTTCTGCAAATAATTATGACTATTATTTTGATTTTCTATAAGTCTTTTTGCATTTGAAACGAAATCCTGTACGGTTATCTCTGAAGAATGATCTTTTCATCTGATCCGGACTACGTTGGTGTTACTTTAAGCTCTGAAAAAACTCACGATGTCACTTAAAGATTATAATATACTTCATTGTACAAATTGAAAATAACTACCTCATGAATTAATATCAGTCAGTGAATCACTGAAGAGCAGATAGCTTCAAAGTGTTAGGTAGTCCTAGTGGGAGGATTTTTCTCTCTATTTGCAAGTTATTAACACTACATAGGTTGGTATTTAGTTCACATGACAAATATAATACCATTCATTCAATCAATTTATATTAAATAGTTTACATTTTTCTATTTTCCTCAATTAAACATGCAATACTTTTTTGGTAGCTATCTGTTCCTCAATTGATAATGTTAACCTTATAAGCTACCACTAAACATTTCTTTATAAAATGACACACTTAACCCATACTATAATTTACACCAATTCTTAATGAGAACATACTGGTAAATTATTAATTACCCGTTTATTTTTTAATCAAAACCAATAATATATTTTTATAAAACGACTAGTGAATTTAATTTCCCAAAAACCCAGCCATCTGTAGCGTTAAAATATTTAATTAGAATATGCATGTTAACAGTGCATTTTGCTTAAATTAAACTGACTAACCAAGTTGGTTGGTTAGTTGGTTGGTTGTTTGGTTGATTTAAGCATTCGATTTCAAACCAAATATATAATAAAGTTTTTTCAGTACCTTCCTATCTCTTTTGAGTATGAATATTCTTTTAATTGTTAGACTTAATTGTATTTCATCCCAAGCGGTGGCCAGTGGAGCTAATCCGTGTCGGGTAGAGACAGGTATCTACAACGTTACAATGGAAGATGGTTGCCCAATTTCGTGGATTGGTTAAGGTTAGACATTAACATCATTGGATGCCAGCTCAGTGGTCCAGTAGGTTAAGCATTCGCGCAAGAGACTGAAGGACCTGGGTTCGAATCCCACGAGCGGGATCGTGGATGTGCACTACTGAGGAGTCCCACAATAAGACGAAACAGTCGTATAGTGCTTTCTAGTTTCCAACGGTGGTCTAACATCAATCGGTTCATGATCTCAATCAAAAACTTAATAATCTCCACAACCCCTATAATGACAATAAATAACCTTGTTTCGTTATATATATATACACAAAACATTTTCACGCTCAATATTTCCTGTGCATATATCAACATGCAAATTTTACTTATTTTTAATCGAAAAAATAATCTATATTCTTTTTTCTCTAGAAACAATGTATTGAATTTGCAATTAATTCAAAACCTTTATGTAGATATATGCCTAGTAATATTGCATCAACAAAATATCGTATATGGAGATTAGTTGTATCTAGTCCATTTGAATATTATATTATGACAATGATTGCATTAAATACTTTAATTTTAATGATGAAAGTAAGTTTTTCTCACAATATTTATTCATTTATTTATTAAATAAAAATAGAATTTATTATAGAAGTCAAATATAAGTTAAGATAAGTAATTACAAATGTAAAATAGGAAATTAGATTAAGTAACTAACTTGATTTATATCAAGATTTGATTAAATAAGGTTTAGTTCAAAAGAAGAGTGTAAAGAAACTTATGATATATTAAAGTGTATATTTCGATAGTGTAATCCAAAATATTTGCTTTACTTGTGCAACATAATTCAGATAACCTGTTTGCAAATTAACTTGTCAAATCGTGAAAACTAATCAAAATAAATTAAATATAAGGTCAATTAGATACAAAGTGATCATTGAAAGTGTTAAGGAGAGAGAGGTAAGTAATATAAAATAAAAAGATTAAGAAGTCATACCAACCCTAACCAAGAGAATCGATTAAAGTTTATCATGTCCGATTCAAGGTTAGAGTAAGTGGTATTTTGTGCGCATACAAGGGAGAATTAAATTTTTTTATGGATCGAGGCTTCTACCTAAGAGCTGTTCTTAAGTGAATATAATGACCTATCTTAATTATATGTTTCCCTATTATGAAACATGATACTTTCCTCTATTATGATATTACCAAACAATTTTGGTCGGAAATTTTACCCTTCTACTTTCAATTATATACTCAAAAGGAATGTGTCCATACTTTGCCGAAATTCCATTTGTCGTTTATTTTCCTAATTCAGAAGCCGTTCTTCTCAGAGCTTCACATTTTTTTAATCTTTTTAAAACAATTATCAAACTAATTTTTACTAACTTACGCCTGTTACCACTCGTAGAGAAACATAGGCTGCTCACTTGATGGTGAACAGTTCATATAAACTGTCAGTTTTAATAATTTTTCAACTACTATTTGTGTGATAGCATGATAAATAATAATCAGCTGAACAATTAATTCAAATCCTTCAAATTAGATTATAAGCGTTATTACTTAGTAATAATCTTCCTCTTGTAATTAAGATGATTCAAATCAATTTATACTGTATCCTAAAATATGAAACAAGTGTATTTTATTTTATCATAAATACTTCATTTGTATTTTACTCTTCTTTCCTTACTAGTATTATCGACCAGATTATACAGATGCTAATATGGGCATTCCTGACTGGGAAACACAAAAATATCAAAGTTATTGTAGTACACTAGTTTATCTGAATACAGCATTTACTGCGATGTTTACAATGGAATGTTTATTAAAATTAATTGCATTTGGACCAAAAGTAAGAAATACTATTTACACTGATTTTTTTAATATTGATTATATCGTCAGTTGGTTGAAAGCAATCAACACAGATACCTTAAATATATGCTGCAGCTAGTTGGCACTCGTCAGTAAGGGACCTGTGAAACCTCAGAGGACAAATGCTTTTTTACGATAAGAAGCTGTTCCACTCAATATCAAAGTCAGAAAACTGACCTAACTTTCTAAGTTATTTTTTGGCTTTCGTAAAACGAAACATTTTGACTCATGACAAAACATGAATATGTCATCAATATGAATAAAGTTTAATAACTGAATAGGCTATGTCATTTCTTGTTATTTTACTAAATAACGACTGATATTAAACATGTGATGTCAAAACAGACGATTGCTGTCTATCTGTTGCTGATTTTTGATGAAAACTGATTGATTCGTTCGTTATCTATTTTCATTTAATTTTATTGTCACCGGACAATGGAAGTGTTAATGATTTATCATAATTCATAATGATTTTGAAGGGAAAGCGAATACTTTACCTACTAATTAATCAATTTTTACTTCATTACTTGTCTATATGATTTTAGTGACGTGTATATTTGTTAATCCTAAATCGGTAATATAACGCAATCACTAATCAATAGTTTCTCATTTCGAATCAACTTTAAAGCTATACAAAATGCATTTCCTTTTTCGACATATAACAACTGAAGTATAGACAATTATTAAATGAACAATAAATTTGCAAATCTGTATGCATTCAACGAATTGGTCATAGGAGGCACAATATTCCCACACAAACGCATACACAAAGCTACATGGATCTCACTGGACCACACCAAAGGGAACAAGATAGATCATACTTGCATCAATAAAAAATTCCGAAGGACAATGGAAGATGCGAGAACCAGGAGATGAGTTGACATAGCTTCAGATCACCACCTAGTTGTAGCCAATTTAAAACTGAAGCTAAAGAAGAACTGGACGACTGGACAAACAGCACTACAAAGGTTCAATACAGCCTTCCTTCGAGATACTGACAAACTCAATGAATTCAAGATAGCTCTCAACAACAGGTTCCAAGCCTTACAAGAACTACTGAAGGAAGAAGAAACTAGTATGGAGGACAACTGGAAAGGCATCAAAGAAGCATTAACTTCAACGTGTCAAGAGGTTCTGGGCCTAAAGAAACACCATCATAAGGAATGGATCTCTACCGAAACACTGGACAAGATCAAAGAAAGGAAGAACAAGAAGGCAGCAATAAACAACAGCCGAACACGAGCAGAGAAAGTTCAAGCACAAGCTGAATACATAGAAGCAAACAAGCAAGTGAAGAGGAGCATTAGAGCCGACAAGAAGAAATACGTGGAAGAACTAGCAACGACGGCGGAAAAAGCTGCAAGAGAAGGAAATATGAAACAGCTTTACAATACAACGAACAAACTATCAGGGAAATACAGTAAACAAGAGATACCGGTCAAAGACAAAGAAGGCAAGCCAATCACTGAAATTCAACAACAGCGGAAAAGATGGGTAGAATACTTCGAGGAACTCCTGAATAGGCCGGCTCCAATGAATCCACTGGACATCGAAGCAGCACACACAGATCTTCCTATAGATGTCAATCCATCAACGACGGAAGAAATTAGAATGGCCATCAGACAAATCAAGAGCAGGAAAGCAGCAGGACCCAACAACATACCAGCTGAAGCACTGAAGTCAGACATCGAAGTAACTACAAGCATGCTTTACCTTCTATTCAAAAAGATTTGGGAGGAGGAACAAGTGCCAATGGACTGGAAAGAAGGACACCTCGTCAAGATTCCAAAGAAAGAAGACCTGAGCAAATGTGAAAACTACAGAGGCATCACACTACTGTCAATACCAGGGAAAGTCTTTAACAGAGTTTTGCTGAACAGGATGAAAGACGCAGTAGACGCCCAACTTCGAGATCAACAAGCTGGATTCCGTAAGGATCGGTCGTGCACAGACCAAATTGCAACACTACGGATCATCGTCGAACAATCAGCTGAGTGGAACTCGTCACTGTACATCAACTTCATTGATTATGAAAAGGCATTCGACAGTGTAGATAGGAGGACATTATGGAAACTTCTTCGACACTACGGAGTTCCTCAGAAGATTGTCAATATTATCCGGAACTCATACGACGGACTACAGTGCAAAGTAGTGCATGGAGGACAGCTGACAGATGCATTCCAAGTAAGGACCGGAGTCAGACAAGGCTGTTTACTCTCTCTCTTCCTCTTTCTTCTGGTGGTCGACTGGATTATGAAGACCTCGAGATCTGAGAGAAAACACGGAATACAATGGACAGCTCAGAATCAATTAGACGATTTGGACTTCGCAGATGACCTAACCCTCCTATCGCATACACGTGAACAAATACAGATGAAGACAGCCAGTGTAGCAGCAGTCTCTGCATCAGTAGGCCTCAGCATACACAAGGGGAAAACCAAGGTTCTCAAATACAACACGGAGAACAGCAATCCAATCACTCCTGATGGCAAAACTCTGCAAAATGTAGAATCCTTCACATATCTGGAAAACATCGTCGATGAACAAGGAGGTTCAGATTCAGACGTAAAGGGGAGGATTGGCAAAGCAAGGGCCACATTCTTACAATTGAAGAACATATGGAACTCAAAACAAATTTCAACCACTACCAAAGTCAGAATATTCAATACGAATGTCAAGGCAGTTCTACTGTACGGAGCTGAAACTTGGAGAACTACCACAACCACAATCAAGAAGGTACAAGTATTTATAAATAGCTGTCTACGCAAGATACTCAACATCCATTGGCCAGATACCATCAGTAACAGCCTTCTGTGGGAGAGAACAAACCAGCTTCCAAATGAAGAAGAAATTAGGAAGAGACGATGGAAATGAATAGGACATACATCGCGCGACTCATTAAACTGCATCACGAGGCAAGCTCTAACTTGGAATTTTGAAGGGAAGCAGAAAAGAGGAAGGCAATAGAACGCATTACGTTGGGAAATAGAAGTAGATATGAAAAGGATGAAGAACAACTGGAAGGAGCTGGAGAGGATGGCCTAGGACAGGTTTGGATGGAGAATGCTGGTGAGCGGTCTATGCTCCTCCACGAGGAGCGACAGGCGTAAGTAAGTAAGTAAATTTGTAGACATAGATTTCTTTCAGTCAAACAATTAGATTTTCTGTTTTCCATGATTTTACTCACAAAATATTACAGTAGTGTATCACAACAGAATTTATGATCGTTTGCTACGTTAAATAGTTTTCTACCTATTATGCACTAACTCTGAGTTTCATTCATCTAAAATAATTTTATCATTGAATAATAAGCAGCTACTAATCTTTTTTTAGAGTTATTTTCGTGATTCATGGAATACGTTTGATTTTATAACGGTAGTTGGTAGCATAACCGATGTACTTGTTTCTGAGCTACAGGTAAGTAATTGTATGTTTTCTTATTTCCATTAATTTTACATTTTATAGAACGACTATTGGCTTCGCCTACGATATTTTTTTATACATACAGACTTAGTTTAAAACAGAAGTTAATGGTCGATTAAGAATGTGAGTTTCATTCTGCTTAGAATCAATATCTAAATGTATATACATATGAGACCTGAAATTAATACATATTATAGTCAATGAGAACACAAGTGAGGACAATCGAATGTTTTTGAATACAAAATTACAGAACATCTTAGTAAAATCTGTGAACCGTACAGTAAAAAACTCATTTGCAAAATGTCAATCAATCATCTCGGATTTAATTGTTCCTTTCTTTCCACATCAATCAGTCTCTGTACTCATCCTCTTTTCTTTGGTCTTCTTGACCTTCCGCCTCGAGACATTTGACTTTAAATTGATGATATACACTACTTATATTTGTCGACATCAGTAGCACAAACCACAATATCATTCTGAATACCGAATGCCCTAAAGCTAAGAGCAACATCGAAAAGAAGTGGCAGTTATTATTATTCAGTAACCTCGTTGATAACGTTTTAATATTTTAGACGATGCTTACTCGTTTCTAAAAACAAAACAATTTCTGACATGTCTAGTTGACCCGTTTCAAATATAGAAAAACTGTGTTCCAAACTTCAGTCAGTCAACCAAAAGCAGCTTAGGAACCAAAACGTACGTAAGCCAGTTCAAGCTATTATACTACATCGATGACTTTGAGGAAGGATAACAACATTTTGCTAAAATATAGAAGTTTCACTATTCTCGTAATGGTTATTACTTGAACAGTCGGTTTTTTTATATAAAACCTCTGTAACCTTCAAAACATTTTGAAGACTGAGAATTTCGGTCTCTATTCTTCGGCATTGCCCGTATTCATTAATTTTAAACGGCTAAGTAACTCAGTATTGCTAGGTTTTGCCTAGCTACTATTAATGTACGAGCTGTCCGTCAACGCATTTCAGAATTCTCCCGAAAGTCCAAGAGCCATCATCCTGAATTTAATTTCTTTGTCCGTAAACTGTACTTATTTACCCGTTAAGTGATGGCTTTGGATTCGATGTTGTGTGAAGGTAGTGGATAAGCTTACACTACTTTAAACGAGTATAAAGCATCTATTTGGTGTTTTTCGGTTCTAAAATGTTCTCCAACTGTTATATGATGAAAATTTCTTCACACTGAAAAAGAAGAAAATTGTAATCAATGTCTATTTCATCTGATTGTTGACATCAAGATAAATTACTGTTTCTTGACAATAAATCACTTCATACTGTCTCTTTTTCGACATTTGCTTAGTGTTCACGTTTATTTTAGACAAGTATACGTAATGATAAATGATTATACGCAAAAAATAAAATGAATTAAAACTTTAATAAATTAAAAAGATTACTTTCAATAGTTAGATGCGTACATAAGCGTTTATTGAATATGATCAATTATGTTGTAAAAGACAGATTTAAGTTGTAAGTGCGTTCTAACCAGTATCTGGTAAATCGTTTGTTAATTAACTGTACACCACATGAATGGATTTGATTATATTTAATGTAACTATCATTTGTCTGTACAAACGAGACGTATTTTAGCTTAAATAAACTGGGGCAAAACTAAATACCAGTAGTATAATCATATTTTGAAAAATTTGATCGATATAAAACGAAGATGATGAAACTAACTATTTCTTCAACTGAATGTATATCCGAAAGGATTTAAAGGAAAACTAAAATGAATGTGTTTACTTCAAAGAACCCTAAAAGTTTATATGGATCGGATGTGTCTCAAATTTATTTGTAACTGATTTAGTGATTATCATTAGTTCTTTTCTGATAAATTACTATTAATTAAATAATCTATATTTTATATTTAGATATTTACATGTTATAAAAAGAAATTTAATGTTCTTTAGCAATCTAATACCGTCCACATAGTCTATTTCTTAAATTAATAGTATATGATTATTATTATTATTATTATGTATTGTTGTTCGATCGAACATATTCGACAATTATTCCTAATAGATGACATTTTTTCCTAGATATTTTACTCAGATCACAGAGATATTAAGATTTAATTTTAAATCGATGACATCTATAAACTTTTGACTAGTTCTAGTAGAAATCTGTAAAGATGGAGCTTCCTCTGCAAAGACTTTTAGAACCAGAACAATTTAGGATGCCTTTACATTACAGATAAGACAGTTTGACTATAAAAATCTAAATTTATTTCTCTTAGAACTGAATTCACCTATAACCAACTTATTTAGGTCAAGTTGTATTCATTTATCGTCATTCTTACAGCCTACCTTCAACTACATAACATCTCAACATAGTTCATGCTATATCGAGTCACTCCTATTAGTGATCACATTTCAAAATGATCGATAGAATTTGACTGGCACTAAAAGACCTAGACAAATATAATATTAGTCACTTCTCCGTTATTAATCACTTCTATAGAAATATTCTACACCTTTTTTATTTTTTGTCTATTTCAACATTAACAGAATTACTCTACTCAATAAGATAAATCCATGTAACTGTATATCCTAAGTGATGTTGCATTTTTTTCTAATTTTATTTACAGGATTCATCATTTCTTAACTTGGGGTTTTTACGACTATTTCGTGCAGCTCGTTTAATCAAATTAATTAGACAAGGTTATACAATCAGAATACTATTATGGACATTTATTCAATCATTTAAAGCACTACCCTATGTTTGCCTACTTATTACTATGTTATTCTTTATTTATGCTGTAGTAGGAATGCAGGTAAGTTTAATTTAGTTTCTTAGTGGCTTTTACATTAAGTTATTTAGGAAGATCAAAATAACAAGCTAAGCAATTAGCACATTTCATTCAGAACATGATCAACCTCAGCTTTAATTTTCAAAGTGATAATTGATATAACTGTCAGAAGTGAAGACTCATTGGTTGTTTTGTGATATTCTATTTCCTCCTTGACCAACCCCACTTTTTATCTTATAAATGACCTTATATCTTAGTTAAGTAACAGTATAAATTTTTCAATAATATGACTTCAGCCTTTCCAGTAATTGTGTTAAACTGACCGTATCATTCTAACGGTACATTAGAACATTAATAAAGTGTTTCAAATGTAGATTGAAACAGATCTAAATTTGAACATATTCTTCAAAAAACACGATTTCATTGTGTAAACTATTACCAAATAGAAGTTTTTCATTTCATAAGTCTATTGTATTATTCTTTACCAATACGGTATCTTTTCCTTAAGCAGCATAGTTTTTACTAAGAGAAAATGAATTGTATTTGCTTACTTGTTTCAATAAACAGCCAAAAAAGCTATCGACCCAATTTTATGAATAATTTATTCAGTTAATCTAATTGAAGTAATCAAATCAACTAATTCTGGCCAATCAGCGGATGATACTTTAAAGTCATTGTATCTAACTCAGTATGACTAAGCTTCTTTTTTCTAAACAAATAATTAGAGTTTAGATTAAATTAAAGTTGATTTTCTCCGAGTATTTATATCATTTGAGGAACAATTAGATAAAAGGAAGAGGTGGATATCTCTATTTTTCCTAGTATGGGATTCGTCAACATTACAGATTCACAACCCTGCAATGAGATGAACTCATGATGTTCAAACTTCTTGCCTAGTGTGTTGCCTTTAAACCACTGGTTTGCCATCTGAGGGTTTACATTAATGGTTTCAGTCAGTTCGTAATATGATGCGGTAGTCGTTCAGTACCATTTATGAGTAGTAGTCTCCGTTCCGACAGTGTTGAACTCCTGACGTCAGGATTTTTCATTTAAACGTCGAGAATTCATCACAAGATCTTCCAATTTTGAAGACAGGTCTTATTATTGATTCACAACATTTCAAGAAACACTGAAAAGAGGAAGCCACTAGATAGCTGTTTCATCTCAGCTTGCGACTCTTTATCAGTCCGGCACATGAACCACATATGTGACAAGTTCTCTCTAATTTTTTACCGTTCTTAAGCTGATATCAATTCTTGTTAAAAGCTATCATGAAAACATTTGAAAATTTCCACAAATCCACCTTACTTTACATTAGTAATAGAACTTAATGACTAGTATTTACTAGAAGTATATTTTAATACAACTAAATTCTCTTTAAAACATATGATAATTAAAAATTAAAGTTCACATATACTTTAACTGGATATTCATAATTGTTATTATCATCACTATAAATTTTAAATTGAATGAACTCTTTATGTACAAAGATGAAATAAGTGACCGGAAGAAGTAACAATGTTCAAGTTGTAGATGAGAGCAAACTAGGTAGCGAAACAAGAAAGAAGGCTGAATAAAACTTTACAGAATGTAGCTTTATATATATATAGCTGTACTATACTATTATAATTACAACTTTCAGAAGAAAACTTCTACTCAGATATAATAATGGTATATGCTTTAGAAAATACAATGAAGCCAATATTCTTGTCACACATACTCTTTCTTTGTTCGATTAAATACAACATTAATGATACTTTGAATTATAGATAGAAAACAAAGGAAGATTAAATGTATTAAATTAAAAAATAAAACAATTTTAAATAATAATAATCCATTTGAAGTGAATTTAACGTAGTCGCGCACGTCTTTATACATACATATATAATTTGTACTGTTGCTATGAAGCGTTTATATGTCCCCATAAAATATAGCAAATCAATTAAGCTACGAGAGATAAAGGTCTGTCGGTATATACATTAAAGCTTATTTGAAGTGAATGGGATTAAAGTAAGAAGAAAATTAATGAATATACGTTTGATGATGTAATGGAAATTAAGTGTATTTAAAAATGAGAAACAATTATTATTCTTTAACTAAGATAGTTTATATCATGGAATGATAATCATTATAAACTATTGAGAGATAGGTAATTAACTCTTCCTAGTAAACAACTCATTAGTGTATATTCGCTGTTCCACAAAATAATAAAATCTATGATCTTTGGATTTCATAACAATGAAATTATCTTTAGGCTGCTCTTATTCCGAATCCATTATATTTGTAATCTTTTGCAACTATCATCTGTGGCTGTCATTGAAATTATATGGTGTTTGATACTGTTGAACTCCACCAGTCACCCCTCTTCATTAAAAGTTCGGGAATTCTTCCAGAAGTTAGTCGATAAATAAATTTATTGTTAAAAAACAAGTTAAACAATGTACATATATGCCTACAAAGACTGATTAATCAATTCAAGAACTTAATATTGATAATGAAAAAAATGCAAACATAAGTTCGCATACAGTGACAGGTAAATAAGTGTAAGTTGATAAGTATAGTTAAAGATCATCACAGCTGGATATTTAATAATTGTTGCAATGATAAATTCTGAACATTCAGGCTTCAAGACTCAAACATGGACTCATACCTTCTTTGAACTGCATATATGATATTTACGTGTCATAGGAAACTTTACGAAGGTTAGACTAATTCACAAACAATATAGTTTACGAAATGACATCATTCTGGGATTCAATAAGTTACAGAGCTCTTGAAGGCTGGTTTTGTCTTGTTGTACTGTCCAATTCAGCCACAAGCACATATTTAAACTTTGACCAACCAGTTATTCGGGGTAGGAAGTTCAAGACTAACTAAATAGTTTGGTTACTAAAGGCCAATTAATGATTTTCTCTATTCATGAATACCTGTAGGTCACCAAAATGAAACATTTTACCGGTGACCTAAATCAAATACATGATTTCTGACAATGAAAACATCTTCAAATAAGCAAGCACATGAAACTCTCTAAAAGATAACACTGAATTTACCCACTGTTTATTGATTCGGCATGAAAATAATCCTGTCACTCTTAAAAATAAAATATAGAGAGCAAGATCTTGTCTTTTTGATCCATATCCTTATGTGTGTTTACAATTTCGGAAATATTTCTACTCATGTGAATTCAATCTGTAGACAACAAAGGTACGGTTTAGATTCAGTATATTTTATATAACATGCTGTTTCTTATAAATTCATTCTTTTAAAAGAAATTTTCCAAGAGGTTTATCAGTAAACATCTAGCCAATCGTAGATAAAAACTACTTCAAATCTATTTTCGAAACTAATATTCATCTGAGATCATTTACAACTATTTGATATTTATTATGTTGTATCGATTGCTTCCAGACGTTTTTTACCCGTTCATTTAATGATTAAGTACTGTATATTGGAATGTAGTTTTTATTGAATTTCTCATTTCAGGTCCAAACTTTTTACTGTATGGATATTTTTCAAATGACCTATGGGGCTCTCCTATATTGTCCATGTCCATAGTAAATAGCTTTGTATAAATCTACTTGATATTATAATTGTTAACTAAGTATCAAATGGTAGAATTGAAACTTTATAACAAACAATTTAATAGGCTAATTCGCATTAAAAGTATAAAGTTTTAAAATAAACTTTAATAATAAAAATTAGTAACCTGTAGTTTATGAGCTGTGGATGAGTAAATGAAGCGTTTTCTTGTTGATCAAACTAATCGAATTTCGCTCTCATTTTAACAACCCAGATATTACTGTTACTAATCATCATTAAAACTCTGTAATTTTAAACATACTAGGCAAATGAATAAACTTGATAATTAAATTACATATTAATGAATAATATATCTTTTTTTTCATTTCCCATTAGTAAAATCATATCATCATGTTATAAATATACATATTGATAAGTGTACTGATTCATTTATTTAATATTTTTACCTAGATATTTGGCACGATAGCTATTAATGAAGCTGAAGGACAAATTACAAATTACAATAACTTTCATAGTTTCCCGTATGCAGTTCTGTTATTATTTCGGTAGGTTTAAATAATTATATATATATATATATATATATATATATATATATATATATATATATATATATATATATATATATAATGCCTTATTAAAAGATTCCCTTAAATTTGAATGAATAGTATTGTACTGAGGTAAATACCTGTCTCTACCCGATATGGATTAGCTCCATTGACCACGGCTTCTCACTAGAACACCGAGAATTCCCTCACGAAGCTAGTCACTAGTGATCACATGGTAATTATTAGTATGGGGTATTTGGAGTACTTGATAATTCTTTTATGGTGGGTATTTTTTTCAATTTAATTCTGTCTGTAGGTTGTTTTTCTTTCTAAATTCATTAATTTATATGATACCGTTTGTCATTTGAAAGTTAGCAATCAATTATTAACGTATGGAAATTCCTTTAGTTATGTAATGATTAAAACTAATCAATTATTGTAGATTGTACTTTTATATTTCATGCATTATAGTAACGTATGTAAAAGATTAGAATTTAAAACCATTCATGTTGTGTTCTCTTGTTTTCACTGATTATTTACTGAAGAGGAGTTACTAATCTTATCATGTTTATAGAAATGGATGAATAGGAGTGAATAGGGGTTGAGGAACTTTTTTTCTTAAAATGAATAAAATGTGATTTTTTTAAGAAAAACAAACTAAGATAAATAACCAGTATAGGGGTTGTGGAGATTATTAAGTTTTTGATTGAGATCATGAACCGATTGGTGTTAGACTACCGTTGGAAACCTGGAAGCGTTGTACAGCCATTTCGACTTATTGTGGGACTCCTCAGTAGTGCGTATACACGATCCTGCCCGTGGGATTTGAACCCAGGTCCTTCAGTCTCGTGCGCGAACGCTTAACCTACTGGACCACTGAGCTGGCATTCAATGGTGTTAATGTCTAACCTCAAAATAAATAAATTGTTCTTCGTACTAATAACAAAGTTGGTAATAGTTACCTATGAAATCTTGAACAATTGTTTTCGTCAACAGGTTCTTTTTGTATTTTCTAATGAATATGTAAATTATTTTCACTTTTATTCTAATCTCTACAGTTTACAAAAAGTAAAAGAAGAATCTTTCAAGATAGAAGAGAATTTTTCAATTTTTTTCTCTTAGATGTAGTTAATACAATCAATCTCATGAATTGATTTCATAATCATGATTGAAGAATGATGAAAATTATTGACATAACGCCCTAAATAAATGAGTATTAAAAGATAGAACAAGTGGTTAATAACAACAATTGTTTGATATTAACAAAATCACATAGTTATATATAAAAGTAACGAACGTTATTCAAGTATCGAATGATTTGAAAATTTAGGTTTTCTAGGTCACTTATCAGTGCATAAAATTATGACCTAACAACATGGCTTACTTACTGCCAACCAATGACATTTAAAAACTCTTACTTCATTTCAATGAATTAATTATATATAATGATAATCAGACATCAATCGCTTCTTCAATCAGTGGAGTCAAGATCCATGAAGAAAAATACACCAATATCAAACCTAAGTTAAGGATTTCCTCTCAATTGATTTCAACCACATAACATTAAAACATAGGCCATCCGACGTCTAGTCAATTATAATAGCGACTGTATTGTAACCTGTTCGATAAAATTCGGTCAGCACCAAGGACCCAACAAAAATGAAATCATTCATTATTCAGTGATCAATCATTGTTGAAAATAATACAATACTGAAGTATTAAAAACCGATCATTTGGTGATAACTAGTGTTGTGTTAGTTCCCAGCTATTGTTTGTTTAATTCTATAATCCATCTTTATAAAGAAACTAATGAACAGACTGATTTGAAATGGCGATACATTTTGATTACTGGTACATTAGTTTAAAGTGGTTTTCAACCATTTAGTGACGTCAACAAAGATGTCTTTATTTAAACAGTCAAATAACGTACTGAATATTTAACTGGTTGATAAACAGTGATTCATTATAACTTAGATAATAAAGCATCTACATTTTGAAATAGATATGAAGTAAGTTGATTAAAACTTAATGTTTTGTTTGGATATCATGCAAATGATGATTTATTGCGTTAGAAGAAGAAACAAAGACGTATTTAACTAATATAATTTCGACTAGAGCCATCCCCTAATGTCTATTACCATCATATCCATCGTATCCAATGTACTAGATGCAAAAAAACAAAATTATTAAAAGCTAGGGTTTATAATGATATCTTAATTGAAAACTGAACTTTAATATACAGCAATGAAGACAAATAGTGTAGCACCAGTCTCTTTAGCAGAAGACCTCAACATACACAAGGGAAAAAGCAAGATCCTTAAATACAACACGGAGATCACCAACCCAACCACACTCGATGGAGAAACTCTGGAACAGGTGGAAAATTTCACCTACCTGGAAAGCATCATCGATGAACGTGGAGGATTTGATGCGGATGTTAATGCAAGAATTGTCAAGGTGAGCGAAGTATTCCTACAATTAAACAACATATGGAAATCAAAACAACTGTCTGCAAGACAACATCAAAGTCAGAATATTCAATATGAACATCAAGACTGTTTGTTCTATTGTACGCAGCTGCAACTTGGAGAACTACCACAATCATCATCAAAAAGGTACAAGTATTTATGAACAATTTTCTACTCAAGATACTCAATGTCCGTTGAACGGATACCATCAGCAACAGCCTATTGTGGGAGAGGACAAGCCGACTTCCAGGTGAGGAGGAAATTAGCAAAAGACGTTGGATGAGGATAGGATATACATTACGAAAATCAACAAGCTACATCACGAAGCAAGCGCTAACTTGGAATCCTGAAGTAGAATGGAGAAGTGGAAGGTCGAAGAACACACTGCATCGGGAATCGGAAGCAGATATGAAAAGGATGAATAGTAACTAGCAGTAACTGGAAAGGATTACCGAAGACTGAGTTGTATGGAGAATGCTAGTGGGTTGTCCATACTCTTCCATGAGGGGTTACAAGCGTAAGTAAGTAATATACAACAACCATTTACGGTATGGAAAATGACTAAATGTTGTTTGTTTCACTCAGTTACTGAATCTTCAAACGTTGCAGATAATGCGAATCAGTTCCTAAAAATAAAGCCCTATCTCGAGACATTCATCACATAGCAACTGGGTAACATTAACTTGTCGCTGATTTGAAACTAGCATTATATTTTCTAGCCCTTAGATCTAATCGAATTCTACTAATAAGGTAGTCATGTGACCACACGTTGAAACGACTTGACATCGTGGTACAGGTTGCTTGACGTTAGTGCATCGGCCATAAACATCAAGAATCCAGCCGTGTGTCTTCAGCTATGAGTGCTCTGACTCTTTCAATGGGTTGTAAACACATGTTACAGCATGAGACGTTATCACCAAGCTACTTGAATGATAGTTATTTGGTTGCTTAGAGATTTATTGGGTTACTAGTTTACTGTATTACAGTCTTGGGTTTTAATTGGACATATGAGTTTTCGTTTTAAAAATTTCACGTTGATTTGTAGTGAAACTCCAATTTTTCATCTGTATGTTCTAATAATAATATTCATTTTTCTAACCATTTTCTACTCCCTTAATTTTATCAATCATTCAACCTATACTAGAAATGTTTCATCTGTCAATTCAAGAACGAATATCCTATATATTTTGCTAAAAATTCCCGAATAATAATAATTTTCCTATACTTTTATACATATAATTTTTATTTCCACTATTTTCAGTTGCGCTACTGGTGAATCATGGCAAGAAATAATGCTTGCTTGTACCTATGGACAAGAATGTGTTAATCGTGCATCAAACAATTGTGGAAGCAATGCATCTTATACTTATTTTGTATCATTTAATTTCTTTTGCTCGTTTCTTATGCTCAATTTATTTGTTGCTGTAATTATGGATAATTTTGATTATTTAACAAGAGATTCATCTATACTGGGGTCACATCATTTAGATGAATTCATACGTGTATGGGCTGAATATGATCCAGGTGCAAAGTAAGTCTTATGAAAAATGGAGTTTGATAAACACCAAAATATTATAGCTCTGAATCCATATATATCTAGCTTTCTTCAATAAGTGTTTCAAAATAACACTCATTAAAGCATCTTAAATGTCACATTAGAAAAAATAAACCTTTCACTATCCAACATAACTTGTGATAAGTATTGATTCTTAAGTCATTTTTCACCACAGATGAACATCGATTTACGAAATATTAAGAGCGAACAGGCACTGAAGATATTTCTCTCTTGTTCGGTACTCAATAGCTATCCTCACTTTACATAGAATACAACTTGAGGCATTCATGTCACACGAAAACAAAGATATTTCAAGATATTAAATCCGTCAACGAAGTGAAAATCGTACCATCACTAATGACTAGTTGTTTAATGGATAACCCAAATTACTTGTTAGAAAATTTGGTCATCATTGTCATCCATGTTTATGATACAACATGTTTCTTTGATATTGCTACAACATACACCAACAGAAGTTGAATCTGCAAAACAGTCAATTTCAATGCTATAGTTTGAAATGAGTCACAACCTCACTTTCTAGCTTAGTTATCTCTTCAAATAAATCTAAATCTGTTTATGTGTGTTGACTGGTTTTCTGTCATTTTGTCTTATAATGTAGCTTGTTTACCAAGTACAAGCTAGTGTATTCAACTTTGCCTCACAATATCTTTATGGATTTCATTAGTATTAGCCAGCTGCTTAAAAAGGACATGCACGAAATAGAAGTTCGGACGTTTCACCTATTGATTGAAAGTCAATTATCCTAATCTCTGCCAAAATAACTTCAACGACAATAAATTATATAACTGACTTTAGAAGAAGTGATGGATAATACCTATTAGTGGAATCCAGGTCATGAAATTCGTTCAGTTTGTGACTCGTCAGCTAGATTTACCTGCATCCCAGAGTTGACGTTCACTCTAGTACTCGAATACAGAACCGTTAGCTTCAAACTCCATCGCATTATCCCCTTAGCTGCTAATTCCAGATAGCCTCTAGTTTGTGCAACGGGGCAAAGTTTAATTTATTTTCGTATTGATTGTTTGGATCTTCTCAACTGATCAGTCTCATATTGGCATTCCTGTATTTTGTGTGGATTGTCTCGATATTGCATTATTGCAGCCCTAAACGCCAATGGGAAAATCCAAATAACCAATACAAAAATGAATATAACTGACAGTATAAAATTTAAATTACCATACCTTGAAAAATACAAGTGCTGAATCGTACTACATACACAATGTAATGTATCGTATATCTTCTCTCATAAAAAGAAGCTATCACAAGTAGCAAGCAAATGTTTGGCGGCATTATTGAAAACACACGCCTTCAACATGTCATATTACAGCTTATAAAAACAGAAAAACGTTTAACTGCTCTATTGTTTTCCAACATTTATGCATTTAATTTTCTAAAAAAAATAAGCTCCTAATAATATTGGTATTTAAATACTACTCTAAATATGCTTCCCTCTTCTCTTTATAAGCTAAATAAATATGAAAGATCATGCTGTTCCATTGAATTTTACCGCTACTTACACGTACGCACATATAGACAGACATGCAAAATCTAAATACTATATCAACTTAATTAGAATAATAAACTAGATGTAATATATTAGTCACTTACTATAAGTAGTATGCTTATTTTCACGATTTTTTTTATTTGGCCGAATAAAATAAACTCAGAAATATTTGTATCATTCGAAATTTCCGAAGTTTTTTTCCCAAACAAAAAATTTATTGATATAATCTCATATACAATGACAATATGTTAATAAACATGTATGTACAAAGCTTTAATCACTCCATAATTTATATACAAATAACTTCAATAATTGAGATCATGAATCAATTGAAGCTAGACAACCATAGAAAACCTGGAAGCATTGGATGGCTGTTTCATCCTATTGTGTTACTCCTCAGCAGTGCACATCGACAACCCCGCCTCACGGGATTCTAACCCAGGACCCATCAGTCCCACCCTCGAGCGCTTAAACACCAGACCACTGAGCCGATATCCAACGGAGTTAATGTCTAACTTCAGCCAATCCACGAAATTGAGCGACACATCTACTATTGTCATCAGTGAGTTACTATCTCACAACTCAACTGGTCTCTGTTTCCCACTAGAACTCCAGGATATACACCTTGAAGCCAGTCACCAGTGAGCATATGTTAATTAGTATCAGAAGGGATTGTCGAAGAAATAAAAGGACAAGATACAAAGCGAGCATTCTATAATGTCCCAGTTAAGTGAATTGTCGATGTAGGAGTTCACCCGGCTCTGTATCCAAACAAAATGGCAATAAATATTATTGAAATTTATTGATTCAACAATTTAGTGAACCAATGGTGTCAAGCTGACATTGTGTATATGTGAACATTACTAGAGAATACAACTCGCTATCGAATTCTATCGATCAAGTTGATATATGTCAACTAGTTTGAGTGACAAATGCAACACATGTTACCTTAATAATTATAATTTTCTCACTAATGGCCATATTTAAAACAGACTCGTAGAGTTAAAGTGAATAGTAAGCGGTAGAGTTCTGAAATCAGAAGTTCAACAGTTGCTGACTGATATTAGTAAATACTCTTCACACTACATAACAAAACACAATAATCTAGATGTGTCGTAATTATCACAAATTTAGATCATACGATCCGATAATGTGTGGACCATTAAAGAGTCTCAAATGAGAAGAACCAATTCTACATTTCCCTTTGTTTTATTTTCTTAAATATTATCCTCTTGATATCAGTCTGTAATAAAAACTAATTTCATAATTACTACATCAACATATTTTGTTGATTTTTAAGTATCCACTATTTCTGTAATCAATTTTATTTACAGTATAATAATCCACTTCTTTATTAGTTTACATTCAAATGACCTTCATTTTCAATTTAAGTTTAATAATTGTCATTGTTGCATTAAACTACTTTATTATCATCATCACTACTTTTATCATTAACAACTAAGTTAACTTTTTTTTCCTGAAAGTATTCTTTACTATCATTAATTACAATCAGTAATACACAATATAACAACGCCTATTACCTACAAGGTTGAATATGATTATTTGATTTTAATATTCTGATTTTATTGTTTCAATAATTTATGATTATTATCATTGGCAATCATTGTTTAAACTTTCCTTTTGCTTTACTATTGTAATTCAAAATGTAATGATGCATAAAACAGAACTCACACTGATACAGTTATTAACAATTACTATTGATAATGGTAATGATGTTATAAAACAGATTATGTCCATATTTTTTAAATGGATGTCGTTGTAGAATTATTTGTGTACTTTAAAAACAATTTTCAATATGAATTAAAACATGCTGGAAAACCGTTGAAAACCAAAGTTTAGAAACCATTGTGGAACAATTCTGAAATGATTAATCTGATCTTTAATTGTTATCATGTCCCTTTAAAATGAACATACTTTATGGTAGGTTAACAAAATGGGCATGGAATGCTTTTAAATTAATTAGTTCGTTCGTTACATCAAGCTTACATGTTTATACATATTTTGATTGAGACGAGAATAATTAAATTCTGTCACATGGATTTAGGTAAACACCGTGAAACTATGAAAACCATGATTTTTGTAGGTTAAATCATGTCAGTAAGGCATATCTGTAATCTTGAGAAACCCATGCTCTTCCAGAATTTCGGACTCTACAAACAGCCATATAAGTGCTGTACCGTCTAGATAGTAATCTATCTATACTAAAAAACTCAGATGCTGGCATTATTCACAATTATTGAGTAGTAATTAATGCCATGTTATCGATCAACACATGCTTACTTACTTAAGCCTGGTACCCCTCGTGGAGGAGCATATGCTGCGCACCAGCATTCTCCATACAATCCAGTCTTGGGTAATCCTTTCCAGTTACTGCTAGTTACTATTCATCCTTTTCATATCTGATTCCGATTCCCGATGCAGTGTGTTCTTCGACCTTCCACTTCTCCATTCTACTTCAGGATTCCAAGTTAGCGCTTGCTTCGTGATGTAGCTTGTTGATTTTCGTAATGTATATCCTATCCTCATCCAACGTCTTTTGCTAATTTCCTCCTCACCTGGAAGTCGGCTTGTCCTCTCCCACAATAGGCTGTTGCTGATGGTATCCGTTCAACGGACATTGAGTATCTTGAGTAGAAAATTGTTCATAAATACTTGTACCTTTTTGATGATGATTGTGGTAGTTCTCCAAGTTGCAGCTGCGTACAATAGAACAAACAGTCTTGATGTTCATATTGAATATTCTGACTTTGATGTTGTCTTGCAGACAGTTGTTTTGAGTTCTATATGATTCCGAAGTGTTCATTTTATTCTGTGCTTCCCCTCAGATGACGAGGTCTTCATAATCCAGTCGACCACCGGAGGAAAAGCAAGGAGGAGAGTAAGCAATGTCGTCTGACTCCGGTCCTCACTTGGAATGCATCTTTCATCTCTACTCCATGCACCACTTTGCACTGTAGTCCGTCATAGTTCACCACATACACCAATTATTATTCAATGAACAATTATAGTGAACATGTAGTTTTATATTAAAACAAATGATGAAGATTACAATAAACAAGAACTAAATAAGTGGTTTTAATAGATATCTAATATTTTATTATCCTATCAATAATTGCTGTTCAACATAGGAAAATGTGACATAAATAGTTTATTAAATTGTCAATATTTAGTATTCATGTTTTTTTCCCAGCATCTCAACTATCAATTTAATTTTAAACCTAGAACATTCTTTTCAATAAATAGTCATCAGTTTCTACGGTGATAAACCCAATATTATGTTCTTAAAGTGATAATCAAGTTTAAGGTAAATACATCCATACAAACTACATCATATGAATTTAAATGTGAAGGTATGATAAAATAACTTTACTAAGACTGAAATGTCTAATACACCTTATTGACTTATTACTTAAAATGTGAATTATTCTTTTATCATGTATATATGAACTTGAAAATGGCTAATTTATTGATTGAGATCATGAAACGATTGATGTTCGACCACCACTGAAAACGCGAAAGCACTGGACGGCCATTTCGTTCTATTGTGGGGCTCTTCAGCAGTGCGCAGCCACGATCCCGCTAGCAGAATTCGAACCATGGCTTCAGTCTCATCTGTGAACGCTTAACCTCTAGACCACTGAGCTGGTATTCAACGATGTCAATGTTAAACCTTCACCATTAATTGATAAATTAGACTCTGTTGATAAACGATGGGAAGAGACTTGTATACATGTCACTTTCATGAATTATAAAAAAGAAAATTTCTTATAGATTTATCTTTGAAAAGGTAATAAATAATAATGGTTGCATCTTATTTCTGTAAATAAATCATAATTCAATTCGATATAATTATCTTCCTTTAATTCACCCTCTTTTTTCGATAACATTTGAACTAAAGGAATTCACTTCTCTTTTTTATACTGTAATAATTGTCATGTAATAATTGTCTGAAGTTTTTTTGTAACCATTTTATTGTTTAGAAGAAAATGTAACGCATGATTTCTAACGATTATCATTTCTAACTGATAACACAAACATATTGACTAGTTGACGAGAAACATCCGTTAGTTTATAACATATGAGAAAGCATTAAATAGATATTTAGTTCTAGTCTATGTACATTTAAGTTTTCTGCACAAGATCAATTTCAGAATCTTCTAGTTCTATTTTGTCAAGAGTATCATAGATAACAGATTTAAAAGTCTTGAGTCTTGATCCAAAGGTGTTGGAGGTGTTAAACACTTTCAATTTTTTTATTGTTCACTAAATAATATTATTCCAAAATGAAGATTAGAAGACATTAAACAAACAAAAAACAACGATATTAATTTCCGGTTACTCTTTTATGATACCTTACTGTTCTATCCCTAAGCATATCTTCTTAAATTAGAGAAAACAATCTTTATATCATAACAAGAAAAATCATTTACTTTCAGCTTTTGCATTACATATCACTAGTACAAATGAAGTTGATAAATTATTTGTAGTTTATCTCATATCTTTATACCATTGAGATTTTTTACCATAATTTAAGTATTTTTACAGCCTAATTATTCTTAATCTAAGATAATAACTTGGAACATTATACAATACTCATGTTTTTTTTAATATTAAACATGGTATGTAGTAACAAATTGTGTTACAGTTGTGCAGTCAATTATACCTGCTTCGGTTTGGGCACCCGGGCAGTATCACAGCCTTCACACATATCAAATGAGATCTGTGTGGCACATACGTATTTAATGCCTCCTTGTACCAATATCTATGTGTTAAAATAAATAAAACCAAACATACGACTACTTTCTTCATACAGCTGTTTTTCTATAGGAAAAAAAAACGACTTATCACTCGATCATTTATCGAATGATTGTAAGTAAATAAATAAATTTTAAATGATCTTTATTTTACCAAAAACCATTTTCAAAAGATTTTTAACAAAATTTTAAACTTATTACTATGTTAGATAAAAAAGTAATATATGAAACTATTTTGTTTTTTTTTTCAAAATAAACTTATATATTACATAGGGGAAGAATACATTACACAGAAATGTATGAAATGCTAAGAAAATTAGAACCTCCAGTTGGATTTGGTCAGAATTGTCCATACAGATTAGCGTATAAGGTAAGTTGGAACCTCAGTTATTTTAAAAGTAAATATTAGTAATCGAATTAGAAATCAAGTCATCTTTACTTGAGACTGCTTAACAGAACACTCATATTAGCCATTTCAGGTCTTTCAATGAACAATACATCACTGAGCATTTGAACGGAAATCCATTGATTCGCATTTTTAACTCATCAGATATTCACTATAAGTCGCCGACTCATTTTCATTTTGGTTGATTCTGTATAAGGTCTTGAGCAAGTATTGAGTGTTCAGTGTTTCTTCAAGTATTTTCAGTTCATAATAAAGATTTGTTTTCAGTTAGATATTTGTTTGACAAGATAACAAAATAAAAATTATATTAGAACAGCTTTCTTTGTTTCTCCTGTTAGAAACTAACTTCTCCACAAATCTTCAGTCTTCATATAAGAATTCCTTCATAAATATAGAGTTCATATTCCCTATGCTTCTTATACATTGGACAGACATTTTGTGATTATCTATCTGTTTTAAAGTCATCATAATAATATAAAATAGTGTTATCCCTTTTTTCAAAAAAGAGAAGCTCATCTAACTAAAAGTTATTCTATCAAAGAAATAAACTTCATTAGTGTTAACAAGAAGTGTTTTGTTTGTGCAGTGAATAATCATATATTTATTCAGATTATGGTATTTACTTATCCTATTACTATTATATTGAGCAGGTAATATTATGTATAGAATGGATATTTTGGTTCAATAAAGAAGTACTTTCCATAGAGCTATGTACCAACTAATGGGTGAAAGTATTTAGACTTATGAGTTCAGGACGCTTAAATTAACCGTATGAAAATTTTAATAAATAAATAAAATGATTTCCAGTACAAACTAACTTTATCAAAAGATTTATTGAGAACATTATACAGTGGTTAATTTAGCAATGTTAACTTTGTAGAGGATTAAACCCAAGATTTTCAAATCTTGTTAGGACACCAACACAATGTTATAAAAAATCTTGATTAGTACAGTCAAACATGTACTGAGTAAGACCGTTAACATAAGCTGACGTGATTATGTTTTCGCTCTAAATAAATGTTTTAGTTTTACATCAGGGACTGAACTTGGTTGTATAACCGTTTAAAACAAGAGAGCTTTGGACAGCTATTTCATCCTATTAGCGAACTCCTTAACACAGAATGTTTACGACCTTCCACAAATCGAACCCACTCCTTATGGTAGGTGCTTGACAATCAGACCACTGAGTTGGTATCTAATGGTTTACATCTTTAACTTCAGTTAGTAAATTTGATAAGCAACCTTCTTAAACATATGAATTATCAATGCAATAATTTGTTGAATCTCTATCTTTATTAAGAAAATTCTTTGGTAAAGGTGAAGATCGATAGATAATCTGTTAAAAAGTGAATCATCATAATAGTATGCGTTTTGTTGGTTGTAACGTGTTATGTTCACGTTTAATTATATGCAGATTTAAAACTCTTAATGATCCAAACAATTTCTTCGACATTAATTCATTTTGATGTTAATAATATATATTCACTTTATAGATAGACTTTCTAACGTGATTCATAAATATTTATGCAACAAGACTCTGGAACAAAATTTTGAAAATATGATCAAACTGAACTAATTCTTATATATATTACTAATAATTTTTATTTTATTTGTACAGAAACTAATTCGTATGAATATGCCATTAGATAGTGCAGGAACTGTACATTTCACAACAACACTATTTGCTTTAGTTCGAGAATCATTAGGTATTAAAATGGCTCCAGCTGAATTTATGGATATTAAAGATGCTGAATTACGTGAAACCATTAAAACATTATGGCCGGTACAAGCGAAACGATCATTAGACTTATTGTTACCACCAGATTCAGGTAAATTAAAATTATTTTACATAATTGGGTTATGTGAGTAAATCGCGTGTTTTTCACCAAATATTTATGTTTACCACTCTGTCCAGCAAAAATGTGAATTAATGTAGTAAAACCTTTATCATACAAAATTTAGAGTAATTCGATAACTTCACTAGATAACTCTCTCTAACCATCGGACTTAATCCTTGTGACTTCTTGTTATCCTCGTAGTCAAAATGGTCCTGAGGCGGTAGCACGGGGTTCATACAAAGATAATAAAGCCAATGAAAAGTCTGACTTTTAAGAATATCCAGGAGTGTTTTGAACAACGGGAAAGATGTGATAAGTCTGCTATTACGTATATGAAGTATATTCAATGAGATATAAAATCAGCATACATGTAAACTGATTATCATCCAATAAAATGATCCTAGTATAATAAATATATAAAACAGAAAATCCACTTCGTCAAAAAGACTAATCCGAATTAGTTTCATGAAATCTTAGTCCATGTAAGGACTTACAAAACATAATGTCAACGACAATTATCAAAGTAACTTGGATATATCTCAACTAATAAAAATTTTATAAAGTTGACATACTAAGTTGTTACGATCCCAGATAGACTGCTGATGAATGAAGGAAACTTTTCCACCTTTTAGCTGGATAATATTATTAAACACTATACCTATGGACTCTCACTTTTTGTCTGTACTATTAACAACTCTTTTTTTTTCTTTGACACAAAATACACACTGTATTATTACAATCGATGCAAAAATGAAAACAAAGATATCAGGTCAAGATTTGTGGAATGGAGTATATGTGAATCTTGTCCTAACTTTTGTCTAATCAGTTACGAAATAGTACTGCCGAAAACACTACTTTAGAGAGCAATAAAGGTTTTTACAGTCGATAGGCTAGTAGAAATAATAAACGGTAGAAAAAGATCCTCAAGATAAGCGTAAAAAACTGAAAATAAAAAAGCTCAGAGAAAGTATAGTAAGGGAGGAGCCATTTTTTACTGAATTATTTTGACTCCATCATCTTTCATTTTTTTCTTATTTTTTAACTGATTGACGCCTACTTACGTTAGATTTAATAATCATTAACCTGTCTTCATCTATTTATTGCATAACCATTTAGTTTTTAGCTCTACAATCTGTGTTACTAATTTGGTATTCTATAATCTTTTGTATGTGGTGCTGATTTGAGACATCTCAGTCTTATTAAATTTGTTTGAATCTTAGATCTATCATGATGATATATAGTCAATTCTAATGAACTTCAGTTGTTAAGTTCAATGTGCATCTCTAATTTTAAAATATCATAGGTTTTCAGAAGCTAATGAAAACCCAACTAAATAAAATGAACTCTTATTATTCTAGTCAAAACTTTATCGATGCTCGCTTCAACATAGATTAATTTGGGATTTATTAGTAATTACATGTGAATGATTATAACTTAGTCTTATGATATGATTAAAATTATGAGAATGCAAAACCGTGTCAATGCTGAATTAATCCGTAACATTGTGGAAAGTCAGTTATTAAATTATGATAATACCAACTTCCAAGCTAACAAAAATAATTGGTTTACTGCATTACAAGATTTATCCTATCTTCACAAAAGTTCAACAAGTTTCTTGTTACCTATGTGGTCGCACCACAGTATTATACTGTACTGCTCAAGTCGTGTAAATGCGTGGAAAGCGTCTTGTTTTCTTGAAAATCAATATAAAACTGCCATCTTGCAAGGTACATCTATAATTGTGTGAACTGTGACAAAAACATTTTCCAAGACAAACAACTTAGGACATTTTACAAATTAAATAAAATTCCACAGAACTTTTATAACGAAACCATAATTTTGAAATCAATAGTGACTTCGATATTAGTTTTTATAGTACTAGTAAATAGTCACGATCGATAGAGTTGAAATATGTCGAAAGTGGAATATTTGTCACCGACAGATCCTGGCTTGTTATCGAGCTTTATCATGGAAATGAAACGAAATATTGATTTCTACATGTTTGTAAATATACCATTTAATCGATTACTAATAAACACACGACTCTTGTTTGATACAAAATGTAATATGTACAACTATTTGATCTGGTAGTCACATCATAAAATCTCTATCATTAAGGGAGAATAAAAACAAAACTGTATACACATTGAAGAACAATATAAATAGTTATGTTGTAGATACAGAATAATAGACCAATAATTATCATGTTAAGTCCAATGGTGTCCTTGGACTTTAAATGTACATTCCCTATTGGCTATTATTTAATTCATTCGTTACATATTGTGTAAATGTTGTTTACTATTTTTATGGTACGATGTGGTTTGCTTGTTTGGTATATAAATAGAGCATGTCTGAAATACAATGATTCATATCTCCGAGGCTGTGACTTGTGTTCTGGACTCAACTGACTGGGCTAGACAGGGAAGCGAGACCAATAGAGACTCTAGGCCGTCCGTACGTGTTTTCCGTGTCATTGAATCGATCGATAAGTACTCTGCTCTCTAATTTTCCAGTCAAGGACACAACAATTAGCACAGGGTAAAAGTCGACCACAACTTAAATTCATAACAAGTTATAAATTTCGTGTAATATTTTTTGTTTATTTCATTAAAGAATATACATTTACCCGTCTTACTGTTGGAAAAATCTATGCTGGATTATTGATTTATGAAAATTGGCAAATGAATAAATCCACTGGCAATAAAAAGAATTTACATCAATTGAATACTGTAAGGTTTTATTTACTAATTTATACCACTTACTATTCTTTAATCTACTATAAAATATTAATGAAATTAGAAAAGTGATATAAGACATTTTATTTTTAATAGTCAAACTCTATTAGTTTTATTTTAAATTGATATTGAATGGTTGTAGGTAGTCGGTAAGAGACTTTGTTCTTAGATTTCTTACTAGTTGATACGTTTTAGCAATCTTGGAAGGATTGATGCTATTCACAAGGACAGACGTTATCCAACGCATTGACCAGAGATATTTATAATTGAGTAAAGTGAACTGTAATTGACCTTCTATAGAAATGATGTCAATATGAGTCGTTAGGTGTTAAGTAAATTAATATGATGGCCACAGTTTAAACATGACCGATAAAATTCGATCAGCTATTAAGCTTAAACAAAATGACATTGCTTGCTACTCAAAGATCGATTAGTAATAATTGTTTATATATAATTAGATTATAAGAGTTTGTTTGTTTCCATCAGCTTGAGAATCATCACAAAATAATACCGCGAGCAACTATATCAGCAGTGATACAATTTAGTTCATTGTTTTATTTTCATTAATTGATAAAATAATAAGTCAATATCAGTCTATTCTGATATTTCAAGTTAACTATTACCGTCTTGAATAGCTTATTCTTGTTCAAATCTGTGTCACTCTTTTTTTGAAATATTCTATTTATTTAGAATCAAAAATCTGTTTTATATAGAATAAACTGACCTACCAAAATCATAAATATTTATCCACTCTTTCAGAGTTCCGTTTATCTGTGAATGTTTTAAGATTTGGCACGGAATTAAAACAATACTTTATGTCGTGTACTGTGACTTTGATAAATGAGCGTCTCAACAAAATATATCTCATGTTTAGTAATCACATACAACCGTTATTAACCTGAAAGGAACTACTTAGGTACACTAGAATTAAGATGTAAAAATGGTAACTAAAACAAAACACCTTTTTGCCATGTATATAAACTGTTCAGTAAACTTCAATCAATAAGATATATCACGTATAATTATTCATGAACAAGCCTTGAAAAAAATCCACCATATACACTAACCAACAAAAAACCAGTAAGGCATTCGAAGCCATTTAATGCACATAATGATGATCGTATCGATTACTCTGAAATAGCTTAGATTAACTCGTTATTGCTATTTCGACTGAAATTCGATCAATCTAGGTATAGCATGCGGACATTCTGTGAGAATTGCCTCGATATACCCATTATGACATAAGTTAATATGAACTAAATGAAATCTGATTAGCACTGCAATTCAGTACGCGCTTTCCGCACCATCTGAGGGTCAAAGTGAAGGTCAACTCTGGGATCCAGGTAAATCCAGCTGACGATTCCCAAACAGGACGAAACCCCAATCCCGGATTCCAGTCCCAGACATATTCCATCTTTTCTATATGGAAACACAGGGAAAGAAGTCAATAAACTAACAACTAGGTTGCCCCATATGGCCAAATGAAAATATTTACTTTTTAAAGTAGAATAAGTTTAGAATCATGATAACTACACAGTTGTCCAATTCTACTTAAACAGAATATTCCATAACTATATCTGGTTTTTTCCTATCTGTACTTAACGAACGAATTGATATTTTCATTTCAGAAACCTATACTTGAAGCATGCTTAACTCAAATGTTAGGACATGAGTAAGTTCAACTTGATATATCCCATTTTTGTAACATATATTTTTAAAAGTAAAAATGTGTAAAGACTGTTCAATCCAAAGATAGTTTGAACTACGAACTGAGGAATTTCATATTATGACGAAACACATAACTAGTGACTCATAGTTTTAATAGTGTTGTACTCTCATTCAGTCTGAAATCCAAACTAGTTTTAACATAAACTTAAACAGAGAATTTTATTTTGTACACGCCTAATGAATTACGCTTTCATACTTAAAACGATGATGGATGACATGGCTTAGTTTTCATCCTTTTTGCGTTTGTTTTATCATGTCGTTTTACATACTATTTTATTTCCCAATAATTGTGTTATGGGTGTGACATTTTTATCAACTGAAAAAAACAGAATTATCATAAAAGTAACAATCGGAGAGTAAAATACCATAAAAAGTATCATTTACCCACTGTGCCAAACCAATAACGTGTTGACTGGTACGAGAAGCCTAAAGTCTTCATTGGTCCTTCTCGCCTAGCCCTGACTGTTGATTCCAGAACACCAATATCAGCTTCCACTATATGAATAATATATTTCAAACATACTTGTTACATATACAAGCAAGCCAGATTATATTACACCATGATATAGAAAATAACAATTATACAAGACCAAACACAAAAGTGGCTGTGATTGTGAAAGACTGTAACTAACAAATTGGGAATAACTTAAGAATATTAAATCATATAATACTAGTCAATAGGTCAGATAAAAGCTTATAATATAAGAGAATATATATATATATATATATATATATATATATATAATCTAGTTAATTAATACTTATACAATAAGAATATATATATATTTGTCCATAATTCAATCTTCTCCGGATACAACACAAAGAATATTAACGAAACGGCCGTGCAGTGCTTCCAAGTTATCCATGGTAGTCTAGCTTCAATTAACTCATGATCTCAACTATTGAAATTACTACTATCTCCACAAAGCTCCTTCTGATTTTTGAATGTGTTGTATGTTTTATTTATACTATATTAGGAAACAAGCGGAAATTGATTCATTAAAAATTAACATGTATTTAACATTGTATTTGTGAATAACTTCTATAAACAGTTAATTTAATTAATACTTTTCTCATTATCAATGAAATTATCGTTATCTGTTGTTAAAACACAGTAAATGATAATAGTTAATCATCAAAGTAAAAGTTAACGTGAAGAATGATGATGATAATTCTTTTGAAATATCGACAAATCTTGGAAGGTATATTATATATTATTTCTCCACTGCTGATAAGCCATAATTAATTATTAAAAATAATGATTTTCTATTATAGATTGAAACTAAATGGAAAGACTAATGAAAATTAAAAATAACTAAACAGTTATGTCATCTTAATGATATTTTACAGAACTGTATATCACAAGGTTTTGGCATGTTATAGAATCCTTTGTATTCAAGCTTCATCATAAACTCAAAACTTTCAGAACAAACGACTTGAAGCACAATTGTTTATGTTCTCAACTCATATCACTTTTTATATGATAAGTATATCAAATTTTATATGTTATATATGAGATCATAGATTGAAAATGCTCAAGTATCAAAACCAGAACAAAAACGGTTGGTCACCAATACATGATAGTTCTAATGATTCTCCGACTGACATCTGCTTGGGATCGAAATTCACTTTAAAAATAAAAAAGTTTCAGAGCTCATCCAACTAAAACTGTGTTCGTAAAATAACACTATGTTGTAAAAGATTATGCACCGTATTAACATTTTTTACATTTAACACAATTTAATTCTAACAAACTGATATTTTAAATTATTTATCATTATTTTTATTGCCAGTCCATTTCATCTTGCAAATCGTCTACCAAACTGTAGTAAAGAACATTCACGTTATGGTAGTAAAGTGGATCTTAGATCCATTAATAATATGGAAATAGATCATGTAAGTGAAACATTTTTTAGTCATTCTTAAACCTAATATTACCGACGAACTTATTTGTTTTTAAATTAACAACCTTTTATAAACTAGGCCAAATAATTTTTGATCACAATACAACTAACGTGATTGGTACTCAATAATATCTGTGAATAGTTGAAAGGATCTTGTGGAGAACGGTGTAATTCACAAATTATTATATTCATCACAGACTATTCTCAAATAGTACATCATTGAAAACCCACAGAGTACTGGACAATTACTTCGTCTCTGTACAAGACCCCAAAGTGGTGATCACGCACGACCGCACTGGAAGTGGGTTGATAAGTGAGGAAAACTTCAGAACACTCGTATAATAAGTTTGATTAGAACTTGTAATTTACAGATATCTATTGCCTAATCTCCAAGTACATAAACTATCAAAAATAATTGTCTATCTATTTTCCTTGCAGATTCCTTTAGAAAATAATTACAAAGAGCAAACATTGAAATATAAACAGCACGAAAAAGAACTTGTGGAGAAATTAAATCAAATTAAACAAGAACAGTTAAATAATAATAATAATAATAACAATAATAATAACAATAAATATATGAGGGAAATATCGAAAACCACTAGCGAAATGACTAGAACTACTAATACTGTCAATAATGATAATATTAATAATAATACCAGACAAATCTTTCCAATTATTATCACATCACCTGAAGAAGAGAAATATGATAAGACATCTCCCACTGAACAAGAATATATTCATAAAAATTTAGGTATTATCAATGCAGTTAATAATAATAATAATGACGACGACGATGATGATGATGATGATGATGTTGATGATGAGAGAGATGATGTACAAAATGTAGATAATTATCTATCACGAAAATCAATTCAATCTTTCTCTACTACAACTAGTACAGACTATACATATTATCCTAATGCACATTCAAATTACAACCAGAAACCACAAAATACATCACAAGATCAATATAACTCTCATATGAATAAAATTAAAGTATACACAAATATGCCAGATGCAGCAATCAGTCAACATAATAACGATAATAATTATTATAATTATAAGAATAAAGTTTCTGATGCAAACCAAAGGTTAACATTTTATCCTCATCCCCGGAAACAGATAATCAATATTTAGCACCAAATCATATGTATGATAAACTTTATAAACTCAATGAAGACTTTTCAGATAAAAGTAGGAGAGAAACAGAAGAAAGAAAAAGGGGAGGATTTTATAGAAAATGTATATACAATACATATCAGCAACGTACAAATCAGGCACATTTAAATTTCGCAGACGCAGTTCATACGTTGGTAAAACAAGCCAATGTTATGGCCAAAAGAAATAGAATCAACAAATACTTACGTAAGAAAGGCTAATTATCATGATAAACCTAACTTTACTACATTATGTATCGATTTTGTAAGCTGTGTTTGCAAACATCGAGAAAAAGACTTTCAGTTGTTTAATGTTCTGGGAATAGTTCAGTAACAGCTTATTAATAAAAAAACACTCGGCTCTTACCCAGTAGGTCGGAGATTCGAATCCCACTTATGTTCTCAAGTTTGAGCAACATGGTAGCGCCATTAGTCCTTACAAAATTTGGCTCCAACCTAATTAAATAAACCAGTGTTTCATAAAATGAGTTACATAAATCCACTTAATAACTCCTTTGAAATATTATAGCGTCTAGAAGGGGTTAAATGACTTTTCTGGCTGGCGTTTTCTAACAAGGTTACATTCTAAGGAGTTTAATTGCTAACCCCATGCCAAACCCTTCTTATTTATTCAGTAACTGTAAAAGGGGTATGGGTTTGGTTACGTCCATAATGATGTACTCATACTATGGAGTATATATATATATATATTATTGAGCTCACAAAGCTGGATGATTTAATTACAGAACATCAGTTGTCATTCTGAACGGCATCTTCAACCTCTACATTATTTAGTAGAAACTTCAGAATCCTGGATCGAAAAAACTCCAAGAATGCCACAGAATTACTAGATGCATCGCACAAGAAAGTCAAGCTGGCTTCAGACCTGGTCGTTTCTGCATCAACCACATATCCACCATTCATCAGGTTCTAGAACACAGGCATGCTTGTCGGTGTCCGACAGTGATAGTTTTTCTTGACTTGAAAGCAGCATTTGACTGTGTAGACTGAGAGGTTCTGTGGCAGTGTCTGTCATTGAAAGGTGTGCCATAGAAGTACGCAAACGTTGTGTAGGCTCTTTACCCGAACACTACTAGTCGAGTCAGAGCTTATGGCGAACTGTCATATGGTTTCGCGACCTCAAGTGGTGTCCGTCAAGGCTGTCCACTATCTCCATTTCTGTTCAACTTCATCATAGACCTACTGTAGGAAATAGCGTTCACATCGACTGAATTTTCAGGAATTGATCTCCTTCCAGGAAGTCCACTTATCGACTTAGAATACACTGATGACATAGTTTCTGTCTGGTGAAGACGCTGATGAAATGCAGAGTCTTCTGGTGGCACTGAGCAACAATGCCAGGATGTTTGGAATGCGTTTCTCCCTCTCTAAATGCAGGTTCTTGCTTCAGGACTTGCCTGCGTCAACACCTGAACTAAGGATAGGGAGTGAAGCAGTCGGACGCGTCGACAACTTCACTTATCTTGGAAGTCTGATCAGCTCTAATGAGTTAGTGTCTGACGAAATCTCAACACGGATTCAAAAAGCTTGTTCGGCTTTTGCCAACTTACGTCACCTATGGCGAACACGAGATATCCGTCTATCAATTAAAGGACGAGTATACTGCGCAGCAGTTTGTTCTGTTCTACTTTACGGCTTCGAAACGTGGCCATTAAGGGTAGAAGATACTCGTAAGCTCCTAGTATTTGACCACAAATGTCTTAGAAATATTACTCGCACCCGCTGGGATCACCGGGTAAGTAATAGTGAGGTTAGACACAGGGTATCAATGAATGATGGTAAACCAATTGATGAGGTTGTAAATCTTCACCAGCTGAGATGGTTGGGCCACGTGTTATGTATGCATGAACACTGATTACCACGACGCGCAATGCTGACTAGTGTTAGGGATGGCTGGGTGAAAGTTTGGGGCGGCCAAACCAAAACGTGGCATCGGTCTATAGAGTCACTAACTTCTGGTCTGAGCCATGTTGGTAGATACAGACTACCTGGTTGGGGTCCACGCGACTATCGCAACCAACGGTTGGAGACTCTTGGTGACACGGTTCAGAATCGATCACAATGGCGTAGGTGTCTACATTCTTTGTCTTCCCTTAAACCATGAGATTAAAATTGCTTTATGCCTTTATTTCTACGAACTAATTCTTTTTTCCTGTATCATATTCTTATATGAAATCTCTCCTTTATATTTTACCACCATTGAAGTAATTGCCTCTATGAATTTGGTGTTCATCTTGTCGTGCTAATGAGGTGTGGCAACTTGGACCGACGCATATCTGTGCCTGTTCGTACATTGCAGCTGACTGACTGACGGCACTTAGATCAATTTCCAGTCAACAGACACATTGACATTAAGCCAACCTATGAACCCATGCTTGTAAGGTGTAATCGATGTAGTCTGTCAATTTTTAAGTGAGACAGTAAATCACTGACACTAGTGAATGATGGTCACATTGTGCAATTCGGGAGTTAACCAATGTTTAAAATGTGAAGTACTGAATTCCATACTCGCTGTGAACTGAGTTTTAGATCCAAAACCATGTGTGATAATCAGCACGCACTACCAAATATGGGCCCAAAAATGAGACATGAAACAGCTATCTAGTTCTTTATAGGCCTTTTTAATGATTAGTTAGTGCCAGTGCATGGAGAAAAACAATCTTCGAGACACACAAATCAAAAAGCAATCTGGAACACAATATAAATGGAATTCCTATCTACAATATAAATATCTTTCCCACTTTATTTAAGAAGAAATGGTCAATGAGAGTATACTAAGTGATAGATGTATATATGAAGTTGCTTCAATTATTAAATTTCGTTGTACCTAATTTAACAAACTTGATGTTTGAATTTGGCGATTTAAATTTATCTAATTCATCCCATGAATTTTAGACGGTTTTAGTAATAGAATAGATTAATCGTAGCTAGGACACCCAGTTTGTTCTGTTTGGGATTCGTCAGCTGGACGTACTTGCGAGAGTGTTGATGTTTATACTGGAACTCGAATCCAATATCTTCTGCTTCAGTTCACACGTCAACATCAAGCTGTAGGTACATCTAGCTGACCGATTCTAATTAAGATGAAATATGCATTTTATATTTCACTTCCAACCACAATTCAAATATTTTAAATCTTAATATAAAATGGATACATAGAAACAATCCGCTCATGCTGTACATATTCTAATCAACGCCGATCAAAATTCAGTCATGAAAGTCGAAAACGGATTAAGATAAGGACTTACTAATAACAGGAAAATTATAGTAATGTTATAAAAAGTTTAGTTTACTACAAAAGATGTTTGGTATATGATTATATGTGAAACTAAAATCAGAGTATTTATTGTTACTTGTGATCTTTTTTCTAATTTTAGGAAAAAGTGCAAAAGATGTTGACTGGGATACACTTTCATTTCATAGAGTTAATATGAGTCCAAGATCATTTGATCGCAATACACGATATTATGGCAACAGTATATCAAGTCATCATAAACGCAAAAGAGTTTTGTATGATGAAAACCATAATGGCTATAAAAGCTTTTACTTAAATTTGCCAAATAATTACCCATCAGTTTTGTATGACATGCCACAATGTAGTTCAACAAGAGATGATGAAACAGATGAAAATAATTCATTTAACGAAGGATTTCGTATAACTGATTTAGAACATCATCAAGATAGTCCAACAGTTTATGATGAAGCATATGATCAACCCTATGCAACGCAAATCGAAAGATCTGCATCAATTCATGAAATACGTCAAAAAAGTGAAAATAAGACTAACAATAAATACATCGTACAAAAACCCCAAAATGCATTATACCATTCATTACACATGATTCCATGTGAATCTGAAATAAAATCTTATATTCAAAGTGAACAAGATTTAAATCTTGCCACTAGCGATCTGAATCATATCAATCCGTCCAATAGATCAGACCAAATGATCGAAATGAAGGAAACTGAAATTCAATTTCCTCGTTTACTTAAATCGCCAACAACCAGTGATGATTTTGACTCAATATACTACCCTATAAAACATCACAGAACAGGTTCACTAACTTTTTACTCATGTCCACCACATGAAACCGATTCTCACTGTTCCATGGATCCAAATGCTAGTGCTTTTGTTAAGCATTCATAATAAAAGTACAATATGTATAAAAAATTTATTATGAAAAATAACTTATTTCATACATTTAGAACAGGAAGGAAGGGCAATAAAGGAAAATATAAAACGTGTCCATCGAGCAAACGATATATATGGAGAGTCGTAAACTGGCGAGTTTTGTGCTTAGATGATCTCGCCAAGTGTCAGTCATTATGAAAATCATAAGGACACTAAGATTACAAAAAACCATTCTCATTGAATAGTTTACAGCATAAAAATAAATATTCAGGAAGAGATATTTATTACTTTTATATGACTACTCAAGTGTAAATTCAAAATTTAAACCAAGGTTTAACCCAGGACAGTTAAGTTATAAAGCAACCATGACGCTAATTAACTAGTTATTAGGTTAGAAATCCAGTGGTACATGCTTTCTAACTTCGGTTAATTTGTGATAGAATTCAAACATGCAACTTGATTTTGTAATTTACATCAAAGATTAACCTTAGTTGAGTAACTGCTAGAAGCTAGAAAGCAATAAACAGCTGCTCCATTCTGGTGTAGGACTCCTCAGCAGTTTGAATTCATAGTCCCACGGGGATCGAACCTTGAATAGACATGCCAAATCGCTAATTGATTGACGTTAGTAATTCGAACCACTGAATATCAACTCAGTAAACTAAAGATCAAATGCTCGTTGCGAGATCTGAGGGTTTTGGTTCAATCTGTAAAGGATTTGTGGATGAGAACTCCTGAGTCCAATACTATAACGAAACAGCTGTACACTGGCTCCTCGGATAACTGCAGCCATTTCGTGACAAACTTTTAAACTCGACAATCTACAGAAACCTATAAATAATTTAATCATTCTTTTCATACAAAACGTCATAAGGCAGGTTGGTTTACAAGTTGCTTAGAACACAATCAGCCCATCATATGACTAGTTTACGATAATCTACGATAACCTGTTACCGTTATAACTTCACTAAAACTAAAACTTTATAGCAGTACTAGAAATCAATATAATTACAGTCGTAGTAATAGTTCCAATTTTCTGAAAGTGTGAACGGAATTTAGAAAGAAATTAAAACCTTCAGATGATGATTAACCCTGTTCCTGAAAATTCTGTCTTCAGGGAAATTCTCAGAAATACAAAATCATTCTGCGATATTCATTAAGAATAATATTACGCATTATCTTTTGGCAAACACATGCTATATAATGGCCATCTAAACCACCAACCAATTAAATCCTATTCATTTTAACCGACAATCTATTGGGTGACAGAAAACTCAGGGCGATTGGATAACACAGCAACTTTTAACTTTACAAAGATAAATAGCAAACGAATGTCACCATCCATAAGGAAGTTATTCAAACACTATCCTTTAGTTGGTATACAAAGTAATCCGCTAAAATTGACTCCACTTATCAGAGATAAAAAACGACATCCTCAGTATAATTTACCGATCTTATCTAAAATAATATCATTTTTAAAAAGAAATCCAAATGAAACTCTGATTATCTAAATTGATTATACCATACTACTATTATGTTGAGTATTTGGAAATCGTAATTATTTCACTAAGAGGGAAGGGTGGAGAGATTCCATAAATTTAAGCAATACAAGAACGACAATATTTGCAATATACGATAGATTGGCAAAGGAGTCAGACATCTTTTACCATACAATTTGAAGTAATGCTATCAATCCCCATAACATTTATTTACAACAATAAAATTACTTGGACAACTAGGAACATGAAAATAAGAAATCAATGTCAACTCGAATGCATCAGACAAATTGAAGCAATTTCCAAACAAAAGGACTGGTCATGAACAGGGCAAAACAAACTCATTCCCGAAGTCCAAGCATTTCCCTATGGTTGTGGATAGTTTCATACAGGAAGTACTGTAGATGAACATTTTTGATTCAAAATGCAACTCTAATATGCTGTCACCATTATTATTTGGCAAATTAAGCCAAGATCAACTGTCAGGATTCATAACAAATAGCAATAACCAGTTTAACTTAAATATACAAGAATCAGGTCCATCAGAAACACTATGAAAACCACTCAATAATTACTGCAAGGAGAAAATCATGGTTGTTGCTTCCCAGGTAGAACGTAAAATAAACCGACCATCTTATTTCTAGCATATTTAAGGATAGAAGGTGAAATATCATCCAACTATGTATCAGCGACGAATATGAAGTAGCGGGGACCAAGAATATAAGACCAATGTGAGGTCTGGACATCACAAAGACCCCACTCGAACCTTGAAGGTAAAAAGAAAACTTTACTTCATAGTTAGTCAAACTAGACAGGTCAAGAACAATTAGCAACTCAATATTACTAGACGATAAGTTCTCTGCACATATAAACGAAGTCTTTTATGTGGCATTACATACCCCGCGTGGTCACTTCCTAAGAAACGGTCAATGGGACTCATGCGGTATCACACCAACTACCCATAAACCCCCCAAAACAAACGCCGTTCCGTAGGCCTAAAAAAACTGTTTGACCCCCCACATTTGTATTCCAGCGCCCTTTGGAGACCCCTCTGTTATACTTACCACTCAACTGGCTCAGTCAATCAGCCAGCAACAACGTAGAGCTTCGTACGTACGTACATCAGTTCAAGTTGCCATACCACATTAACACATAGACACAATTGTCGATTAAAATCCCATATTGGTAGAGGTACTAAAAATATAAGCAGAAAGATCAGGGTTTGAAGATGTTATTCAGGGAGTATAACCCAGTCAAATAAAAGTGGGGAGAGCGAAAGAAGGGGCGTGAAGAATCCAGATTAGTATTTGGGAGAACACAGAGTTGATGCACCTGTGCCATTGCAAACGATTTCGAGCCACGTTACTCAAGATCTCTAACCATCGGTTGCTATCATCTCGCAGACCCCAACCAGGTAGTCTACACCTACCAACATGGCTCAGTCCACTTGTCAGTGACTTCATAGATTTGTGCTATGTTTTGGTCTGGCCGCCTCTAGATTTCTTCCCACCTACTCCTACACCAAAAAACATCGCACGTCGTGGCAGTCAGTGGTTAGGCATATGTAACACACATCCCAGCCATCTCAACTGATGAAGTTTCAATAATTCACCAATTGATTTGTCATCTTTAACAAGTACCTGTTTCCTAACAACGGCATTACTTACTCAGTGGTCTCAGGTTATACGAGTAATGCTTCAGTCACCCGTGAACGAATACTAGTAGCTGACGAATACCCTCTACTCTTACCAGCCATGTTTCGTAGCCATAAAGTAGGACGGCATGGACTGCAGCGCAGTAAATCCGTTTTTCGGTTGGTAGACAGATAACTCAAACGGCTAGGAAGTGTCTAAGAACTTGTGGCCGGACACCTTTAGTTTTATTTGAGATGCGTCCCAAGCAGTGGATCACGCCCACATGTTTTGGAACAACGTACCGCGCCCGTTAGTACATGCTCCCATGAAGCAGCTATAAGAGCGAACTCATCACAGCACTAAACCTCGCTAACTAGACCATCGCTGTCCCAATAGTTGACAAGTACCCCCTTGACCCTAATCCTCTTGGATGTAGACACTAGATTTTAAAGTCTCGTAAATCCTACTGGCTTCAAAACAAAGTATTTCTCCGAAAACAATTTTGTTTTAGGCTTTGCTTCACCTTAGATTTCCCACTTGTAATTGTTCATCTATGCTACCCGTGTACTTTTTTACTATTACTTCCATTACTATTTCATACGTATGTTCTACTTGTCATAAACCGACGAATACGACAAATTGTATAGCTAGTACCGATTCCTATAAAGTGCAACTGAAACAAGGTAACAACACCAAGACACACCTTAGAGATTGACATCTGACCTGACCTACAAAACTAATTGCTTGAAAAACGTTCTTTGATAAGCTGATAAACGCGAAATCAGATTTTCGGAGAATTCTGGTTAGCATCAGACGAATAAAGTGTACGCAAATAATGACTCAAATAAGCTGATGATAAACATTTATTGAAATCACATTGAAATTATCGTCTGCGATTATCCCTCATTTTCCTTGGAGTTCTTTCGCGACCTGATCTGCTTCTGCTTCGGTCTCGCCGCTGCCATCCTGATGATGAACGCGAGCGTGAACGGTAGAAATTTTTGTTACGATTGTATCTTGCATTGTAATTGAATTTATAATTATAATTGAAAGAAGGTACATCTCCATACGGTGTCCAAGATCGATCACGACGGTTACCGTCAAAGTATTCATCAGATGAACGGGAACGACGGTCGCGAGTGTCGTGAACTTCCTTGCGTCCCCTCCGATCATGACGAGATCCACCAGAATGCTTATAACCACTCTGACGTTCATTTCTAGGAGAGTCTCGATATTGCGACCGACTTTTACTTTTAGAATGCCGATTGGAGGAGACATGGTCGCTTCGGGGTCTCTTAGCAACAGGACTTTCATCTTTCGTTACAGACTGTGGTGAAACGTCCCTCGAGTTTGAGGGTGAGATCGACTCATTCTTATCGGATACTGAAGAATTACGACGGTCTAAGGACCCATCAGCTGGGCTCACGTCGACAACAGAACGTGAAGAGTGGTCAGCAACATCAGGATCAGTCCTAGCAGGTGAATGTTCCAAACTTCCACTGTGCTCACGAGATGGACTTTGATGGGAATTGTGACTGACAGAGGACCTATTGGACTTGCGTTGGGACCGCTTCACACTACTTGATTTTGAACGAGAATGGACTGATGACTGTGAACGGTGAAGAGATGCTGATCGACCATCACTGGATGCAGAATGAGTTCTTTCTACATCTTCTCTTTGTGATGAATGGGAGTATTTATGTTTCCCCGAACGTGAACTTCGACTTGAATGACTCCTTTCTTTAGTTCGCTTTGGTGGACTACCATCCGAACTAGAACGGTTACGGTTAGATTCCTCACGAGAAGCATCTTTCGAATATTGAGAAGACTGTGACCGGTCTTTGCGTTTTGGTGGAGTCTGTGAACCATAAGACCGCCTCTCTCTGGGTGAACTCACTTTTGACTCATCACTCGCTGCACCATTCCCATTGCGCGACAAACTTTTGGACCGGGCACGCGAGTGGTAACCTTTAGTTTGAGGACTTCTTGACCTGTATGGTGTCCCACTGCGGCTCGAATGAGATCGAGAGTGACGGCTGGCACTAGAACGACTCCTCTTAGATATACTTCTCTTGCCTGAGCTCACACTCCGGCTCGAACCCGACCTACTTCGACGATATGATTGTCCGGATGACCGAGTGCGCTCAACGTAATATCCCTCTGCAATTTTGAACAACTCGTCAGGAATCGTTTGACGGGCTTCCTTCAGCACTTCAATAAGTTCCCGGGCCTAAACAAATATTAAGATACACAAAGTATAGCTTACCAATCTCGGTTGTTTGGCACTAAAGAATGTATATGCAGTGCCTTTCTTGTCACTTCTACCTGTTCGTCCAATTCTGTGGATGTAATCTTCAGTTTGCGATGGATAGTCATAATTGATTATGTACCGGACATCGTTAATATCTACAAACAAGGAAGCGGCATTGTTATCACTAATCAGAAAGTTTATTGGGACCCGTTAGCTCAACACATAGTAACTAAATTCCGCAACAATCAAAGCCTAATTAGATAGACCAACCTGGCACGTTTCATAAGGCCGAGGTGGCGTGGTTTTCATGGGTCCAGAACGGACACCAAAGTTCTGGTTCACAAATCGCGTCCAAACGGAAGTATGGCGACCAATTTTATCCCAGAATTTTGCAACGAATACATAGTTCCAAGCTTACCGATCCAGATATTCAAATGAACGAAACCTTGTTCACCAACCAATTACAAAAACCAGCTTATGACGAATACGTATCCAGAGGAACAAGATGATTGAGGTTGGATGATTTAACGCAAGATGTTCATGTGACTCTCTTATATCACCAAATCGTTCGATACACTAATAGCCAATGTACCAATCCAACTGTTAAGACGGTCGACCAGACATAATCTGTGTCCAATACACGACCAAATGATTGGCGAAACCAAATTATACCAGTTTAACCAGAGGCCAATAATGGAGCCAATCGCTCCAACGACTCCAGAATGCCAAAACTCACCACACCCTGACATGTGATAGTTGAATAAGAAGAAAGTTACTCAGTGGTTGTTTAGGAATATTCAACAACAAAGAAGTAAAGACTTACCTAAGCCTCTAGATGCGACATCTGTGGCAACAAGAACAGATATATGACCTTCACGAAACACTACGAATTAGTGGGACAGAACTCAACTTACTGTCTAGAGCACGATCGCGTTCTTTTTGGTGTTTATCTCCATGCATGGCTGTCGCATCGAAACCCTTATCTTGAAGTTTTTGACAAAGTTCATCCGTACGTTTTTTGGTTTCCGTAAAGACAAGCACACGAGCATTGTCGAAGGAATTGAGTAGGCTGAGCAGGCGCTTGAACTTCTCACTCTCATTCAGAATTTCTACATGTTGTCGAATGTTGTGATTCGCACTCAACTTGGTTGAACCAACATTTATTTGAATGTAATCATAAAGGAAGTCCTCTGCCAATGCTTTTACTTCCCTAGGCCATGTGGCCGACCACATTAAAGTCTGTCGGTCCGGACGAACTTGTGAGACAACCCTTCTAATAGAAGGTTCGAAACCCATATCCAACATACGATCAGCCTCGTCTAACACTAAATAAGTACAGCGACGCATATTTGTATGTCTCGATTCCAGAAAATCCAGGAGACGACCAGGAGTCGCTATAACTACTTCAGGAGACTGTCCCAAAGCTTCTGCCTGACCAGTTCTTGATGCTCCACCATAAAGACATGCAGACTTGAAACCAGCTGAATAACAAAAATCTTCGGCAACCTTTTCTACTTGTTGCGCAAGCTCTCTAGTTGGAACTAGGATTAAAACAATCGGTCCATCCCCTCGTTTCAGGCTCGGCTGGGCTTTGGCATGAACGATCGCTGGCAGGAGGAAACTAGCTGTCTTCCCTGATCCTGTTTGAGCAATCCCAACCAAATCACGACCGCTGAGTGCTACCGGCCAACCCTGACACTGAATAGGAGTAGGAGAGTCCCATTTGCTTTTCTTGATTACGCTCATTATGTAACTTGGGAAGCCGGCCTCACTGAATTTGAACAAGGGCCTAGGAACATTGTGTCCAAGAACAGTAACTTTGTGCTTGGATCGAAACTCCTCGACATCTCTACGTGAACGATCACGAACGCTTGAACATTCATGATAAAACTTCTTTTCGAATTTAGCAAGAGTGTACGCACTCCAATCTACGGACCGAAGCCTCCTACCTCCTCCAAAAAATCCCCTGAAAATAGTTATATCAAATAAGTTTACTTACCTTCGTCTAGGTGAGCGGAATCTGGAAAACCTGTAATACGGCATCACTAAGAATGAACTACCCACTAATGACAAAGTCGAAAAAATAACTGGACCGAGTCAAATGGTCCAGTGAAACAATGCAAGACTCAAAGTTCAATCTACCATGAGTTTAATATTAATTCAGCACGAGTCGTGAATAAAAAAAATTAAATTATATTAAAGTGGCTCAAACGAAGTTTCCTCTTAGTAAACAGGTATCGTCTAATTTAATACTTTTCGTTGATGATTTGAAACTTGAGAGAAGTACGTAACCAAGACGATAAACTGGCACTTCAGGAGTATCTGACTTTACTTCAAAGTTATGCAGATGACAGTGGACCTACCTTTAACGCTTCAAAGTGTAAAGTAGTCCATCTGACACATGCTGCAGACTACAAGTACAACTTAGGCAACTCCTCTCTAAAGGTATCTTAAGTTGTCGCTAACTGCGACAAAAATGCATACCGAGCAAACCTCGCACTGGTAATGCTGAAGTGCATTTTTGGCCAGTTCGACGGAAGAATTTTCTACATAGTCTTCAATAGCTTTATCCGTCCCTATTTTGAGTGCAGAAACACAGTATTTCCCCCTTCACTCCAAAAGGAACGCATCCAAAGGTGAGTCACAAAATCGATTCGGGACACAAATGCAAGCCTCATGAGGAGCGCCTTTAATCGCTGAACTTTGACCCACTGGAATGCAGGCGTCTTAAAGGTGACCTAATGGCTTACAGCATCCATAACACTTACGGACACTCCCATAAAAAATTAAGCTTAGTCCCAACACAAAGCTCAGAAGTAACACCCAGAAACTGGAGACACGAGACGGCGGAATGGACTGCAGATACGCCTTCTATTTCTTAAGAGTGATCAAATGTGGAAATTTACTGGCAGCTGACCTAGTCCAAGTGACCTCACAAGAGTCCTTTGAGAGAAAACATAACATATTCTTAAGGACTAAGAACAATATATTACCAGGATTTACCAACTTTTTCGGTTGTCTCTTTTGTCGTTAATGTACCTAGGTTCCTACCTGGAGGTATCGGTAATCCATTGTTACTAGATACAGAAGCCCGTTAAGCGAAAGCTTCTTCTATCCCATCCAGAACCATTTGAAGCTGCAGTGTCTGAAAGAATTGATCATCTTGCCCAGGTATAAGTATATGAAACAAGAGGGAAAAGAATTATTGACACGGTATGATATGCTATTTTTCGTATTTAATAATGTATCAGGTTTCCCATCTTAAGACTGTTTGGACGTTGTTTAGACTACCTCAAGTGTTAGGAGTTACAGTATGTAATTACTCACACAGTAAAAGTTTTATTATGTTGTACCCCTTGTTTGCAAGTATTTCCCACGACTTTTCGGTGAGGCTTAACTTAAAAACAATTATTCAGGTGGATTCCCAGGAATTTCGTTTGACAAATTGCCGAAGTGAATAGCTCTGTGATTCTTCAACAATGATGCTGACCGATATCAACTTTATTTAACATATCTCCTACTGAAGGAGCTCGGCCAAACATCCGAACCAGATAACGTTTCAAAACACCTTCGAGAACACGTCCTTAGATGATTACTCGGCCTCGATATTATGCCAATTGATTCATCATAGTATTAGGCGGGTTTCTACGTGACGTATATGGGGTGTGAGAGCACCTAACATCTGCTATGATAACATCTAAAATGCGATCATGCTATGACTCATTTAAAACACATTTCTCGCATAGGATTGTAAGGATAAGTGACATTTGATGCGGGGTCATCAGAACTGTAATTGGGTTTGAACCCGTTGGCAATTTATGAGTCATGGTAACTAAGGTTTTCACTGGAAACAGGTGAGTTGTGAAAACAGACAACATTTGTTTTGGTATCTTCGAAATTTGATAGTCAGCATCTGATATGACGTCATTAATCCGCTCAGAAATCAATTTGTTTGAAACATTTGTCTCATAATTATGTTGAAATTCACCCAACATAACGGGATAATTGAAATGAGAGACATCTGATACATTTGAACACTGTCCAGGGTCTATCTTATTAAAGACTTTTTTCACTTCTCCCTTTTTTTTAAATTCTTGTCAATAATTGGTGTGTTTGGTCGTCACTAATTTCTATGTCGAAATCGTTTATTACTTATGTTTGTAAAATGAGAAACAACTGCAAATTCGAATCTTCGTTTGATCCTTTGTTGGACGTATGATTCGCCTCTATATTCACTTGCTCACGTAAACTAGCTTTTCTGCTTAAATTCAGCTGGTGTGATCGTGGCATACTGATCTGTGCTATTCGATGATAAACAGAAATTGGCGATCCGTGTTGTCCTCTGAGTTCAAACGTCATTGAGATGTATTTAATTACGGTTGTCGGGGCGATTGATATAGGAAACGTGAGGGATTATCTTGGAGCTAATCCACTGCACTCACTTAGCACTGATAGGTGAACGATGCTAATCAAGAGTGATACACCCACCATATCCTTTCCGAGTAGTTCCGATGCCGCAATTCTCTGAGGAGAAATTCATAGATATCACCATACATAATGCAGAGGACGTCTCTCAGCACTGACCGTCAGTAATCAGTTATATATATCCTGTCTTGAGGTTCTTTATCTGAACTTCAGGTAGCTCAATTCTTGAAACGTTCAAAACAGCCTCCAGTACTTAGTCAGACCCCTCTGAAACACATTTCTGAGTCATGGTCTCTCACCTTAAATAGAATATTGCTTTTCTGAAATGTATTCCGATAAGAGCTTGCAAAACATTATATCTATAATCCCGGTAGGCATGTGTCATGATCAATGTGAAATATATGAGGTTTTAAGAATGTTAACCCTATACGGTATTCCCGAAAGTGAAGATAGCCAAAGACCATTGCAACCGAAAAACTCCTGCTATTCAGAAAACTCAAGCGTAAATTGAGACGATGCCAATAAATTCTACAGTTCTTCAAAAGCGAAGTCTGAAACTAACACCAACAGTAAAATTATATCTACCATTTAACATACTACTCTATACACCGAAATACATCCATCACAAATAATTGAAACAACTTAGATGAAGTAATTAAGAGTCAGACAAAAGCATCTCAAAGATATCAAAACATCACAGCCCGAGTATTTATTTATTTCCTTGTTTTGCGTTGGTATTATTTTTCCTATTATTCCATACTGAATGCTGAAGGTTTTGTCGGGAGTTTAGACTTCGCGCTGTAACTGTTCTGTTCCCCAATCTGAATAATTACCTACTACAATTATCAGTTTGGCTTCTTCTTCCCCTACGCTCACCGTTCAGACCCATGTTTTCAATTTTCCGTTGAGACAACGTATAACATGCTAACTCGGGCTTTTACATTGGGAGTGTGTGGCAGGCATCGGATGGAAAAAATTTAAAAAATAAGACAATAAAAGATAGTTATTAGTTTTCTTAACACTTTACACTCTATATGCACTTTCTGTTCTAGTGAACAGCCTTCCTTATCCAGACCTTGACTTCCCTTCCTTCATTTGAACTTACTCCACCTTGGTAAACATCACAACTCAATGTTCTTTATTACTGCGTCGTCTCATCTGGAGCCTCTGATCATATCTCCCTCTAGCAACAAGAGCTAATATGAATTTCATCTGATAATTTATCATGCCTCTCTGCGTTCCACTACAAAATGTTAAGAATTCTTAATCCTTAATATCCAAGTGCCATGCTACTCCTCGGTTTTTTTTCTTTCAGAATCTTGCTCTCAGGGCACAGCTACGTAGAATTTGATGGAGTTTTCTTCTCTGAGCTGGATGGTTCGGTCGTGGAGCTTTCATCGTCCTTCTGAACGACATCATCAGCACAAACTTCAAATAGAATTGAAGTGCTTGAATTTCTCCATATGTGTTTCAAAGCTCGTTCTGTGCACCTCTATGTTGATTGGTTCTTATTGACCTTAAATTCGTCATTGTTTACTTCTTTGTTTTGGTTGTGTCTCTCATTGTTTTGATTTTTGTTCTTATGTTTGTGCATGATTTTTCTGATTGGTTGATAGATTGGGTTGATTTCAATATGCTTGTTGATTGCTGATTGACCTGAGTGCCAAGCTTCTAAAAATTCTCTGGTGTTTTTGGAGTTTCCTCTGTCTAAGATTTCCACATTTTTCCAATCGAATGAATGTCCGCAGTTGTCCACGTGTATTGACATAAGTGAGGAGATATCATGCCGTTTGACTGCTAATTGATGTTCATGTATGCGCAGGTGAAGGGGACGTCCGCTTTGTCCGATGTAGTGTTTTTCGCAGTTTGCACAATTTATTTTGTAGATGATGTTTGATTTGTTTTCCTTTGTTATTTCACCTTTTGTTTTGCATAGGATTGATTGTAGTGATTTTTTCGGTTTGTGTGCTACACCTATTCCGAAGGTTTTCAGCAGTCTTGTTGCGGTTTCTGATATTCCTTGTATATATGGTAGGGTGATCCTTTTGTTGATTTTTGTGCTTGACTTGAGTTCTAATGCTGCGTGCGGTTGGTACTTTTTGATGAAGTTAATTGGGTAGCCGTTCTTCTGAAATACATCCTTCAGGTATTTCTCTTCACTTCTTCGTGCTGCTAGTGTGCTGCTAGTGTGCTGCAGTGTGTTCTCGCCCTCTTGAACAAATTGTGTACGCAGTTGATTTTGTGAGCTCTTGGGTTGTTGCTATTGTAGTTGAGAATTTGATCTGTATGGGTCGGTTTCCTATATACTTGAGTTTCCAGTTTTCTTGTGTCGGTTCTAATGATCAATATATCCGTGAATGCTAGTTTGTTGTTTGACTCCTGTTCCATGGTGAATTTGATGTCATCGAAGACGTTGTTGATCAGTTTGTAAGTGTTTTCCAGGTCATTCTTTTTGACGATGACGAAGGTGTCGTCTACATAACGAATCCAAATTTTTGGTTTGATCACTGGTAATATAGCGGCTTCTAGTCTTTTCATCACTGCCTCTGCGATCAATCCTGATATTGGTTATCCCATTTCGCAAATACCAACACGTCATACAGGACCAAAAGATGAGGCTACAAAGCACACTTACATCAGAACACTTGGATATATTGACAACAGCCATCGAGATATCATGCAAACGACGCAGAGAACAAAGAAGAAA